TACATATTATAAATAGAAAGCGGAAATTTGAAAAATGAAAAAAAAATTCATAAATATTTATGCGAAGAAAATAAAAAAAAAAAATCAAATCATCCTGGTATATAATAATATTCAAAACTCTATTTTATATCTTTTATACGTTTGTGTGTATGTGTTTGTATGGATATGTAAAAATTGTGATTTATTATTTTATGTTTTATTAATAAAGTTAATATTGCAAATTATATATGCTACTAAATCTACAATAAATGTATTTAGTATATGTCGAATTTCAGATCTAGAACGTCAATTTTATTTATTCAGTATTATAAATTTTAGTTATTGAATAAGTCTCGAATTTAACGCTCGATCAGCATTTTTAAATTATTACCAAAATTTTCTATTATTTTGTTTTACAATTGTTTCGCATCTTTTGTATATATATGCAAAATATCCCACCTGATTGGTCGAGATGCACGCAAGTAAAATTGAACCCAATAGTGTAATTCAAAAAATTTGACAAAATATCGATACATTTGTGTCATCATAAACTTCAACATTGATTTCAATCATTATAACAAAAAAAATTTCCATTATAATATATTAAATATAAATATAATGTATGTATATGTTCATATATATATATTTACTTTTGCCATATTATTTAAAATTAAAATTTATCATTGAAAAGAAAAAACAATGTAGGAGTATGGAATTTGCAATTAATTTAAATTTTATTGAATTTTACTCACGATAAATTTGTTAAACAAAATCTTTGAAATGTATGATCAAATCATATTGTTCATTCTATAATAATAATGAAATGATATTTTTAATGACAAAACAAAAAAAAATAAGATGTTATAATTGGAAATTAGAACATATTTTTAAAATTGTTTGAAAGAATTGGAAATTAGAACATATTTTTAAAATTGTTTAAAAATTACTTAGTCAAATTTAAGCAAAATAACTTAAAAATAGTAAGCCTGCGGTAACTGAGTTATTTTTTGACAACGTCTACATATATATAGGTTTGTTAAAATTAAGTAATAATTTTTGGTTAACAAAACAAACACACTCACAAGACAAAGTACCTAAATAATATGCATGCATTTTTTCTAAATTTTGATCAAAGTATTAAAAATGTAGCGAAATGTAATAAAAAATTTGCATTCCTTCCTGATTTGTTAATTTCCTACAGACGGATCTTCAAAATCATTGTAACATGCATATATTATAATATTTTTCAGTACACTTTGACATGGCCCACGGGTATAATTTATATGCGAGACAAAACTATAACTTGTATATGTATGTGCATATTACATATAAATATATATAGCATAATACAATCCTTTTTAAAAAAAATACCAAAATAAAAATGTTCAGTGTGGCAACTCTAATTCTCATAATAAAATGTCTTAAATATTTTATTAAATAATTTTAAGAAAATTGAAAAATTTTAAATGTTATCTCATATACACATATAGATGATGGCTATTAAAACGTCATCTATCCATTTGTATAATAATATAAACAATAAAATCGATTGACAAATAGATTAAATAAATGTAGGTAAACTTTATTATATATTATAACAAATAATATTTTTATAATTCAAGTGTACATATAAATGCGGTAGTTTACAAATTATATACAAAATCTCTTACATATTATATAAATATTAAGTAGATGAACAAATGTAAATAAAATGTGGTGGTTTTTTCATCCATATTGATATTTGATCACAATACGGTGATACCACATTTCATTTATATATATAATATTATTATACTTAGCTATAAATTTTTTAAATTTTGCACTTATCTGTGATATAATATTATTTAATTAACATTAAAAAATATTTTAAATGTTTACACGTTTTACAAATAAAATTTTTTTTAATTTATGTACACATATGTGTACATATTATGTGCGATATCATGAAAGTGCATGTAAGAAAATTTATGCAATATAATAAAATATTTGGTATATAATATACATTACATATATATATATATGTATATATATAAACATACTTACATACATACATAAAATTATCCGATAAATATTTTCCGGTTTTATTTATTTATTTCTTTCTTCTTTCAAGAAATTATCTTGACGATCATCATTACCACTTGTTTAGTTAAATAATAAATTCACAATAATAAAAGTATGAAATAAAAATTTGTTCAAACTATGATTAACATATCGGCAATCTTAAGAAAAAAGAAAATAATAAAAATTCATCAGTTTAATTTTTCGATTTAAATAAAATTACCACGATTTATTGGTTTATTTTTATATTTCTTTTTAAATAAATGCAAAACTATTGATAATGATTACAATTTAAATTAATATGAAATTAATAATCGCATAATTACTAAAAAATTTTCTTTTATAATTCGTATATACCTTTATTAGTATATAATTATGCATACATATATGATTCGACACTTAAATATACATATGATGTACATATATTTAAATTCCTATGTTGCATACATATGCCAAAGTTTGATTCACAATATAATTTTACACGTCAATAGATATATCACATTTAAAGAAGTGCAATCTCTGATATTTTTTTTATAATTTTTTTTTGTATCTTATGTGTCTATATATATACATATATATACATATATATATATATATATCTGTATATATATAAAATATATTATATACATAGGTTTATGTTTTATATATATATATATTATTCGAAAGCAAAATGGCAATGTACAACTTCATGAATATAAAAATTAATACAATTAAAAATGACTCTTATCTACAGATTATGGACATTGATAAATTTTAAATAAAATACTATTTATGTAATCGAACAAATGCAATATAAGTTCTAAAAAAGGGTATGTCCTATACCCTTCTTCAGAATTTTTGTCTTCAATTATAATTTAAAAAAATAATCGAGTGATCACAAAACAGTCTGTATAAGTGTACATTTACATATATAAGATTATGTATTGATTTTTTTTTTACTTATTATTATATGATACTTTAAATTTAAAAATATTCGTGCATTCAATTCAATATAAAGATAATTTAACAATAAAAATTAATGAAAAAAAATTATAAAAACGTGAATAATTTAATGTGAAAAAAGTAGCTAAATTATGTATACATATATTAATTAATGTATCTATTGAAATTTTTATTTTTTAAATTGCTATAATCATAAACAAAAAAATCAATTAAATATACAAAATAAAATTAGCTACTGAATTTTTTTTTTTCTTCTTGTTTAAAAAAATTTTGTTATGGGTATTATAAAAGTTAAATTTGATTTTTCATTGACATTGCATATACTACTAATAGTAGATTGTGAATTAGTTTTGTAGACAGTAAAAAAATTTTGACAGTAAGAATTTTTGCCAGTAAGAATTTGACTACTGTGTATTGTGAATTCTATGTACTTATGTTTGTGAACAAAATTATATTGAGAGAAAAAACAGATTGATATAAGTTTTAAAAAAATTTTAAATAAATTTAATTGAATGATAAACTTATTTTCACCATAAATTCATATCTAAAAATTTATATTCAAAAATTATTTAATTAAAAATGAATTATTGAATTTTATTTAATTCAGTTAAGAGCAGTATAACTTTCTTTATACATATGTACCGTTATGCGCTTGATGTTTCACTTGAAAAGTTATATTATAAACAAGTAAAAACGTTTCAGTCGGTATAAACCGATTGAATTATACCCTGCACCTTTCGTTATTGTGTAGCAATTACTCGAACCTGTGAGATCATTCTATAGAAACTTCACGGACATATCTGACCTATAATTGGACATCCGACTGCCAAGTTTCATCAATCTGACCTTATAATTTTTCAAAATATTTAAAATTAGCTTTTGGAGTTGTATGGTAAGTACCTAAACCTGTCAAGCAATTACATCAAAACTTCACAAATATATCTGATCTATAATCGGACACACAACTGCCAAGTTTCATGAATCTGACTTTATTATTTTTCCAAATATTAAGAATAAGCTTTTAGACTTGTGTGGGATCTACTCGAACCTGTTAAGCAATTCCACCACAACTTCAGAAATATGTCTGACCCATAATTGGACACATGACTGCCAAGTTTCATGAATCTGACTTTATTATTTTTCCAAATATTAAGAATAAGCTTTTAGACTTGTATGGGAGCTACTCGAACCTGTCAAGCAATCGCACCAAAACTTTAGAAATATGTCTGACCCATAATTGGACACACGACTGCCAAGTCTCATGAATTTGACTTTATTATTTTTCCAAATATTTAAAATAAGCTTTTGGGGTTGTATGGCAAGTACCCGAACCTGTCTATCAATTCCACTAAAACTTCACAAATATATCTGATCTATAATCGGACACACAACTGCCAAGTTTCATTAATCTGACTTTATTATTTTTCCAAATATTTAAAATTAGCTTATGGAGTTGTATGGCAGGTACCCGAACCTGTCAAGCAATTCCTTCGAAACTTCGGAAATATATTTGACCTATAATTGGACACATGACTGCCAAGTTTCATGAATCTGACTTTATTATTTTGCCGAATATAAAAAATTTACTGTTGGAGTTGTATGGCAGCCACCCGAACCGGTGCAGCTATCCCATTATAATTTTTAGAGCATGTGTAGAATATAATTGGACACATGTATACAAAATTTTATATTTATAGCTTTATTAGTTTGTGAAATATTTAAAATAAACTCTTGGAGTTGTATGGCAGCTACCCGAACCCGTTGTCCGACTTAGTCCAATAACAATAGGGTTCGTCCTTGGCACAAAAGAAAAAACTTATGAAAGTTTGGTGTCGATTGCATTATTCGTTTTTGAGTTATCGTGCGATCGGACGGACGGACGGACGGACATGTCTAAATCGACGCAGAATTTTACGCTGAGCAAGAATATATATATATGTCCATACCGCAGATGACTCTTTCAAGTAGTTACAAACTCCATACCAAAGTTAATATACCCTTCACGAAGTGCAGGGTATAAAAAAAGCATCCAACTTTGCAGTATAACACACTAAAAACTTTTTATGAGCATCATTATTATTTTATGTAATCGAATTAAAAAGCCAAAAAATTACATAAGAACTCCATAGTTTGTACAAACCCATATTCAACTATATAAATATTTAATTTTTAAATTATTAATTTTATTCTTTATACTCTTTACAGGTTTGAAAGCTTAGTAAAGTGTAAAACAATGGAAAAAAATATCGATATATTGAGCTCAATAAAAAATATACACGAAGGCAATGTAAAAGAAAATTTTTTTTTGAACACTGAAGAAGAAAATTCAAGAATATGCAAAACAAATATGTATAGAACATTATCAGGACACTGTAACAATATATTTTATCCGAAATGGGGTTCAAATGAAGATAATTTCCTCCGATTGATTAAATCAGAACCCGGTAAGAATGTGAAAATTTTAATTAAAATTATATCCTTGGTTTCAAAATTGCAATAAAATCGTATGAGAATACACAATTTAATACGAATAGCTACAATTCATAATCTTTAATTCTTAACTCTTAAATGAATTAATATTCTTTTACGTAATTTTAAACTTATTATATTTAAAGAATATTTTAATATGATGTTTTCAATTTTTTATTTCTTTTTTCAAGAATTTCAAAATTTTGATGTAAAACCACCTGAGGTAATTGAAAGATTTTTATCGGAAAGAATTGAAAATAAAACTGCTGATCCTTTTATAACTTCATTGGCACCTGGTTGGGCTATTTTGGTTGCTTTTGATATAGCAGGCGATTTATCACGTATTTTTTTGAAATAGTCAAATGAAATATAAAATATTTACTAAATTATTTATGATATTTTAGGTAATATAAATGAAGCAACAAGTTATTTAGATGCATCAAATATATATGGTTATGATACTCAGCATAATGAACAATCAACCGATTTGAAATCACCAGATGGTAAAATTACAGAATCATTTTGTAGAATGTGTGACATACAAGGAATTGTTGGAAAATTACATAAAATATTTGTTAAAGAGCATAATACTTTAGCAGACGAATTACATAGATTAAATCCAACATGGTCAAGTGAAAAAATTTTTAGAGAAGCACGAAAAATAGTTATAGCCGAAATTCAACACATTACATTTAATGAATACATTCCATTTATAATGGGAGCACATATAAATCCGTTTGACGATTTGAGGTAAATTTTTTTTTTTCATTTTGTGTTTTCATATTTTATTCATAAATATAATCGTATAATTTTCTTTTATAGGACATTAGAAGAATATAAATATTCGAGCTCAAACCGACCTGGGACATTTCTTGAATTTGCATTAATTACATTTTTATATTTTGGAACCAGATTAAATAATAATGTACTTTTTAAATTTAGTAATCTCTCGTTTATAAATTTATTTATTTATTTTTTTTAAATGTAGACATCATCAGATAATATAAACGTTATTTTAAATCAATCAGCATCGACCAGAATTTTTAATCATGAAATTTTCGAAAAAAACAAAATTCCAAATCTTTCTCAATTAATAGAGATTGAAAGAAACAATAATGTGTCATCTTATTCATCATATTTAAAATTATGCAGAATTTCTGATCAGGATAAAAATAATAAAATATTTAGTTATGAAGATTTAAAAGATATTGGAACTATTTCGCCTAATAACTTGGAATTACTGAAAAAGCTTTATAAGTATAAAATATTTATTTTATTTTGAATAAACACGAAAAAAATATACACATAAAATTTAGTACAATTACATAACCATACATATACGTTCTTTTAACCAATTTGCTTTTATTTTAGAAATGCGAGCCATATTGATTTAGTTGTAGGTGCATTAATGGAAACTCCTTTGCCTGGTTCGTTATTGGGCCCAACAGCAAGTTGTATATCAGCTATACAATACTCTAGTCTTAGAATAAGTGATCGATATTGGTACGAAGATGATATATTTCCATCATCTCTTACAAAAGATCAACTAAAAAGTATAAGGAAATTTACGCTATCAAGTTTATTATGTAATAATGGGAAAGATAAGATGTATATTTCAAGAAAAAATTTATTTTTAAAAGAAGATGATTATTTGTAAGTAATGCTAAATAACTTTAATTGTTTTTTATTACATGGAATTATTTTCCTTTTGATTATAGGAATTTTCCATTATCTTGTAAACAGTTTGAATTATTAGATATTGAACCATGGGATTCAGAAAGAAAAGAAATCTCTAAAATATCCACAATACATATTGAAGTTCCTCAACCGAAACGAAATTCTCAACTAGATAATGTACCCACAGACCTAATCCAAAAGGCTGTAAAGAGAATGGAAGAAAAATTGTTGGAAAGAAAAAAATTTGAATATAATTCTTGGCTTGAAAGTAAATAGTTTTTTCAACTATAAACACAAAAAAAAATCTAATTTTCTAGCTTTTATAAATATCAAACCTTTATTTATTATTTTTGCTTAAGATGGTGGACTTGATCCTAAATCTCCGGAAGGTGTTGCAGCCGCATTTAACAAGGCTAATACTGACGCTTTAAGAATGGCTAACGTATCTCTAATGTACGAATACGCTACAAATGAAATTTTACAATCTTTAAATGAAAGAAGAAGAAGACGTAAACGTCAAACAAAACAACAAGGAAAAAATTTCGATCAAAATCAGTTTTCTGATTTGCTCCAAGTAATCGATATATCATCATTTATATCTCCCTCTACAAATTATATTCAGGAAAATGATGGTTATTGCAATGATTTTCAAGCTCAATGTAATCCAAATAGTCCTTTCAGAACACTGAGTGGCCGTTGTAATAATGAAAAGAATCCAGAATGGGGACAATTTTTATCCCCATTTTTAAGACTTTTACCGCCGCAGTATGATGATGGTGTATCGAAACCACGTTCGCTTTCGACGTCTGGTTTACCACTTCCAAATCCTAGAACAATATCAACATTAATTCATCCAGACATTTCAAATTTGCATGGCAGATATTCCTTAATGGTAATGCAATACGCTCAATTTTTAGATCATGACCTCACATTAACACCAACTCATCGAGGTTTTCATGAGTCAATACCAAGTTGTAGAAAATGCGATTCCCCAAAAAAGGTTCATCCTGAATGTAATCCATTCCCAATTCCAGCAGGAGACCACTATTATCCAGAATTTAATATAACAAGTGGAGAACAGCTGTGTTTTCCATTTATGCGATCGCTTCCTGGCCAACAAGGTCTTGGTCCAAGAGATCAAATAAATCAAAATACTCATATTTTAGATGGATCTCAAATTTATGGGCAAAATAATTGTATTGCAACAAAATTAAAAGGATTTTCAGGAAGATTAAATTCTACAATACATCCTGTAAGAGGAAAAGAGTTACTTCCACAAAGTCCACACCATCCAGAATGCAAATCAGCTCAATGTTTTATTGGTGGAGACGATAGAGCTTCCGAGCAGCCAGGACTTACAACAATACATACAATATTTTTGCGTGAACATAACCGAATTGTTGAAGGACTAAGAGGAGTTAATCCACATTGGAACAGCGAACAATTGTACGAAAACGCTAGAAAAATTGTCATTGCTCAAAATCAGCATATTACGTACAACGAATTCTTGCCTCGTATCCTTAGTTGGAATGCAGTAAATTTGTACGGATTGAAATTATTAGATCATGGTTACTTTGATGAATATGATCCTACTTGTGCACCAATTATATTTAATGAATTTGCCGCTGCTGCATTTAGAATTGGTCATTCGCTGTTGAGACCTCATATACCTAGACTGAATGCAAATCATCAACCAGTTGAACCTCCATTGTTACTTAGAGATGGATTTTTCAAAATGGATGTATTGCTTGTTGTATGTAGACGTTATTTATAAAATCTTGGTAAAAATACTAATTCAATTACACTTTAATTTTTACACAGCCAGGGATAATTGACGAAATAGGAAGAGGTTTAGTTGCAACACCAATGGAGAGTTTAGACCAGTTTATTACTGGTGAAGTAACGAATCATTTATTTGAAGATAGAAAAATTCCATTCTCTGGAGTAGATCTCATTTCACTTAATATTCAAAGAGGTATAAAATCTTTTGAGAATTTTAAAAAATTACTTTGACACTCATTGATCTTGCAGGTAGAGATCATGGTATACCATCTTATAACAACTACAGACAACTCTGCAATTTAAAAAGAGCTAAGACATGGCAAGATCTAAGCCGCGAAATTCCAACTGAAGTTATTGCTAGATTCAAAACTATATATGAATCTGTTGATGACATTGATTTATTCCCCGGAGCTATGACAGAAAGGCCATTGCAAGGTGGATTAGTTGGCCCAACTTTGGCATGTATAATTGGTTTACAATTTAGACAACTGCGGAAATGCGATCGTTATTGGTATGAAAACAATATACCAGGAATAAAATTCAGTGAAACACAATTAGCTGAGATAAGAAAAACAACGTTAGCTAAAATTGTTTGTGAAAATCTTGAAATACAAGGTGATATGCAAAGGGCAGCTTTCGATCTTCCAAGCAACTTTTTGTAAGTAACTATTACCTTTATATCATCAATGTAGATACATTTGTATGTATAAAACTTTGAATATTAACACAAATTTTAGGAATCCTAGAGTACCTTGTCAGTCAATGCATCAAATTGATTTATCTGCATGGAGAGAATCCCAAGACGGATGCGAAATCGGCGGAAGAAAAATAAATGTTGGAGACTCTGCTCTACCATCACCATGCACAAGTTGCGTATGCACACTTCAAGGAGTAAGTTTTAAATCATATGTTTTTCTGTAATAAATTTTATTTTTGTAAAATTTAATTTTCTGAAATATTTTTAAATTTTTAAAGCCTCAATGCGCTTCCCTTCGAATAACGGACTGTAATGAATTGCAGAGAGAATGGAGTTTGGAAGACATATTAAAAGATGAAGTTTGTAACTCGCAATGTGGGGCATTTATTAAGAGAAACGTTTTATCAACGGGACTTAAAAATCAAAATTTAAATACATCTAATCGATTTAAAAATACTCGATAGGAATGTAGAAACGTGATCAAATCTTAATTTTAAAATTTTAATTATACCTAAATGTAAATGAAATGTTGTTATTTTTAAGTTTATGTGCAAAAAGAGTTTTAAACGTTAAATTACTTTTATTTAATAAAAACTAATTGTTAATTTAAATGTAGTTTGAAAAATTCATAATGTACTACTGCTACTATTTTTTAGTACAATCCTCTGAAATAATTTATGCAATGCTCAAGTGCCTAGCGCTTAGTACTTAAGGCACTTGATAATAGTAACATGATTAGCGAATCGTTTGAACATGGTTCATATAATTCCCGAAAAAATTTTTAAATTATCATTGCTGTGCAACCGTCTTCGTGGAAGAAGTTCGTTTCCTGAAAAGTAAATATTAAAATTTCTACTTTCAAACTGGTTTTTCGTTAAATAACTAATTAACTAACAAAGCCATTTTTTTGATGTTGGTTAAACTATTACAGATAACTATTTCATTAAACTGAACTATTTTTTTTTTGGTGGAAAATGGCATAGACTTGTAGGTACCTTGTTTAATTATTTTGGTTTTGAAATATTTATTTATAATTTTTTATTTCTTAAATTTAATCAACATATGGGGTATGATTTTTGCTAACCGGTTTCAAAAACAGTATACGTAACAAAAACAAAACACTGAATATTTTAATGCGACTATGCGGCTATTGTTTAAAATATATAAACTCCACCAGATATCACGAAGATTAGAACTTTTACCTGTGATTGCACGAACACTTCTGCATCAATAGTTGACATACGTTCCATTCTCCCTGCCAATAAAGCTTGTTGCCCAGGGGGAATGAAATGTATGTCAATCTTTAATGATTATATAATTGTTGGTTTTATAATAACTAATACAGTTACTAAAACAGACGACTAATGAAGCTCTAAATTAGAGTTGCGAACTTAAACATAATCGTTCAAAAAGATATTTCAGCTTCGCAAACGAACGAAATAAAGAGTCAGCTGAGCCATCAAAATTTAATCAAAATTTAAATGAGTTAATTTTTAATTTTTGTGCTTAAATAAAATATATCGAAATTTTAATAACTGGAAACCGATACTTTAAGTTGAACGCTTTAAGTATCGTCGATCATCTGCACCAATCAAAATTTGTATCTGTGTCAATTGCCATCATTATACATAACATTATAATTCGTAATGGAAATTTCTTTATACATACATCTTTGAAATAGACAGTAAGCTATTCATTAAACTATAAGTTTTCCTTGAAAAACGACGATTTATTTGTCAAAAATAACAATTTTTGTACTAATTTTAAATTTGAATATATATTTTTAGAATTCAAAAAATAAGTAAACGTGTAAACACGCACATTAAGCTAAAGTAATTATATTTAGCTATTGAACAGAACAAATATGTATTTGATTTTTGAAGAATTTTCCAAAGGTATTATAGTTGGCCAAACTGTGTATGTATGTATGTAATTTGTAAACTGTAAACAAATTGATTGATAAATTTGCTTAAAATATTTTGTTTATGTTTTTAATTGCTTATAATTAATCCTATATGATTATAATGGCAGTTTCAGAATGTATGTTGTCGAATTCACTAAATGACAACGAAAATTATGTTGAACTATACGAAAAACAAAATAATTCTAAAGAAGAACAGGGCTATAAATGTGGTGAAGCTTATTATGTGTGTAGTAAAGGAACAATCAATGTTCGATGCACTTTATGTGGAACATATTTTGAATACGGTAATGAAAAATACTTAAAACATATAATAAAGGATCACTTCAGTTCATATTTATTTGCAAAAGGATCTCAAGGTTACCATTTACCAGGTATTTATATTATATTTTTTTTGGGGTAAGTACCTACCCACATGTATTGTGTTTCAATTTCTTCATCGAACAATTTTTAGGCACTAACTCTGATGAAAACAATGAAATCTCAGATAGTAATAGCGGTATTAAGACCAATTTAAAAAAGAATTTTACGCAACAATTTGAAAAACTTGAAAGCAAAGACCAATTGAAAATTCGTAAATTTAGCAAAAAACGTTCGAAAGTAAAAAAAGAGGAGCGTCAGAGCCTAAGCTGTTCTGAAGAGTTCAATGATAAATGTAATTTAATCAAAAATGTAGACATTACTGATTTAAAAGCAAGCGACGGTCTTATATGTGAACAATGTGGAAGAAAATTCGCTCGTAAAAATACCTTGGAATCTCATTATGAAATCGCTCATAATCCTAATAGGAAGTTGTTTCCTTGTAGTGAATGCGAAAAATCGTTCACCACTTCAGAAGGTTTGATGGCGCATAATAGGCATTATCATACAAAAGAGCTCCCTTATATTTGCAAAGTGGAAAATTGCAATAAAAGATATGCAAGCCAAAAGGGATTAAAGTATCATCAAGCTAAACATTCTAATACAACATTTTCGTGTTCTGAGTGTAATAAACAATATTCGCATAAAAATAAATTGCAAATTCATTTTAAGAGGCATCATTCTGTGGGAAAAACTTATCATTGCGTGCAATGCGACAAAAGTTTTTATGGATCCTACTTTCTGAAAAAGCACATGGTTTGCCATACAAATGAAAGGCCATTTTTATGCGATCAATGTCCAGCTAGCTTCCCAAGACAAAAAGCTTTAATAGCTCATAAAAAGATTCACTCTGGAAAGAGAGATGAAATTTGCAAATTGTGTGGACAAGCTTTTAATCTCTATGAAGGTTTATATCAGCATATGAGAATTAGACATGGAATTAAATATTATAGAGCAATGACATTGCAAGATATGAAAATTAAAGAAAAAGAAGCTTCAAATACAAATTCCTAAGTTTAAGGTTAAAGTAATATTATTCATTATTGTTCATTTTATATGCCCGATAGAATATTTACAGATGGCTGTATGTACCAAAAATCAAGTTAAAAATGGACCACGTGAGTCGGTTAGATTGCTTTGGAAAAATACACCTTATAAATACTATTGAGTGTATCGTATTACATATTATATTATATACATACATATGTATGTATATAAGTATTCAAATTTGTACTGTTGTGCTTATATACATATAAAAACTATTCATTACTCTTTTGTACTAATACAAAATTTACATCAATTATAGATGTTTGTAGACATCCTTGAATCTTACGAAGAATCATGGTTACCAGTACCTATGTTTACACGATGACTTATTTCTTTATCGTGACTTCAATAATGCGCTTACGACGTAAAATTTTCCTAAATGCGCTCTATAGTAAGTTTAAGTACGGTATTAATACGATTGTAGTACCGCCTCAGAGCTTTCAACACTTTTATATTGTAAAAAAAAATGCTAAAGCTTTTGATACATTTTCGAATACAAATTGTATAATATTATGTACATGCTTTATTGCTGAAAATATATGCTAGTTTATATAATTGATTATTTCTGGCAACATTTATATGACATGTATAAGAAAAGCGCGCTCGATTTTTTCGATACCCAATTTACTTTTATTTTACGTATCCACTACGTATAAAACGCGTATAGGAAAAGTGTACAATGTCAAGAGCTTTTACTAAACTTTTTGGAATGTTACTTGATACAAAGATGTTACTTGATGGTAAAGTTTACGTTTTCAGCGCATTATTTAAGCAATGGTTTGTTACAAATTTTCACAAAACTCTTAGGTGTGTTAAATCTGTCGAAAATAATGAGTTACGAACTTAGCTGCGACGTAGATTTTTGATTCATCACAAATTCCTTTTGTAGAGATTATGAATGAGCATTGACAGCACCATATTTCGGGAGTTACAAAACCAGTATTTTATTTCAATTGTCAAGTGATTATTTATTTTTTTTTTGCTATTTTAGTAAACAATGTTTATACGAAAATAAATTCTGCAAAAGCGCAGTTTTAAAGTTTTTTTAGTTTTTGAATATTTTTGAAAAGTAGAAAAAAAAATTTGTAGCAAATATGAAATTTAAAACAACTACTCTCTTTTAACTGCTTGTTTCGTGTGATTATTTCTTTCGTAGACTTTTGAGGGTTATTTTTATCAATATAATTAAAGATTACGAATATTCAGAGCTGAATTTCAGTAATTCGGAATTGACGATATGAAATTCGTAATTTTCCAAATTTCAGGGCTACGAACGAAATTCATAATAGGGTTGAATACACTTTTATACACATCCTTAAATGGAAATATGTACAGAGTATGGTCTAAGCTACAACATTTTTTTGAATACCGAATGCGCACATTAACGTCAAACTGCTTAAAAGGTATCAGCGACGACAACGTAAGAGAAATGTAAAACGTAATGAAAACTTACCAAACTAGGCGAATTTGCTATCACTGATTCAAATAATTTATGATACTTAACGAGGCATTCGATTAAATATTTTTGTTGCTGCGTAGTGGTAACTCTGTTTTGAATTTGTGTTGTCGGCCTTTCACTTTCGTCATTCTTAAATAGTGAACGTCGAATTTATTGCGCTTAATAAAAATAAAGTAAAAAAGAATTAAAACGAGTAAATTCACCTAATATATTTTAAAAGTACATAAAACTTTGAAAATGAGTCGCGGTAATCGACCTCCTCCTCGTATAGACGGCATGGTGTCTTTAAAGGTAATTATTTAATTTATGATGTCAAATATGGCGGCTATAAATTTTCTTGACGAAAAGGTGGATAATTTAACGTATCGTACAACACCAGAAGATTTAAGGCGTGTTTTTGAAAGATGTGGAGAAGTTGGTGATATATATATTCCTAGAGATCGGTTCACAAGAGAAAGTAGAGGTTTTGCTTTCGTAAGGTAATTTAATTGATTAAAGTTAAAATGGCGTTCACATTTCGTAACAAAATATTATTAGATTTTTTGATAAAAGAGACGCCGAAGATGCACTTGAAGCAATGGATGGTAGAGTAGTTGATGGAAGAGAGCTTCGCGTTCAAATGGCTAGATATGGTCGTCCAACTTCACCAAGCAGAAGAGGAGGTGGTCGACGTGGTCGTGATAACAGAAGACGCTCTCGTTCGCCAAGATATAGGCGCCGCTCCTATTCTAGGTCGCGAACTCCAGATAGTGTGTCGCCGAGACGAAGAGGTAAATTCTCTCGTTCAAGAAGTGCTGATAAAAACAGAAGCCGAAGCGGAAGTCGTAACAGAAGAAGTGAATCAAGAAGCCCCAGGCGCAGCAGGAGTTAAAAAGCATAACGTGTCAGGTAATTATAAAATTTAAATATTTCAGATGTTTTTAATATTTTAATTATATTTCAGATACATATTGCCCTAAAAATTTAAAGGAAGTAAAATAGGTACCCTACCAAGACTAAAAAAAAAAAAGAAATCGTCTTTTACCACACATTAAACAATTTTTTTTTATTATAAGACTACTGCAATTATAATAATCAGTATAAAATATATTGATAAAATAACTTAAAAAAAACTAAATTAAATTAAGAAAAATTAAATAATAATGTATAATGATAAATGCTTCCTATTCATAAATCGTGTCAAAAAGTTGCATTTCAAATTAAATTTTTAACACAGACAAAAATGTTCTATGGTTAAAACCTTTCTAAAAGCATTTTCAATTAAAACGAAAGTTTAAAATTTTAAATTCAAAAAAAAATTGTAAACTCGAAATGTTCTTAAAACTAAACTTCAACTTAAAAATATTACACTTAATATAAATTTAAAAATTGAAGTTTTAAACATGTATTTTATATCATATAGTATGAGTTTATAACAATATTCGTAGAAAAAAGCAATGATTCTTAAATATGTTATCTACATATTTCTCAACTTAAAACTAAATTCAATCTACATTTTTTAATAATAAATTTAATTTAAATCTTAATTAGAAAAATAATGTCTTCAATTTCTATTCAAGTATTTCCCTTTTAGAATTCCTTTTGAAAAAATGTTTAAAAAAGTTTTCTGATATTTTTTGATTTATTTTTTATTTAAATTTAAGATTTCTTTAATAATAGTTAATATTTATCTTATAGAGCATCCCATCATTAAAGCCGTTTACGATCCAGAAATATTGGATTCGTGTGCAGTTTTTGTGAATATTATGCAGAATTTATGATAGTAAAAGATCATGTATAGAAAGAAAGCTGCTCGTTAATTTTCGATTTGGGTTTTAATCAAAGAATTCTGAAATGGCTGAGAATGCTGAGTTAGCTTTATTGTGGTGTCAAAAAAAAAAGAAAAAAGCTGCAACCAGATTTATATAGTTTTAAAAAAAAAATTAAGAAATTTAATGGCAACACTTCTTATATTTGATTATTTTGGTATGTTCTTTATTCTCCAGAAACTTTTACCAACTCTTTAAAGTACAAAAAATCAAAAATCGTAATTTTTATTTATAGTTCGAGACTAGAAGCAGTTTTCTATTAAAATATTAATTTTTGCAGTTCTTTAATATAAATGCAGCAGTAAATGTATAGCGTAAATTCATCTTATTACATACCAGTATTTGCCGATTGTTAAAGTTTTAGGTTTTTTTTTTTTGTTTTTCGTCGCGTCTATTTTATTAAAATTACGTTTCCAGTTTTATTGCAAAGCAGTTTAAGTATGAAGTTTTCCAGTGATTCTTTGGCTTGGAAGCTGCTTGTCACCATGTTACCTGTTTGCGGCAACTGATTATTGCAGTTTACGGGTCATTTTGGCAGTCCTTCAGTGGTGTTTTTAATAGGTAAAATGAAAAAAAGGCTTAAATCCTTTCAGTTTGTAATCTAAAGATAAGACAATGGTGAAATTTTTATATTTTAAAGTAAATCCCAATAAAATTCTTTTTCAAACATGACACAAAAACAAATTTACATGTAAAATATAAAAATTTTAATATATTTTGAGATTAAAGTAGAAAAATTTTGCTAGTATCTCAAAATCCCATTGTTTTTGATGATAGCATTTAGAAATAGAAAGGATGTTAAGCTATATTCAATACCAGCAGCAAAGTTCCCATTTTAATTTTCTGCTACATATTTTTATTATTTTATTTTTCAATTAACTTTCCCAAACAACAAACGGAACCTCCGAATAATATACATATGTACGAAATTTCAATTTTGTATTTAAACTTGAGGTTTTTATTTAGTTGGGTTCAGCTGTTTTATTTCAAAATTTCAAGTATAGACGTATTTTAAAATTTTTATTTGGTTAGAAAAGGCTTTGAGAATTCTAAAATTTATAATTTTAAAGAAAAAGTCGGGAAATATAACAAAAGGATTATTATTTTTAACCAATGGATTATGCTTGGTTTACATTTTTATATATACATACATAGATAATTAATACATACACATATGTACCTATATTAAGAGTCGTTCGATTTCAATTTGGGCTTTTTCAAATAAATGCAGAAATCCCTACAAAGTCTTGAATTTAAAATAAATTATTAGAAAAAAAAAACTTGTGTTTCATTAAAAAATAATTACTTAAATATTGGTTTATAGGAAGCTAATCCCGAAAAAGCTTTAAAATAAACAATGTTATCACATTTCCATCAAGTTAAAATAGATGATAGGTACGTTACAATTATAAAATACATACATATCAAAAAACTACAACGTGTAATAAGATTGTATGTGATTTCAAGGATTATTTTTCATACAATGAAGAATTTTTTACTGGCCTTTAAATATGCAAATAAATACATATCTTCTTTACCTAACCCTTTATTAGGCATCTAGGGTTAAAAGAATCTCAAATTAAAAAAAATATGGTACATGGCTGCGTGCACACTACCATTCCATTCATTTTCTTAATTTACTCTCGTCTGTCTAGCAAAAAGTAATTTTCCGCTTTTTTCGAAAAAAAGCGAAGATTTTCCTCCGCTCTTTGCTTCTCAATCCAATAAAATCTTCCTTTATAAATTTTTATATATACATGTGTTTACATAATATATATATAGATAACGTTTATTTAGATATCGTTAACTAACAGTTTTATACTTATTGAACTTTAATTAAAATTTCAACAATAAAAAGAAGCATTTAGAACAGCAAAGATTGACAGATTTGAAAAGTTATACAAATTCAAGTATTCATTAAAGACGAAAAAAAGTTAAAAATAATTAAGTTGTCAAATTGGAAGTACAAGTTATTTGAAATGTGACTTTTAGTTTTCAGTTTTTTATAATTCTCAGTAAGTTCGCTAAATCCTAAATCCAAAAGAAGAATTTTTAACTTCAAAACTTACTTATCCAGTATTGAATGCACTAGCATCTGAAGTGTCAAATTCATAAGAGTGCATAAACGACAATGTTTTGAATAAGTTTTTCAGATTAATATTAAAAATTCCGTCAAAATATTGATACGAATATTCAATCAAAATTAGCGACCATCAGATTGAGAAACATTGATACAAATCATAACAAATAATGATGTGAGCAAGCATGTTAATTACAGCTGTCTGTTGCAAAACTTTGAAAAAACTTATATAAAGTGTACGCAACATTCATATGTATTGCGTCGACTCAATTTTAATGACACGATATTTGACAAATTGAAACTAAAAGTACTCCTGCAGCAACGAAGCCAAGAAATCTCAATTTTTCATCGTAATTTTTAATAATATGGCAAATTAGTAACAATTTCAGAACAAATGATAAAAATTTGGTTACAAAAACTTATGATTAACAAAATCCTTCGCTGTAAATAACAAATAACAGGTGAGTAAATGTAAAAAAGTAGGCAAATTATTTTTCAAGGTTCTATTTGTTTATTGTGAAAAAATTTTTTTAACTGTTTTTGCTACTTTGCACAATGGCCTTAATTTTCATTGAAAATTCGAATTAGAAAATTATTTTGCAAAATTTTAAATTTAAAAAAAACTCTTGTAATAAAATGTTTAATTAAAGAAAATAAAATTTGTATGACGTACATAGGTATCTTAATAATTAATTTTTCAACAAAGGTTTTTTTTTTCAAAAACAAGAATATTTATGTAATTAAGACAAAATATGCACCTACGTACCTTACCTAAATATAGATTAAAAAAATACCAGTTTATAAAATTTTTTATGCATAAATTGTACAAAATTAACTTTTTCAATGTTGTCTACATTAAATATTTTGCATAAAATTTGGTACCTAACTATATACATAAATTCGATTCTTAAAAATTTTTCGTGAAAAGAGAAACTACAAAAAAAAATCAATTCAAATAATTGATGAACGTAGTTATGGATTATTTGTAGTAGTTAGAGGTTTGCACATATATATTAACTTTACTAACATAGAGCCATATTTCTTTTTAATTGTTTTAGTTCATAAGTTAAAAAAAAGGTTTTAAAATAAATAGCCTCGTTTTAGAATTTTAATTACTATTAAGTGCAATTTTTTTTCATTATATCTACACAGCGAGTCTTCCAAGACCTATACTTATCAAATTATCTTAAAGTAAATGTCGAGAAGTTTGATAAATTACTTGATGTGAAGGAACAATCACAAATAATTAGCACACATTATTAATTATATTACCTGTCTATTAACATAAAAATTATATCTGTAGCCTAATCTAATCGTAACAATAACATTTAGCTAATGATATATGGTTTTAATTTGTTTCATTTTTCTATTGGTAGATATCTGTTTATTGTTTTTACTAGCAAAAATACAGATAATAATGAAAAATCAAATGGAAAAAGTAGTATTCGTATTACTTCACATTTTTATCGCAGCAATAGGAAGTCAATTAAATGAAAATTGTAAAGTGAACATAGTAAAAAGATCGCCAAAAGATCTGAACAATGACGCCCAATACTTTGAATTATTTTGTGAAAAAGTATCATATGTTCGGTTAGAAAGTAGCCTCATTGATAATATAGAACAATTGAGCTGGATAAAAAGCGAAGTCAATGACGTAATTTTAGGAAGACTACTCAAAAAACATGGGACGGCTTTACATCATATTGAAGTTTTAGATTTCAGCGGTAATATCATCGAAAATATTGATTTTGAAATTTTCAAAGATAATCATATGCTTAAAACATTGAAACTAAATCAAAATCTGATTAAGAACATAAATTTATATGATTTAAATAATTTGCAAGAATTATATTTAGATAATAACAACATACAAACATTCAATATAAATAATGAAACATTAACGCATAAGCTATCAAGAAATCTAAAGGTTTTACACATTTCTAATAATGATATATATAACATATCAGATATCAATATGTTTATGAATTTTAAAGTCTTGGAAGAACTGAATATTGCAGGGAATAAAATATATAATGTTCCTTATAAACTTTTATACGAACTGAGAGATCTTAAATGTTTAAATTTATCATCTAATTTTATAAAAACATTTAATAATAATAATGATAATATACTAGCACATATAAGTTTACAAACTCTAATTTTAAATAATAATAAGATTGAAAAAGTGGAAATAAATTCTTTTAATAAATTTGAACATTTACAAAAATTAGATATTTCTTACAATGAAATATATGTGATTGAAGAGAATTCCTTTGATAATTTATATAATTTAAAATCACTAAATTTGCGTGGCAACAAAATTTCTTTAATACCTTCAGAATTATTTACTAACTTGAAACTATTAGAAAAGCTAGATATAAGTGAAAATAATGTTATAATTATTCCAAATGGATTGTTCCGGCATCAATATAATATGCAATCTTTGTTTATTGAGAATACAAACTTGAACTATATCGGCAATTTTATATCTGAGAAACATAATGAAATTAATACATCTGTATTGAAAAACCTAAAAATATTAAAAATCACTAATAATAGAAATCTTATCACGATGCCCGACACCTTATATAAGAATTGTGAAAATCTTTTACAGTTGAATATTTCACATAACGCTTTAGAACACATCCCATCACAAATTGGAAATCTTAAATTCATAGAAAAAATTGATATTAGCAACAATAAAATAAAATACCTTCCAAATACTTTAATGGATTTACAAAATATGAAGGAATTTAACATGATAAATAATAATTTTGTTTGTGATTGCCATATGTACTGGATACTGAATTGGACAAATCAATTAAATTTGTCTATTGAGGGTTCCAAAGAACATGAGAGCAAAACAATGTGGCAAATAAAAATGTCTACCTGTAATGAAGGAGAAACATTTTCAGAATCAAGAAATCAATCAGGAAATATGTTGGCCGTACTAAAAAATATGTCATGCATTAAACCAGTGGTTTTGCGATATTCAGAGAGTACAATGCATTTCTTAGATTCAAATACTTCTTTTGAGTGTCAATTTTTTGGTAGTCCAGAACCTAAAATAAGTTGGCGTACTCCTACAAATGAAATTCTACAGTTTGATGAATATAACATTTACAATAAATTGCAAATTGGAAATACACACATCAAATTAATAGAACCAGGAAAACTTAGCATTAGTAATATATATAGAAATGATAGCGGCCTTTATACATGTTTTGCTGAGAATATAATGGGAAACTCTTCAGCTTACATAAGGTATTTTATTAATATTTAACTAATTGCTGGGTGATATATATATGAGGATAATAAGAGTTTCTTTTTAAAAAAAATTTCAGATTATTTATCAATCCAATATGGTTTTATGAAGTCAAAATCTGGAGTATTATTACTGGATTCGTATCGGCTTTCGGTTTCCTTTTTATAACTATCCTAGCTCATGCTATTAAGAAAATAGTTTATAAGTATACTATAAAATACAAAAATATTTTATCAGTTTATTTGATATTTTATTTGATATCTTTCAAGGTATTGTTATCCTAAAAAAGCTGAGGATTCAGATCCAGAGTTACCCAAAGGGAAACAGGTTTATTCCCTTTTAGACAATATAGAACATTATAAAAGTCAACAGTTGGAAAAATTAAAGGAAAATTATAAACAACAAGTACATATATTTTAATTAATTAAAAAAATAGAACATTTAAATATCTTTAATTAATAAATAGGTGTGTAAAATTAGAGAAAATTGTAATCAACAAGTTGAGTGGATACACAGCCAATATAATACACAAACAAAAAATATCAAGGAAATAAAAAATATAGGACAACACCATTTGGTATTTATAAGAGGGCAATATTATGATCAGGTTTGTGCTATGTGCATTTGTAGCAATGGAATATCTTTTATAATTATCCTAAATTTTTAGATTAAAAGAGTTAGAGAATATACCACTGGTCAATTGAATTGGGTTCAGGAAAACTATATATTTCAAAGAAATAAAATACGGAAATTCAGTTCTCATCATATATTGCGTTTGCGAGAAAGTTATAGATATCAGCAACAAACACTAAATAAAGTTCTAGAAAATCTACCAACATTTTATTTTGAAAATTGTAGGGGAAGATGTGATGAGTATTTAGATGTTGGTAAGTTACCAATCAATTTTTAAAATTTAAATTTTGTGTTCGTAGATATATGTGGGACTTAAATAATTGTTTTATTTCATTTAATTAATTTATTTCATAATACTTGAGTTAATTATTTTTTTTACGCTTGTTTTTATAATTTTAAGCACTTTCATTTACTATTTTCGTTTTAATTTAATTTTTGTCCAATAAAATGAAAAATTTAGTTCCATAATTTTAATTTCAATTTTTAATAAATTTAAAAATTTTTAATTAATCAATTTTAAAATCTATTTTAATTTTGTTTAACTTAAATCTTAAATTTTAACTTTAAGTGTAGTACCTAATTTTCATTCTGACTTTTACTTTGTTAAAATTTTATATACTTAATAACGTAATTAGAACAATTTAAAATTAGTTCCCACATATATTTAATAACATTTTATATTTGATATGATTATATTTGGTCGTTGATGTGATCACAAATTGAATTATGAATCAACTTTTTTACTTTTATTTTCTTAGATATAAATTCTATCGAGTGTCCACGTAAAAAAAACTCTTGTTAAATATATCTTTAATTACATAATATTTATTATATTATATGCTCTTAATTATTTACTATATATGCCTAAAATATTTTTAAAAATTTTAGATTTTGAGGTGTATATGAAATCATGTATGAATGCTGGAAGTCAAGAAGGTGAAAGTAGTTTAATTGATGACGAAGAAAATTTACAAAATATTTCCTCAAAAAGTTCAATATGCAGTCGCCCATCAATATATTATACACCAGTGTATGAATCTCGTAGTGATTATTTGGGATCGCCAATACATAAAAGTTATCTTACAAGGAAAAATGCTCAAAGCGACAGTAACTTAAGTAATTATGATGAACATTCTACTGATAAATGATATAATTAAAATTTCAAAAAATAAGTTTTTAATTTAGTGAATTATTATGATGTAAAAAAAAAATTAAGAAAAAAAGTTTATATATTAATTTGAAAATGAAAAAAGCAAAAAAAAAACATAAAATATTTGTATATAAAATGAGGAAATATGGTTGAATTTTAGAAAATTGTTAGTTATAAAATTTATAAATAAAATAAAGACTGTTGAAAATATGTGTATATATATTATGCATGTAAATTATAAAATGATTTTCTATTTATTAAAATGCACGTAATATTAGATATGCTCAGATATTCAATAATTCCAAGAAATTTTATCAATTGGATGGTTTATTTTGAAAGTAACCCAAGTGCATTTGCAATTGTAAAATTCTTTGATTTTCGAAGCAATTATAATGTCAATAGTTGCAGTTAAAATTCATGTTCTTGAATAGGGAAATAAACTTACTATAAAGTAAATAACCAGCTAATCAAATTTTAAGTTGCTTTGAACCCGAACCGAGCAATATTTCATTTTTATTTGAAATAGATTCAATATTGTTTTATTGAAATAAATTCAATTATTGTTCGCAAAGCTAGAACAATCGAGCTTTGCGAACAATAATTTGGTAGAGATAGGGATGTTACGGAAAAATTTCTCCAATATCTTAGTTCCTTAAAGTTTTTAAAATTTTAAATTGAGTAATTGCTTTTTTTTTTTTTTGAGAGGAGATTAAATGGTAGAATACTTTAAAGTCGAATCCTTGATATTACAAAATTCCAGTATAAACACACATTAAACAAGTCATAAGCCTGAATTGTATGCAAATTACAATATTTCTTATATAATGTTAATTTTTTATTAAAAAAAAGGAAAATAAAAAAAAATGAAAAACTTTTTTCAGTGTTTTTTTTTTTTTTATATGTAAAATAATTTTTATTTTAAATAAATACTTTTTAAGAGACAGTGTAATACATAATTTAAATTTTGGATTAATAAATAATATGAAGCAATATATTTTAATTTTCTTGTTTCAGTATTTTTTTTTTTCATATTTTTTTTCTTAGTTTTTTTTTTTTTGTTTTTTTTTTATGTTAAGTTTTTGATTTTAATTTTACAATATTTCTGGGGGAACAAGAGTGTTAAGCAAATTTCATAATACTTTAATATAATTATATATAAACATATATATATATACAATATATATATATACATTTCTTTTTTCACGTTTTGTAAACTTAAATTTATAAGCTTATAATAATATACTGGTTAACGTTTCAATTAAAAAAATTTGTGAGAACTTAATAAAAAAAGTAAAAAGTATAAAAAAAAAATAGATTGAAAGAAAGAGATGAGAAGGAAATACAGAAAGACAGAGAGAGAGAGAGAGAACGAGTGGGGTAGACAACAACTTTTTAAAGCTAATTTTTACACTAATTTTATTTTTTTTTTTTTTAGTTCTCATATATTTTTCTTTATTGTCAACTAAAGCTGAATTTAAGTGTGGTGAATTTTTTTTTTTTTTGTTTTTAGTTTAAATGAGTTTAAAAAAGAAATATTAATATACTTTAATATTTAATACATATATCTATATATATTTTTAAGTACATTTTTATTTTTTTGTGTTTTTATAGCAATCCAAATAAAGAAACTAATTCTGATTTGAGTTAAAAAGAAAAATACATATATATATATGTATGTAGTTATGTATGTAATATTTTTTGTGGATTTTTTATAAAATGTAGTAGATCTTACTTAAAATGAAAATAGCATTAATACGGTATTGAAACACAATTCAGCTTACAAAATTTTTTATTGCTGAATTGTTAAGCATAATTTGAAGTTTTATTGCAATTTTAAACACTAGGTCCCTATTGCATCAACCACTTTTATTTTTTAACTTTTTAGAAATTTTTGCAAATTTTTTGATTAATTGATCAAAAAAAAAAAGTAAAAAAATTATTGATCCAATGGGAACGTATTAGGGATAATTTAAAATAGTGTGAAATATTAAAAGATAACAAGAAAATTTTAAAATTATAGGTGATGATTTTTAATGTTCATATTATGTTTTTTTTTCTTATTTTTCATTATCTTTCTAATTTTGTTTTGAAATTAAAATTTTTTTTTGACGATCTTTTAATTAAAATTTTAATGGCCATTATTGATTCATCTATCAAAATATAAATGTAACGTCAATTTAATTTATTCAGCAATAACAATTACAATTAACTGAATCATTTAAATTGATGTTAGATTTGCATTTTAGTAGATCACAATCAAAAACTACCAAATACTAAAGAAAAAATTAGTGAACGAGAAGCAACTGTATCATAGTCAAATTTTTTTCTATACTTACACAAAAAAATACAACACAAAAGAATGAATGATAAAAACAATAATGACAGGACCACAATGTTAACCACAAAAATGATTTTTTTAACCACAAAAAATATTTCATAAATTTTTTTCTGTTTTTTTTTTTTTTAATTGCTTAAAAATATTAAAATATTTTTCAATTAAAAAATGTTTTTTTTGAATTGCTTGATTATATATATATATATATGTAGGTATATATATTAATTATAATAATATTTTTACGTACATATTGTTGACTACCTTCTTATAAAGCAAAAAATAACTTTTTGAAACAAAGTTGTTTTTTTTTTTTTTCTTCTTTTTACATAATACAATAGTGTGTATACATATTTTATTTAATTATTTATATTTATTAATTTATTAATTTTTTTGTAGTTTATGTTTTATGATTTTCATTTCTTTTTTTTTAATTTTAATTTTCAATAAATACGTCATGTTCTGCAGTATAAAATTACTGATAAAATATTTTCTTTTTGTTTTTTTCTTTTTTTTAATTATTTTTTATATTCAATACTTTATTACATTCGGTTCAAATTATCACTTTAAAAGGCATAATAGTTTATTTTTTTTTTAAAATATTTTATAATTTTTTGTTTTTATCTACCTATACATCAAACTGCAGTTTTTTAATAAAAAAAAAAAAAAATTTCAATTTTTTATGAGTATCAAAGGAAATTCTATTCAAGAATAATGTTTTTTTTTTTTTAATTTATTTTTTTATAAATATATACAGGCATTTTATATATTATGTACATATTTTGCAAATATATATATTTTTAAATTTTTTTTTTCAGCTTCAGTGTAAAGATGTCCTAATTTAATTTAAATAAAAAAAAAATATTAATTACACAAGTTTGAATTTAAAATGATTAAAATTATCAAATATTAATTATTATTAATTTATAATTTTTTTTTTTTTTTACAATATAATCCGTATAAATAACTATTGTAATATTAAAAATAAGAAATCCTAAAACAAAATTTATTAATTATTTTAATTAATAATTTTGTTTTTTTTTTTTTTTTTTTAATATTAATTATTTGTTATGAAATATAGTTACATTTTTATATATAAGTATATATTATATGGGTTCAGCAAATATTTTAAAAATAAAAAAAAAAATCAAATTAAAAATTTAAGTAATTATGCAGGTACTGTTTTTTCTTTTTTTTTTATATAAAATATATATATTGTGTGTTTTCACGTTTATAATTTAATTTGCTCTTGTTTTCTTATGATTTTAATATTAAAAAAAAAATTAAGTTTAATTTCAGATTTGTAGTTTTTCTTTTTATTTTATATAAATATTTTTTGCGTTTTTATTCAAAATTCAATTTTAAAGCAAGCCCAAGATTTAAAGAAAAAAAAAATAATTTTTAAATAAATGAATTCCTTACATTTGTCTAAATGCAAGAGAATTATTAGAATGATTACAGCAAAGAATCAAAAAGATAAAAACCTAATAAATAATAAAAAAAAAAAATTACATGAACAGTTTACAGAATTTAAAATTATAAGAAGATTTTGTTATTTGAAATTTTGAAACAAATTTCTTTAAGTTTATTTTTAAAATTTGAAAATAAACTTAAAGAAATTTTCAAACAGTTTTATTTATTTTGTTCCAAATTTCAGGAGACCTTTCTATCTTAAAAAAGTCAAAACAGAAATCTATTTTTTTTTTTTTTTTCATTTACAATTAAATTACAATAATTAGAAATTTATTTTATCAAAGCTCAATTTTTTAGATTTTTATAATATAATGCTCATTACTTAAATGCAATTATTGAAAATTATTTAATTCAAAACTAATAACAAAAGATATTTTATGCCAGTTCTATAGGCTTATTCTTTAATTTACAATTTACCGAAATAGAAAAAAAATATTAGTCAATGACATTTAAAATATATTCAAAATGTATACACTGAGAGAAAATAAATTTTATAATTCTTGATCAATACACTGAAAGAAATTGAAATTAAGTTTGAACAAAATTTCAAAATCAGTATACAGTAAAACTTTAATTCTTATTTACATTTATAAATAAAAATTAACTTTTTATTATTAAAATATTACTTATTTTTTAATATGTTTAAAGTTTAATTAAAATTTGGTTTTAGTATTTTTCGAAAATTATAAAATTTCATTCTTCTCATAGTATAAATCTTTAGTGCACGTTTTCGCACAATTCAGATAAATGCTTACAAAATATGATAATTTTTCAATTTATTTTTCTTTTACTTTAATAGTAGTAAAATTATATCGTATTTTTTTTTATTTTTTCTTTAAAATAACTTGAAATTTATAATAAAATAAATAGGCCAATATGACTTATTTTGAGTATAATAAATATATGTATATTGTTAAAATGATTAAAAATTAAATTAAAAAGTAAGAATGACATAAAATTCTTTTTATCTCAGTTTGTATAATGGTTTTTATATTTTCAAAATCAATTTAATAAATAGAAATAATGATAAGTATTATATAGATACTAATTGACATATTTTTAATTTATGGATATATAATCAACAATATTCTGCCAGTAACTTCACTTGACCAATTATGGCAATTATTGAAAAATTTTTAAGTTTTTCTGAAGAAAATCAATTTGGAAATTTGAAATTCTACCCACCTCAATCACCTCAAGTGATGCTACTAACAGAATATTGGTGGAAAATTTGGTTTTTTAAAAAAGAATTGAAAACAAAAAAATTAAGCAAACTGGACAAAAAATAAAATTTATAATTACATTTGATTAAAATGTTTGGGGTTTAATTTTTTTCTGTTTTAAACATTTTTTTTAAAGCTATTTTAAATATTTTAAAAGATACTAACTAGATTTTCAAAGTTTAAGATTTTTCATGAAAATTTTTTAAATATTTTTTTTTTTAGTTTGAACATTTTTATAGTATTTTTGTCATTAAACAATGAGTTTTTTTCTTTCTATGTCCTATTTTATATATTTTACAAAATATAGAATATAATTAAATTTTATTGAAATAAAATAATTTTTGAAGCTCACTGAACATTTTAAAAACGGAGTTTTTTGAATTTTAATAATAACTTTTACATTATATTTGATAGTATTGTGATAAAACAATATAAAAAATAAGAAAAACGAATAAAATTAAAAAAAAAAATTGTATGAATAGAAATAATTTAAATGAATTTTTGATATTCAATTAAATATATAATAAGGACATAGAAATTGAGTTCTAAAAAAATATTCCATTTTATTAATTTTTATTTCATTTCATTTTTTTTTTCTTTGTTTTCAATATTTAAAATTTACAATGTACAAAATTTGCGGCGTGCACATTAAACTGTTCAATTAATATTTTTATTATAATTCTTAATTTTCTCTTTTTTTTTACATTTATTATAATTTTTATATTTTTTTTTTTATATTTTTAAATGTATAAAAGGCACAAGAATTGAGACATATGTTTTATATTTAAAATTTTCAGAACAAAATAATTAAAAAAATTTAAAATTAAAATAAACATTTAGTTGAGTTTTTTTTTTAGAAAAAAAAAAATCAAAAATAAATAATTAATACTGAAAAAGTGTTATATGAGTTTTGAGTGAAAAAGTTAATAAGAACACAAAAATATAATAATAATAATAATAATAAATACACATATAAACTATTAAAACTACTGCTGCCCATCACAATTATTTTTTTTTTTTATTATTTTTTACAATATTAATAATATCACTTGTAAAGCGATAAATACAGGGTTTTGTTTTTTTCTTTTTTTTTAAATATGATATTTTAAAGCGATATATTAATTTTTTCTTTTAATTTAATATCTTCATGTTTTTACAAATAGAAATTTACAATTATTTTTCATTTTCATTATTAATATTTTTCTTGTTATACAAATAAGAAATTCTCTTTGAAAGAAAATGCCCTATTTTATAAATTTGAAAACCTAATTGATTTTGGCAAAAAAATTTTTATTTTTTTCATTTTTGTAGCTTTTGAGTTTTAATATTAACACATAACGTATAAAAATATTTTTTTTTTTTCATTTTATATAATATTAATTTGCTTTTTTTTAATTTAATTTTTTTGTTTTTTTTTTTTTTAGTAATAAATACGGTGAGCTAACCTAAATATGTTTTTATTTTATATTATTTTTAATTTTATAAATAAAAAAAAATTTACAAGTAGAGTAAACGTTTTTTTTTTTATTATTTTTTTCGAGATTAAAAATGAGAAAATGAAAAAAAAAATTTATTAAAAATTGAAAATATTGTAAAAAAATTTCGCTTTCTTTAATTTTTGAGCTAATTGCGAATTACAATAATATAAATGTCATGGTTAATGAATAAAATTTAAGAAAAAATTATTGGAAAAAAAGGAATCTGTTTATGAAAAACGTTTTATTAAAATTAGTTTAGATTTTAATATAAAATATGATATTTTCGAAAATTCAGTTCTAACTTATTAAAAAATCTTCAAATGTAGCATGTTCGAAAATCAGTTTACAATTAAGGTTCTAAAGCATTTTTAAAGGAATTTTTTTTAATGCTATAAAAATATTTTAAGTTTGAAAAAAGAACTACATAAAGAATGTAAGAAATTGAAAATCTGAAATGGTGCACAAAAAAACAAAAAACATGTTTTTAAAATTTAAGTTAGAATTTCTAGTGCACATCTGGAATTATCGAAAATCCACATATTAAATTTCAAGTATGAATTTAAAAAACAGAATTTTTATCAGTGACACAATTATTATTTTTTTCTTCATTCAATTATTGTATATTTTTTTTTTGTTTTTCTTAGAATATTTAGATTTTTCTTACATTTAAATATTTTTTTTTTTTTTTGTGATAGCAATTATTAGAGCTTTTTGAAAGAGAGTTATAATGTGTGCCCATTGAAATTAATTTTTTGAATAAATATTGCTACTATATTAATATTTTTTTTTTATTTTTTTTTTTTAGCTCAAGTGAATAGCGCGGTTCATAATCTTGTAACTTTTTGTTTTTTGGGTTGGAAGGGTTTTTTTTTTTTCATTTTGATTTTCATCAATATTATTCTATTACTTTTTTTGATATTTTTTTTTTTAAATTCATTTCATTTTCAGTTTAATATTTTCTTATTATTACATATATATTTTTTATATATCATTTTTAGTTTTCTTTTCACGGTCTATCTTATTAGGCATATTAGTTGGACGGTAGGAAAATCCTAAAAAATCTTAAAAATTCATGTAGCTTCATGTACCCTCGCCAAAGTATACACTTTTTGAACTTTATCGGGTCTTTTTGTTTTTTCCTTTTAATTTGATTAGCAATTTTTTTGTTTTATTTCTACAACTTTCAATAAATTACTAAAATCTAGATCAATAGATGATTTCTTTTAAAATTGAAAATTATAATTAAAAATAATTAAAAATATTAAAATGTACAAAAAAAATTATAAAGAGAAGAGATAAGGGCGAGAGAATCAAATATTTTTTTTTTTGTTTAATTTTTTTTTGTTTAACTTATAATAAAAAGTGCAAAGAGTATTTTCAAAACTTCTTAAAAATATGTTAGTAAGTTTATATATTTTATAATTCTATGTTTTCGAGTTTTCTTGTTTTCTTCCTTAACTATTTATACATTTATATATATATTAATATTGTACTTATATATTTAAATAAATTATATACCGTTACTAAAAATTTTTACTATATTATAAAACCAATTGATCAGTGAATATTTGGATAACTAGAAAAAATTTAAACGAATACAATTTTGTTAAATGATAATGAAACAAGTTGCATTTTTTTTTAACAATTTAAGATTAAAAATACTGAACCGATCGACAGTTTTACAATTTAGTAAAATTTAAAGTTTTTTGCCGCAAATATATTATTATTTATACATATTTATACATTTTAAATATATAATAATTTATAAATATATATTTATATAATATATATCTTATCATACACATCTTATTATATGAATCTGCATGCAAATCATGCTAAGTTAATATTATTCAAAGAAAATGATTTTAAAAATAGATTTATTCCCTTTAGACTTCGATTGAAATTTTGTTTATTTAATTGATCAACAATTTTTTTTAATTAGGTATTATGCTACCTTTTATTCGAAACTTGACAAATGTAATTGATTTGTAACAAAAAAAAATCCGAATTTTTTTAATAAAAAGTTCATGAAAAAGATCGTGCTAATATATGTTTCTTTTTTATACGAAATTTGAATTACTTCATTTCGAAATTTATTAAGAATATATCTAATATGTTTGATGTTATAACGTATTCAATCATTTCCTACTGTAACTATAAAATGTTATGTTAACATAATTTATTCTGTATTTATTTATGTAAATTGGTACTTTATACACAAATATAAATTAAGTGAGACGGTGATTCTATAATTTTTATCGCCTTATCTAACTATTTTTCGCTTTCAAATTTGGTATATATATATTTTTTGTTTGATATTTAAAAAAAAAAAAGTAACTACTTTTAATTTTCTAATTCAAAGTTCTGAATTAAAACGAAATTTTTTTAAAAATTTGATGAGGTATAAAAAGCGCCAATGGATTCCTTTTATTTTTATGTTTCGATTTTCATAAGCGAAAGTGCGAAAATATATTATCTGGTTTTTATGTTTGTAAATAAGGAAATTATTGATTTTAATGTTAAAACTAAAAATAAAATCCTAAGTAGACGAGGTACCATTTGTATTTGAATTGCTTGCTACTAAATTTAAAGGCAAAATACTTAAATCATTTGCATTGTTATTTTTTTCATCATCAAATATATTACTGTTAAGAGAATTTAATTCTGTCTTTTTTTCTAAGTTTTGTGAAGCTGCCGCTGAAAATACAAGTGAAGCATCCTGAAAATTAAAATATGTATTAATTTTTTTATAGATAAAAAATTTAACTAAATGAATTTATTTATATAAGTAAAACTTACAGGCAAAGAATATGAACGATCCCCAGCTACCCCTCTTAAAGCCAATAACAAATTATGATTTCTTAATGATTGAAAATTTGAATTATTTTGAATCATCGTTTCATTTGTATCATATTTAATATCAACATTGCTTTTATTTTCTATAATTATATAAAGTTTGTTAGTAATTTTTCGTTTTTTTAGATTAGTCGTCCTTATTGTAATTAAGATATTTATTATTACTTATTTTTGAGTTTTTACTGCTTCCCTTTGGACGTCTTCTTCTAGTATGAATCGTATCTCGTCTCATTGAATGGGGTCTGTCAACACCATGTAGTTTATAATATAAACCACACGCATTACAAACCATTTCACCTCGAATATTTCTTCTCCAAATTGTAGTAGTAAGTGTTCCGCAGTTAGCGCAAGTCATATCTTTTGCTGAACATGCATTAGCCGGCAAACAAGCTCTAGATTGCTAAAATAATTCAAAATATTAATATGAACAAATATTTTATCAGTATAAATATTTTACTTTATTTTTTGTTACTAATTCCGATGTAATACTCATGGCTTTAAAATCATAATTTGTTTTTGCTTCGGAATCGTCTTTTAAATCTTTTTCTTTCGTAACTGACAACTCATTTTTACTGGGACAAGCCTGTTTTCGCCTTCCAGATTTTTTAGATTTTCCATCCTTTAAGAAATAATTTTATAGTAACATAATTTTAATAAACTTTTTCATATTTATGTACGACCGATTTTTATCACTTATTTTACCTTTAAAAGTGGGAGCGGTTGATTAAGATCATCGTTCATATTGAAACCTGGTATATTGATTCCAAAAACATGCCCACAGTCCATCATTTTCTTAAGTAGCGTTTCACCGGTTTTGTTGCCATCTGGTAATTTTATAAAATGTGATGAAATTCCCTTTTTTTTATTATTCGTAATTTTACCTGTCGTAAGAGCTCTCCACAACTGAGTTGTGGCTGGATCAGCAGGCGTATCATTTGAATTTGCAGAATTAGTTTCTTCAGAAAACTCCTGCATGCCACTGTTAGTTCCTTGTTCGCAAAAATTTTCACTACCACGATCATTAAAACTTACATCCATCTGTAGTCGACCAGGATCAGAGCTATCATTCGATGAATTGCTGTTGTCTGGGTCTTTAGCATCATCTTCCATTTTGCTAACAGATGGATAATTTTCGGGAGTTAATGCTGTTCTTGGCTGATTAAGAAATTCATCGTCATCACTAAACTTGTTTTGATTAAGTAACTGAGTTTGTAATAGTAACTCATGATTGCAATCATACTTTTCCAATTTAACCTTTATTTCATTAATTTGATCTGGGTTGTGATGAGTTTGCTCTTGTTGAGTTCTTTGTGGAGAACTTTGTAATTGGACATTTATTGGTTTTTGTGCTGATAGTATTGCTTGTCGGCTTATATCCATTAATACTGCTGCACTTTCCAACTCAGAATTTCTTTCTACGGGATATGTATCAGTAGATGCTACAATTTTATTATTGACAACTTGTGAAGCACAAGAATTTTGTTGAATTTGTTTCATATGTTCTATTGGACTAACATAATAATTCGAAGATTCAATTTTTCCTTCATGAGGATTTGCTGATAAATTTGCATTGTTTACAATTTTGCTTATTCTGTTTGAGGAATTCCCTAATTCTGTTAATGCTGTTGCAGCCATTTCTTCTAAAACTTCCTGCCGCGAAGAATGACTCAATAATTCATTGAATGTATTAGTTGAAGTTTCTGCAATTTCCTGCAATATATAAAAAAAAAAATTATTTATATTTTTGAGTATACTTTAAAATGATTCAAATTTTATTGCTGAAAATTATGCTTCAACTTACTGTAGGTGTCCCAGAAAGTTTGGAAGTAAAATTTATAAAATCTTTTAGAGTTCGTTCAGCTTCTTTAGCTGTCTTTCGGAATTTTTCAAATGAAAATAATTGATTGTAACAGCTTTTACAAATAACGGGGGGGAGTCCATCATTTGGTGATATCTTGAAAATTTGATTAAAATTTTTTTTTTTAAATTGTTATTTTTTAGAATTCATTTCTTTTTTTAATGTCTTACCTCAATTTCTAGAAAAATTTTAATTAAATATGGAATTGTTATATCCTCTTCACAATAATTTTCCTCTTCATCAGAATTAATTGATGATTCTCGTTTGATTGGGCATTGAAAATTACGTTTATTTGAAACAAACTTTTCAAAAGCGCTTGCGCAATCGTTATTTGTTTGTAAATTCGAAAAAATATTTGTTTTCGATCCTGTTTCTTTGGCTGTTTCATTATTAATTGCCGTTTGAGTTCTTATTTTTGCTTCCCATAAGTCTATATGTTGCTCTGGCTGAGATTGAAATATATAGATTTTGTCAATATCACAGTCAATGACCAATAAACACAACCGGCAAACTTGAAAGAAGTGATTTGGCATATTACACATGTTAGTGGTTTTATTATCCATTACAATGAATATACAACACTAAAAAAATGGAATTAAAAAAAAACTCTTTTATTATTTTGAAACATTTACGAAACATTCATAAAATATACATTAAAACTACAACAAGTTATAAATAATTATTTGAACGAATTATTTTTTTTGTAAAAAAATTATTAAATAAAAAATTACAAAAAAAAACAAAAAGCAAAAAACAAAAATAAGCAAAGAATGCTTATCGTACAAAGTAGATATTTTTTACGTATCATTGAACTTTAGAATTTTGTTGGTTAGCTTATAATTTTACGTTAATTAACAAGTAACTTCACATTAACCTACCATAATTGCCTTAGTATTAGTTTATCAAATTGTAATATAAAAAATCTACTATCTATTATCATTTTTTATGTGCAATGACTTTTTTTTATTTTCCAAAAAAATAATTCAAAAACTAAATTAAGATTAGAGACTATTAATATTAATATTAAATTTTATTTTTTTTTTTATTTTTTCTTTTTGTGTTTATATATTCATTTTGATGACTCAAAAATATTCTCAACTAATCACACATTCCCATACTTACATATTATATAGAAATTATTTCGTTATATTTATATGTATCTATGTATGTATGTATGACTGGTTATTAAAATAGTTTATGTTTATATTAGCTAATATTACGACATATGATTAAATAAAATTTACTTGACCTTATCAATATTTTCTCAATAGTGTTCTCAAATACTCCCCATAAAAGTTTTGCCTTGTATTAAAATTTATTAAAAAAAAAAAAATACCTGCCTACCTACCTATCAATTTATATTAATTTTGATAAGAATATTTCAATAAAATTTTTCATTTTTTTGTTTTATTTGTAAATCATTCATATTTAATTTTTATCGAATTGTGCAACAAAACAAATAATTGTATTTGGAAAATTTTTCATTTTGCATTGAACTGACATGATAACAGAGAGAACAGGAACAAAAACTGCCTACCTACACAATTTTAGAAATTAATTTTATAAGTCGTTTTGTGTACATACTTACATATAAATATATACATTTATGTAAGTGTATTATTTTTTATCGAGTTTTTTATATCTTTTTTTTTATTGTTCTTAAAATATGTGTATACCCAATTATCTTTTATGTCGATATTATATAGAAATATACAAACATATGTAAATTCATTCTATTTTCAAAAATCAATTATTTTCAACATGTCTATGATTTAAAATTAGAATTAATATTTAATAAAAAGATTTACATATATTATCGTAAAACATATCAAATATTAACCCTTTTTATAAAAACTAATTGGTGCTTATATCTATATAAATATATATGTATTTATAATAAAAACAAAAACATATATTCGATATATTTACCTACCTACATTTATATCAATAAATTTTATATGGATTACCTACACGAATTTGTAATCACACATAAGGTGCATACATATATCCTCCATTACAGAATGAAAACTTACAGAAACTCTAATTTTAAAAATAATATGAAAACAAAAGAAAAAATAAATACCTTTACATTTAATTATTTTGTTTCGATAAAAAAAAAATATTGAGAATAGAGAGAGAAGAGAGGAAATAATATTTGTTTCCACTAAAATTACTAAATTTTTCTTCTAAATGATATCATTTATGAATCTTAAATATTTTATAACCTCATTAAATAAATAAATAATAAGTAGCAAGCAACAACGAAAAAAATTAATAGTTAAGAAATCTAAAAACTATTGATAAAAATAAATTTTTAATTGCAATTGTTGTTTTGTGGCCCTCTTCATGTCTTATATTGAACAATATAAATTACTAATATGCTTTTCATATTAAACATTTTAACATGTATGATATGGAGAGTGTAGGTGTTATCGTACAATCTATCGTAATCATAAAAAATGCTTTGTATCACAAACCTTCATAAATACATACAATCGAATCCAATACACTACAAAACATTCATCAATTTTATTTATATTTATATCATGCATATATAGTTAGTTGTATGTACATATATATGTATATATTTTTACGTTATAAGTATATACATTACATATTATATATAAATATAAAAACAGAAAAAATAAAAATAAAAGTACCTGGACAAAAATAATTCATGCGATTCTCTTTGCTGATAAAAAAAACCAAATTATTCTTACATTTAAAATTTTTTTTTTTTTATCTATTAAAATTGTATTTCCAATAAAATATAAATAATGCGTATTTTATCAAAATAATTTTAAAATTATGACATTTCTTTAAATAATTATTCTCAGTTTCGATAGAATTTTATAATTGAATTGCTTTTCTTTATGCTCTTTGCTCGCCTTTACTTCAGTTCACTTGAAATGATTTTTTTTTTATTACATACATCTTTTTTATCACAGATTTTATCTAAGTAGGTATATAGCTTCGCCCAAAAATAATTACTGGCTTTTAATTAGAAAATATTTCAATGCACTTATTAAATTTTAAAATTAAAACTTAATTTTTTCAAAATTCGAATGTATTCAAATATTTTTTTGTAGTTTATAATCTAATAAAAAAATAACTTTTATTATTTTTATTTACTCACTACACAATCAAATTCTTGTAAAACCATAAGTATTGAGCCTAGCAAATTAAAGGTAGCAGCATCACCATATATTGTCAATTTTATCTATGAATCATCAACATTAGCAACATTTTGTGTCAGTATTATAAAATTCTGGATACATTAAGTTTATTGATTGATGGTAACTTAACTCTTTTTTTTCTGTTTCTTTGTTTTTATAAAGTCGCTGTCGCTATTAGTTCAGAAAATTTAATATGTTTTCAAATTGGTAGTTTGGCTGCAATTTGACGTATGTGTTATACATTTTAACAAAAATTTTGTATAAATTGTAGGAATTTAATACAAACAAAATATTGTGTTGTGTTCACTTCTTGACATATTTCTATCAGCCGTGGTTCACTCACATTGTGTCTGTTCATTCACTCTTAATAATTACGTATATACACATCTACATATTTTACTTCTTAAAGGTTAATTAAATTTTTAATTCTGCTTAAATTTAATTTAAAAACTCAGATGGTGAATTTTATACCTTATATAATGGCACATATTATAGTAATTAATGTATATAGATGATGCATACTCTTATATTTAGACTTACTCTTATAATTATACTAAATTTTAGATTAAATCTGAAGCAAGTGAAAATCTGATCTGTAAGCGAAATCTAACATCAAATTAAGTCTGCTGAAAAAAATAAAAAATTATCCGATTATCATAAGACTTACTGTCAAATTTTTAAAAAGCGATCAGCTGTTTTTTTTTTAATTTTATGTTTCCAATTTATAATTTGAAAATATTTTGAACCTTGATGTAAAAAGTTTAACAGTTAAGGTCCAAATTGAATCTGATATATTTTATATATTAAGGCCCGATTGAAAATCGTTAGGTATTGATTTTTTTTACTTGAGTTCTAAAACCGATCATAAGGGCATCAATTTTAGTGTTACTGTGTGAATATTTTGAACAACAATCTTAAATGCTTTAAGCAAGAACGTTTTTGATGATTGATCGTACTGGAATAAGATCAATTTTTAACTTTATTTCTTCAACTTATAGAACATTTTTTCCAACATTTGTGACATTAGTGTAAAATTTTTAGTTCTGAAATGAGTTCATTTAATTAAAAGGTGACAGCGCCGTGATCGATGTCATAACAATACTAATTTGAAATCTTTAAATTTTGAAGCAATATTATAAAAAAACAATTTCAAATGACATCATGGGTTAATCCCCCTTTTACCAAACACATTTTTTTACAAACTTTTAGAACTTTAAATTAGAACTTTGTAACATCTTAGGAAAATGTACATATTGTAGATTGATATAAGCCCTTGAAATGCACTTGTAATAAAACGGGTATTTAGTCCGTTAATTTTAATTGTTTGAAGTACAATTAGTTGATGTTAAAATCAAATTTATATTTGCAAAGCAAAATTGTAAAATTAAACTTTCCATTAGATATATTTAAACTTTAGGTAAGTAAATATGTATACTAGAATTATTTTGTTTACTAAAAATAAACATTTTAATTTATTTGCAGAAAAAAAATTAATTTTTAACTACTATATCAATTAATGAAACTAATACTTACTGTCTTATTATGTTTATTTACACATACATATTTGCGGAATTCTGATGCAATTTGATGAAAAAGAACGCTGTTAACAAATTATATAAAGTTATAGCTGGTAATATCTGTAAATATTTGTTTTATTTCTATCGAAGCAAATCAACCCATTAAGGTACATAAATTCTAAAAATTAAACAAAATATTTAAACACTTCATTAAATTGAATTGTAGATTTAAAGTTAAGTTTAGAATTCTGGTTTAAGTCCGTTAAATATCAAAGTATATATGAATTTTTCGTTTCCTTTTTCCAAAAAGTTTAGTGAAGTCATATTTTACTAGCTTCATTATTAGTCAGTATTTTTGTGTTATCAAATGCTTGAACTTCTAAATTTAAAAATTTTATTTGTAAGGGTGTTATTCTTATATCTTTTCCCTTTTGTATATCAAGCCCGAATATATCATAAAGGTAAATAAACTAAAAAGCTTTTTAATATTTAAAAAATTAAAATAAAAATTTTTAAATTTATATGGTTACATTTAATTGTATATAAAAATAGGAAAAAGAAGAATAGCAAAACTATAAATCAATGATTAGCAGTGCAGAACTTGCTTAAAAATAAAAACGTAATTTTTTAATAGAGCAAAGCTTTTTGTTTTTGTTGTTATAAAAATTTAAAAATCTTTTATACTAAACGTTCAGTTGCCTTAAAGATTTTCCTTAATTCGGATAGTATAACGGATTGCCGGAATATTTGTGACTTAAAATAGAAGTAAACAAAAAATTGTTTTACAATTTTGAAATAATTTTTTTTTTATAATTACCACATTTTTAATACTTTGTGAAATTTTTTTAATTAATAAATAAAATTTCGATTTTTTTTTTGTATTAAAAATTATCTAACGATTATCATGAATATTTTTTTTGTAAAACCATGAATATAACAGTTCGAAATGAGCCAAAGTGTATAAATTTTGAACTTTTAAATACAGAATAATTGAATTTTAAAATACAGTACTTGTATTTTATAATTTATTCCAATAAAATATGCTTATTGTAAATTCTTTTTGTAACTTATTCTATTTAAAGAAAATTTAATATCGTACGTAAAATAAGACAAATAAATATTTAAATAAATGATGCTTAATATGTTAAATAAAATTAGGGTGTTCTTTATATACAAAGCTAGGTTTTCTAAAATACATAAGAATTTATTTTTGGTAAATCTTATTAAATTTTAAAAAATTTTGGATTGCATATATGTATAATATATTAAACCATTCCATAATTAATAGATTTAAACAGTAAGAGTAAGAGCAAGAAGGGATCTACTTGGCACATATAGGATTTAATGCACAAATTTTTGTGTTCAATATAACCAAATAACTAAAATATTTAATATTAAATGTTGATGTTGTCCTTTCTTCATGTTTCCTGTTTTCATTCTTTGTTCATACCGGCATTATCGAAATAAAACGGTTAATGTTTTTGAACTTTAACTTTTCTTTGACCACACAGGTGTGATAGTTTAATTATGTCATATTGGTGTATAACAGTTTACTTTAGGAAGAACTTTTTTTGTTTTGACATCAAATAATCTGACAATTTTGACATATAGAACATTAAATTCTATTTGTTGTTGATTCATTTTGTACATTATTTATTTACCTTTTTATTCTTAATTTATTTTTCCATTGCGGTGAATCTATACACATAAATAGTTCGTGATATTATTAAATTATTAAAATAACTCAAAAAATTCAATTATCGAAAAAGGAGCCGAATCAACTTGATCTTCTTAAAAAAAACTTTATTTAAAAATAATCCAGGAATTCGTCTTACATAATGAATAACTTTTTAAAGGAATGTTTTAAAACGAAAACTATTACAAATATTTGTTATATATTGGGGAATGAAAGTTGTGATTTAGACTCAGCAGTTTGCGCAATATCTTTAGCATATTTTTATTACTACAGTAAAAATAAAATTTTTCATAAAAAAACATATAATGCGTTTATACCAATTTTAAATGTTTCACGAAGTAATTTTCCAATAAAATCTGAAGTTGTTTATTATTTTAAACAACATGAAATTAATAGCGACAATATTTGTTTTATGGATGATATTGATGAAAGATTTTTGCAATCCAACGATATTGTTCTAGTTGACCATCATTTTTCACCGTATCGTGATTCAGTAATTCAAGTAATAGATCATCATCAATTTGATTCAAATTGCAATTTAAGAAATGATTGTGATACAAAAATTGATTTAGTTGGTTCCTGTTCATCTTTAATAGCGGATTTAATATTAAAATCACATAATCCAGAAGAATATAAAGAAGTTTTGAAATTACTTTATGGTCCAATTGTTTTAGATACTGTAAATTTTTCTAAAGAAGCGGATAAAGCTAGACAATTAGACCTTGATGTTAGCGAAAAAATTGAAAAAATATTTTCTATAACTTCTGAACATAAACAAGATATATTTGAAAGTTTAGTTAAAGCTCGTGCAGCTATCGATGGCCTGAATGCATATCAAATACTTTTTAAAGACATGAAATTGGTATTGAATCAAGCGAAAACATTTAAAATTGCAATTCCTGGCTATCCTATATTAGTACAAGAGTATATTAAAATGGATAATGCTGAAAATTATGTAAAAGAATTCTCAGAATCTCAGAATTGTTCCATAATTGTTCTAATGGGAATGAAAATTGTTGAAGGTTCTGTTGAAAGAGATTTAGGTATTATAAATATCAATAATAGAGAATTATTTGAAAATATTGTAAATGGTATAAGAAATTGTAAAGAACCAAATTTAAATGTAGAAGAATACGAAAATTGTAAATTTTTGAATGGTGTTTTTTTCCGTCAAAATAATGTTAAAGCATCAAGGAAACAGATTTTGCCTTTAGTAAAGTCTATAATGGAAGATCATAGATAATTTTATTAAGTTTAGTATTTATTATAATATAGATTTTTTGCTTTTATTTTTTTTTTCAATAAATTTCTTTGAATACGTATTAATTCTAGGAAAACATAATAATAAAATATTCTTTATTGTTAAATGCTATTAGCAGAATACATTCTTATTGCATTAATACAACAAAAATTAATATTTTTTCAAATTATTGGAATAAATTCATATTTGTATTTGATGAATATTTTGTAATTAAATACTTTTGCAAAAACTGCATAATTTTGTTTTGCTTATCATACTATTTATACATAATTGAATTAAAAAAAGCTTGTTTTTAATACCTACATCAAAATAATAATGTACTTGTAATCTAGCACACGCTACTTTACAAATAGTATTTTGCCTCTTCCTATTTTTGAATTACTTTTGTTAGGGAATTAGTTGCATTTTTTTTACAGTTTTTTTTTTTTCGTTTTTTATTAAATAACTCTTTAATAAGTCTTTTTTCTATTACTTGATTTTCTAGTTTTTCTTTGCTCATAAAGCATACTTACTACTTTATTATATAGAAGCTAAATATTATTATAAAATAAAAAATTCGTAATTTATATAGTCTGTTTACAAGATTCGTTTGAATAAAAAACAAAATTTTCAAATACATACATACATACACATATGAATATGAGTATTATCCGGAAAATGAAATAGAAAGTGAAAATTCATTTCCATTGAATGCATATACACATACTGAGGGGGTATAATATAAACAAATAGTTAGTTATCGTATAGATATATGGAATTTTTTTTAAAAAGAAAATTAATTTTTATATGTATGTGTTAGTTAAATAAATTGGTGGTAGACCACTATTTTTGTAGGTTATTGCAGTATTATTATTGGATGCGATTTATTTTCCGGTTTTCTTATTGTAATTTTTTTTTTTAAATATTTCGAATATTATTTAATAGTAAAACATTTTTAAGTAAAAATTGTTTAAAAAGAAAAAAGAATCGGAATCAAAATTATTTATTTAAAATTTTTTGAACTTTGAATTTTCATGTAAAAAGTGCAATTATTTTGCATAATATAATACAGCAATCAATTCCGCAGTTTGTTTTTTTCCAATAGCATAATATGACACAAGTGGAACAAGAGAATAATATGAATAAAAGGTATGTAAATTTTATAATATGATTATGCATGTGCAGTACTTAGTCTATAACAAATTAAAATATGTTTAAGTTATAAGTGTAATAATAATATGTTTGTATGTCAATTTAAAGGATTTCATATTAATTATGTAAAGTGGAAGTATTTATATTAAATTAAATAATATTGTTCATTGATTTATTGACAAAAAATTATTGTAATAAGAATAGTTTAATTATATAAAATATCCTAGTATTATTTTTAGATTTAAAGATAAATATAAAATAATTAACATAAATTAGATTTTTTTCTTAAATTTCTTAAAAGAATTTACGTAAGTATTTCAATTATTATTATTGAAATTGTAATTGAAATTACAATTTCTCTTTCAATATTCTTAAAAAAAAAAAACAAAATTTTTTTATATAAATTTAAAATGAATGAACGATTATTTTAATTGATAATTTAATTTTTTGTTTTTATTTCTTTTTTTTAACAGAATATTAATATGAAACGAATAAATTAAAAATATCGTAATATATAATATCTATATGTATTAAAAAAATTCCAAAACGCGACCTTAGTTTAAAGAAAAAATAAAAATTTTAAAAAGAAGTCAAAATTAAAAATCAAAGCACGAAAACTAGTTAATTATATTAACATAATATTATAAAAAGTAAGGTAAATAAAGTTTTTTTTTATTGTTGGTATAGTTGTCGCGAATTTAATAAGATTTGTGTTTTTTTTTGCATTATTACTCTATTACCCGATATTGAAAAAAAAAAAACAAAATTAAAAAAAAAATTTTAAAATCGTATTGAACAGAATTTTCCAATAATTTATTATAAACTTAAAAAAATAAATGAAATATAAATGTATAAAATTTTTTTGGCTATGCCTCAAGACATAATTTATTGTACGGTACAATGAGTATAATAGATAATAAAATTTTAAAAACATTAATCTTGAAATTAACTATCAATATTCATGGATTTCATCAATCAATAAGTATAAAAATATTTCTTAATCGCAATATATGTTAATCCGAAATTTTGAAACTGTGTTAATTATGTTCAAATGATATCAATAGTTTATTTTCATATAGTAAAGTTTCGTTCTTCTCGCGGCTGATACGTTCTACAGAGTAGCGATAAATAAAATTTTATTTACCTTAAAAAAGGAGTTGGTTACGTCCTATAATATTCTGTAAATGTATTAAATCAAAACAATAATTTAAAATTATTTTAAAACTATATAAAAAAGATTGCAGAAATTAAAAAAAATTAGTATACTTAATAAATTAATGCCTTAATATTTTAATAATTTAATGACTCTAAAAGGAATTCATATAAAAGCTTAAAATAAAATTAACCAAACATACAAACCTAATTCATTCGATTTAATCGAAAAAAAAATTAATTATTAGATAGCGATTTAATAATGATTTGAAACGTTTGCGATTTTAAAATTAAATAACGCGAAAATTCAAATTTTGCTAAATCAGATAATTTTTTTTTTATAAATTTGGATTCGGAAATTTTGAACGTTCTAAATTCTTTATTTTATGAAAAGTTGACTTAGGTTAGGTAAGGTTTACATACATATATACATAGTGACTAAAAGTTTGGCAAAATATTACTTAGATATTGTACACACAACTATTTCATTTGTAATAATATACCAATAATAATATAGCACATTTGTAATAAATAAAAATTCAAAAAAAATTATTTAATATATATATAGGTACATATTTATGTTTATGTATTATGTCTACAAAGTACTAAAAACTTTCGAAAGGTTGAAATTTTTGCTTCCTTATAAAAACAACGAAAAAAAAAAAACAAATTTTTTTCACGTTAGTGTACCTACATATATAGGCATAATTAACACGTAAAAAATTGACCCAGACCTTATAAAATTTTAATAAAACCATACTTAACTATTTTTAGACTTTAAGACATTTTAAAATGCATAAAAATATTTAAATATCGCATAAGTGTATTTGCAAATTGTATAATAAATATGTACACAATACACGTACATATGTATATATATATGCAATCCGAAGTTCTGTTTGCCGTTGATTTTCTATAATAAATTAATCGATTTTAAGTGAGTCATAGAACCTGTAGTATGTGTTATTGAATAAAAATTATATTGTATATATTCATTTATATATAGATGATATACATAGATAATAAAAGGATGATTTTCTTTAAAATGAAAAACAAATTTTCTTTTGTATTCTAAAAATAATTAAAATCTTAAATGCTTAAAAGTTTAAGAGTTTGAACTTTAAATTAAATACAAAACCATTTTAATTTTATATACGAGTATGAGTATAATTTTGTTGTATTTTAGTTTTACATACTTTATGTGTGCATATAAATTTGAAATATGTTCAATGAACTCAAATTCATGTGAAAAAAAGGTTTAAGCTATTTATTTATAAGGGAGAGCAAAGCAAACCATTTCTGGACAATAACTCAAGATATTTAATTAAATAATAAATATTTTTGTGCCATGCAATTAAATAGTAATTAATATATAATTATATAGTCTTTTAGAAAAGCAGTTGCACATAAATTTCATTCTACTTTAACATATAACTGAACTTAAAAGAAAATGAATTGAAATCTTTAACCCCTTTGTTAATTTAAAACTATAAATTGTTTTATAATTGGATTAATAATAAACTATCTATATAATTTTTCGGTAGAATTCAACTTATACATATATAAAAATAATTGTATTGCAGTTGCTTATTATTTTTCTTTTCAATAGAAGTTTGTATACTGCGCATACATCCATATAACGAAAATATAAAGTTAATAATCTGAACCTACATATACGCTTTATAACCCAACCGTATTCTTGTAACTATACTTATATCGTATTGTATTGCAACTTAATTACAAACATTCGCCTAATGCATGTATAACTGCAAGTTTAAAATTTTTTCAGATGCTCAAACCGCACAATGTGTCACATCAAATGAGTATAATAAAACAATAAAAATTATAAAATTTAAGCCTTAATAATATAGCGTTTTTAAAAGAATCAATTAAAAATTATACATTTGCAATTCAAACGCATTATACAAACATGTACAAATGTATAAACTTTTATTAATTTATTTTTAAAATTTAATCTCATCATAATGAATAAAATTCGCTTTAAAACTGCGAGTTCAAAAATAAAAAGTGCAAATATTTTCATATTTAAAAACTTAACAAAATCAACATAAAGTGAGAAATTCTTTTTTTTTAAATTCTAAATATATTAATTGGTAAATAAATATTTGTATATCTGTATTTAAATGAGAAAACTGGCTAAGTCAATTTAGCTAAAAAAAATTAAGTTATTTTTTTATAATTAGGAAACTCTTCCTTTTTAAAAAATCTACCAAAATATATTTTTAGAAAAATTTTCATTTAAAAGCAAAAAAGGCAACTAAAAATTTGTGCAAAATTCAAATTTTACAAATTTGACTTTTAGTGGAATGGTTCTTAAATCTTTGAATTCAATTCCGACAAAACTAAAAATTCTAATTTAATCGGTTTTGGTATAGACGTGTATATAAGAATAATGTGTTATGTATGTAATCAATATACAAATATGTGTACATAAATGACTTTAAGCCAACCAACTAATGTGTAATTACAAAAATCATGAAAATATTTTAAATAGAACAGAAACCTTTAATAATTATTTTAAATTTTAGGGCTCAAAAAGTAAATGAAGTCAAATAGAAAAATTTAAATTTGCACATACATATGTACATATATTTATATCATCCGAATTCTCGAATCCGAAAAGTTGTTTGCATAGTTCCGTGAAGAAGCAGAGCACTAAATTTGACGACACATTTCAATTATTCATTTAAAATATCAGAAAAATAAAATATAAATTCATTTCACTTAAATGTAAAATTTCACTTATGTAGGTATTTATTCAACTAAAGTCTCTGATTGCGTAAATACATGCAACTTATTTTATACCCATACATTTGCCACTCCGTTTATAATGCTAAGAAATGACGTCTGAGATAGAGATGTCTGATGATAGATGTCTGGCTGTCCGTTCGTCCGTCCGTTAGTCTGATCTTCGCAGAGATAACTCAAAAAACACAAGAGTAGTAAAATTTCGTATAAATTAATGGAGTGATAGGGCGACTGTTTCATTAAAATTTGCCTATAGTTGTATAATTTTTTGCAATAACTGCAATGAAACTTAGTAAATAATATGTTCATATCACTGAAACTACAACGCGTAAATATATTCAAATAAATCATTTTTAATAGAATTGTAATTAAAAATTAAATTCTTGAGGTAACATTAATTTTTTTTTCTTACCGGTAAATTCAATTACACAACAATTAAATGTTTGTTTATAACCACAGTACTAAACATTTTTGCATGTAATGAAAAATTCATTCACGGTCAAAGTCATTGCAAACAAAGAAGTGAGAAATTTACTTGTATAATTATTAAATGCTTATTACTGTTATAAATAACATTAAAAAATATTAAAATAAATTTTTTTTTCAATAATTTTATTTCGCAGACCAGAAAACGATAACATATCGAAAAAACTAGTAAAAATAACAAAAGATACATTCGATTTTGGAATTTTATTCATAAGAGTCTTCCATGAATTATTAATATGGACAATTCAAAAATTATTGCCCATTGATCTCAAGGATGTTAGTAAGGATATTGTTTTAGTAAGTATTTGTTAGATAATTTGAAACATAATTTATAATTTAATGAGAAATATATTAATCTACAGATCACAGGCACTGGACATGGAATTGGACGAGAATTAGCTTTGCAATATGCTGAACTCGGAAGTAAAGTAATATGTATTGATATCAATGAGAAATCAAATAAAGAAACAGTTGATAAAGTAAATTCAATTCGTAAAGGATCTGCTTATTTTTACATGTATTTATGTCTATTATTTTTTTTTATAAAAATGCCTATAATATATAAAATATTGAAACAAATTAAAACTATTTATATATATTTCATATTTATACAAATAATTGCAGTTGTGATGTTACAAATCGTGATGCTGTGTTACAATTAGCTGATAAGATTAAAAATGAAGTAGGCTATGTAACAATTTTGATTAATAATGCTGGTATAATGCCATCACATCCAATAAACCAACATACTGAAAAAGAAATTCGAAAAGTATTTGAAATAAATATTTTATCTCATTTTTGGACGGTCGAAGCATTTTTTCCACATTTTATTCAAGCTGGACGCGGTCATTTAGTAAGTATGTCATCATTGGCCGGTTTGGTTGGACTATCAAATTTAGTGCCATACTGTGCAACCAAATTTGCAGTGCGTGGTATGATGGAAGCTTTAAGTGAAGAAATAAGAGAAGGTCCTCTTAAAGGAAAGGTATAATTTCAGAGTATCATAAATGTATGTACGAGTACATATATATAAAATGCCCCAAAATATTTTTTGTAGATTAACTTTACAACAATTTGCCCGTATATGACTAATACGGGATTATGTAAGAAACCAAAAGTGAAATTTCCATCAATTTTGGGTTTATTGGATCCAAAAGAAGTTGCTAGTGCTGTGATATACTCTCAACGTGCAAATAAAGTAGAAGTTACAATACCAAGTGGTTTACATCCATTTTCAAATTTTTGTCGTGTAATTCCACTTAAATGCAGCATTCTTTTAAAAGATTTTATTGATAGCGGAGTAGAATCAGATTTATCGTGAATTTTATCACGTTTGAAAAAAACAATACTCTCCGACTTTAATTTTAAGTGATTAAAATGCATTTATTACTATTGATTTTTTGATTTGAGTCGGATATACAACATATGTATAAGCAACATAATAACGTAAGATTTATATTATTATGTATGTATATACATTTGTTTTTGTTTGTTAAAATAGTTCTTATTGTAGTAGTATTTACATTTAATAAAAAGTGTAGGATTATAAACATAAGCTCAACATTTTCTTTTTGTTTATCATAATATTGTTAATTCGTACAGTAATTGGATAGACATAATTATATTTATGATACATGAAACTTTAAAATTTGGAAAGTGTAATGAAAGACAGTGACTAAAGAAAGACAGTCGGATGGTAGACAAATTTTTTAAAATAATGTGCAGTTTAAAGAAATCATAAATAATGCAGAACGATCCAAAAATTTAAGCGTTAACTTGTCCCATATGCGTTATATTGGAATAAGTATTACCAATAATGAACATGAAGATAAATTGTAAAATCCTACTGTTTTGATTAATTGAATTTCGAAATTGCCTTTGAAAATTTTAAAATGTATGCGAAAAGGTAAGAAAAAAAAATATTTTTGTTTTTCTTTTTTCTTTTCTTATCCATCAGGTCAAGGTTGAAAAAGTTGATATATGCATCTTCACATCTGCTTTACCAAATACTTATATATTTTGAATTAACAAGTGCAATGTTGAAATGAGCAACATAAATAACGAACTTGAACTAACTTTTGACACAATATACTTATGATGACTAATGATAATGTGAAAATAACAAAAAATAGAAGGTGTTTTACAAATTTTATTTGAGATGGATTTCGTTTTAAAGAAATTTTAAATGCGTAAAATAAATGATAATTATATGATAAAATGCACAGACATTAGTTAAATTTTTTTTCTTCGTTATATTAAAAGTACACAAAATTTGGTAATTAAATCTCCTTTAAATTGACTTATAAACTTCTTGTTATTCCTGCGGTTTAAATCTTTGGAAACGAACTTTAGTTGATCTTCGTTTTGGATCTCTATTTATCGAAAATATATCAGAGGTGAATGCATTTTTCAGTAGAGATCTAACTTTAGTAGAGTTAAGTTTCTTTTTGATTTCCTAAAAAGAAATAGATATTATTTAAAAATAATAAGAATATTTCACATTATATCGGTCAATTATTATATAAGAAGTTCAACCCTTTGGAACAACAATTACAAAATAATAAATATTAACCATATAGTAAAATAATTTAATATAAAAATTACTTACATTAGCTACCGGTTTATAATGTTTATAATAATAATATTTTGAATCTTCAGATGGTAATAGATCAACCAAATTACGTACAGTTGAACCTAAATTTTCAAATGGTAATTCTATATCTTCAGGTTGCATATCGTCCTTTTGAATACTTAGTAATCCAGCACTACGTAATCTTATACGATCTGATAATTTTCCAAATACATTAAATTCATCATTAGATCTAACTGCTCTTTGATGTTCCCCAATGACATCTTTAGATATATCAACCAAATGATCTGCAAAATCGGCAGCGTGTAATCCTAAACCACCGACGAAACCACTTAAATGACGTTTTCTTATAGCTTTAGATAATTCCTTAGCAAAATTTGATATTTCAAAATCTTTAATTTCACGAGTTTCACGATCAAACGAAATAGACTTTTTAAATGCATTAAATATAATGGCGGGAATTCGATAGAAAGGAATCATATCTAAAACTTGCTTTTGACGTCGACGATTTTTATATAATCCAGCTTTACGTTTTTTTTTCTTACAATTTTCTAACTCAGAACAGTTTTCACTATCATTTTCTGTATTATTCCTTTCATCATTTTCATCATCATTTTCATCAACATTTTCATTATAATCTTTTGTAATTTCATTTTTAATTCGGCGCTCATATTCATCATCATTCGGTTTATCATCTGTTTCGGCTTTATTATTTTCACATTTACATGTTTTTTCAGTGTTAATCAAATTAACTAAAATTAAAATACTAAATATTAATATTGTGATGTTATTACATTTCATTTTGAACCTAAATATTAAACTAAATACTGTATGGTTTTATTTCATATATGTAGATATCATAAAAATTTTCAAAAGAATTTAATTTGCCTATTAAGCAAAAAATACTCATTTTGTTTGTTTTCGAACTTCAATTAACAGAAACAAAAAAATTTAAATTATTTCAAAATCTCATTCACTAATTAAAATTATATATTGCTAATGCAGGCTACGGGTGTTAAAAAACGTATTTTTTTTCGAAATTGTTGTTAAACCACGTAAATGGTGTTATTAAATTAGTATTTTTTGATTTTACGTTAAAGAACAAGAGTTAAAAATTTTACGTGATTAAATGTGCAATTTTAACATTATCATTGATTAAGATAGTTATTTTTTTTTTCATTTTAATATAATTTTAAAAAATTTGATTATGCATCACTTTATCCTATAAAGAAGGCAATAATGTTTAGGTATGGGTTGAAAAACACGTAGAGTTCTCAATAAACTTGCACGTGGAAAAATTTAAATATGTACATATTTTCTTTCACCAACCAGCTAGTTATGAAAATATTAAAATTACATTGCAAAACGTTTATAAGCTTTTGGTAAGAAAAGTCTTACAAAATGATAAAAGCAGTGAGTCTTGCAAATTCCCTTAATTCGAATTCGAAATTACATACATATATGTAACTCAAATTCGAATTACATATTCTAAATGCGAGGCTTTACTTACTTAACTAATTACTTTGTTTTGAAATTATAGCTATTTACAAACAGACAAGAGGATATTCATGTTAAAAGGAATAGTAAATTAAAAAAGCGGAAGAAAGAAATTTTCGCAAAGGCAAAAATTTGAATTTGCCTATGTATTACTCATTTACATACATATAGTGGCACACACAAGTATACCTGGCTAAAATGAGTACTCGGTAAAATATATATTTAGTACCGTTATGCATCTTTTACCCTAAAAATTTAAAAATTAAATTTGAAAAAAAAATATAATGTTTTCTTTAATTAAAAAAATTGCTTTAAAATTGTAATGCAAAAAAAAATTTTATAAAATTCATTACTTTTAAATTTATTAACTTTATTAGCTTTTTCAATTTTTAATCACAAAATCTTTAATTACTTTACTATATTTTACTCTATTTTTACTCTACTACATAAATATGTGCTCCCATAATCGGTAAAATTGACATTTTGCACATAACTGTCATCTTGGAATAAAAGAAATTTTTTTCCAACTGGCAATATCGCTAATGTCAGTACTAGTCTTTATTTCTTTTAATAATTACTTTTATCGTATCGTAACTTGCTCTTGTAAAATAAAAACAATCCAATATTTTTGATTTTTTACTTTATCAAAAAGATTTCATTACCTAAATATATATTCATGTATATGAATTATTGATGCAGTATAATTCAAGAAAAAAATACAATACTTTTATTTTATTTTGATAAACAATGTCCTGTGAAGTAAAGATATTCGCCAACATCATTGGGTTGAAAGAGGTGCAGGAACTTTTTGGTTTTTCTCATGGTATGCATACATATGTGCATAAATGTTAAATGTTTATTTTGGTAACATTTGTTTACATTTTAATAATTTTCAATTGTAATTTTAGATGAGAATTGGTTAAAATCTGTGGTTTATTCAGTTTCCCCAACATTAGAAACTATAGTTTTTGCACATGGCTGCAAACTAGTTTTTATGACATTGCAAGACAGTCATTTAAATTACAAATTACCTAGATACATTATAAGTTACAAAGGGGAATTAGAAAATGAGAACGAAATAATTACTTCAATTATATGTCTACCAATCTCTAACAGTTCAAATAATAGGGCTGATTGGACTTGTATTGCAGTTGGTTTGTCGTCTGGATTAGTACAGTTTTATATAGATTCCGGAATCCAAATATTTTCACAAAGATGGCATACAGAAAATGTTCTATTTTTGAAAGCTCAGTCGGATGGTAGATTCTTAGATGAATTACATGTTGGATATTTATCATGTGTTTGCATATTACAAGGTGTTCAATTGTTTAACATTTTAAAAAATATGAAACAAATAGTTTTAATATCATCAAAAATGAATAATTTACAAATTCCTGAAACTGTTCCTTGTCGTAAATGGGAGTATAGACTGAAGGCGGGTGGTTTAATTAATGATGCTGTAGTCGTTGGATCACAAGAATCTTGTGCTTTTGATCATTATTTAGAACAAAGTCTGGAAAAAGGTTTTTACGCTAAATGTAGAAGTGCTCCGACACAAAACTCGCTTGTAGTTGGCATAGGAGTCAAACCATACACCGGATTTTTCTATGCTAAGGAAGGATACGTAACTCCAGACTTTGGAGATGTTGCCAAAGCTGTTGCTACAAAAGTTATCTCCGCTATTCCAAGTTGGATATTTAAGAGTTCAGCTGCCCAGAATAATTCAAAACGATCCAATGAAAATGAATTATCAAATCAACCCGGCGAACCAATGCATTGCCGTTTCGGAATTTGTGATATTCAAAGGGAAGGAATTAATATTTGGTTGGCTCCTGGCAATGAAATTGCAGTTGTAGCTGATAATTTACACAGAGTAATATTAATTGACCTAAATCGTGGCGTTGCTCTTAGAATTTGGAAGGGATATAGAGATGCCCAATGTGGGTTCTTACGAGTTAAAGAAAAATCTCTAAAAAATTCTGATAAATCTAGTAAGAGAAGAGCACTTTTTCTAATTATATACGTACCTAGTATGTCTTGCTTAGAAATATGGGCTTTGCAAAACGGTCCAAGAGTGGCTGCGTTTACCATTAGTAAAAACGGACAGCTTTCTTATAATACACACAGCTTAATGGCCATTAATAGTGGTGTAAAATCAAAGATTAATGATTGTAAATGTGTGTTTATTGATCCTTCCGACGAAACTTTAAAAAGTTTTTCAATACCGTTTCATTGTGCTTTAAGTGAAGGAAATTCAAAAACTGCAAAAGATATACACTTATTACGCAGATTGAAAGTTTTTTTGAGAGCAGATGGAAATGAAGATGATGTGATTTCCGAGATCGAAGCACTCTGCGGAAATCTGCAAACTGATGAGCTTCGCGCTCAATGTTTAGACATATTAACAAAAAGTAAAAAACTTAGAGCTGAAGTATTGCTTGTAGCAGTTAAAACGTTAGAAAAATCTTGTACCACAACAGATGTAGAAAATGATTCGGTGGAGAATAATAACGGAAACACATTGAAAAGAAAGCGTTCCGTTTCGATAAGTTGTAAATCAATGGCGACTCTTTTAAAAAGTTATGAACAATTAGCAGAATTTTATTTAAAAATTAAAAGCTTTCATCCCCACAACGATGAAGAGAGTGCTAAGACAAATTATTCAAAATTAATTTTAAATGAGGTTGATTTGGAAGTAATACAAACTTTACTTGACTTAGGTCAGAAAAATAAGTCAAATTACTCAAATAACTGCAAAGTTAAGTTTGAAGAAATGCAAGGATCTGGTGATTTTCTTGAATTTTTGAATATTTTTTTAGTCGATACGCCACAAGTTTGTTTAAATCCTAAAAAGAGAGAGTTTTATGGTTTTATTGGTGCTGATTTGTTTTCTAAATTTCTTGAGCAAGGTCAAGATTTAAACTGTTATATTCAAAGTATTCAAGATACATTAATTCCAAACGAAGATCTTTTAAATTTAGTTTTACATTATTGGCTCGAAAGGCCCTTCAATTACTTAAAATGGTAGTTAAATGCGATAATAAATTAATTTTTTCTGAAAAATTTAATTTTTTTATGTTATAGTGAAGAAATAATTGAAGACATGGCGCGTCTAGGCATAGCAATACAAATTATCTGTGATAAAGCTGAACCTGTTATCAAATATGAATACAATTTAATTAGTCCCTGGTGGCAAAATGTAAGGGAAGTTCTACTTGAAAGTCCAAGTGCTGCAAGGGGTTTACTAGCGGCTATGGTTTGCAGAAACATATCATTTGCCATACAGAAAAATGAAAAAGTTTATGAGGTAAATTATTTAGAGTCTTAATTACTATTTAAAAATTACAACTAAATATCAAATTTAGGGTGATTATGACGAAGAAGGGGAGGAGCTTTGGGAGCAAGTATCGCAAGAAGCGGCTCAATGGACATTACTAATTGGTAAATTAGATGATATATCAATTCTGGGAGCTATTTTAAGGTAAAGTGAAAAGAATATTTCAAACTTTCCATTATTCCTAAATTTTGGTTGCATATATATGTAAATATACTAACTTTCTTGTATAGTGTACCTGTAATAAGTAATGAGCGGATAATGCCAACTATTCCGTATACAAAGCCAGATTGTAGTCTTAAAGCAATTTTGTGTAATGGAAAAGGGACCGTGTCTGAATTAACTGCGAAATGGTTGGCGAATTCAGGAATTAGTCCTAAACATATATTGGAAACCAAAGAATTTAAAGGAGATTCAAATGTAGCTGAAAAGAATCATCCGGAAAATATTAATGAAGAAGAACTACAATCTAAAGAAACTGAAAAAGATTTGGTCATTACTAATTTAAATATACTAAGACAACATTTTCCGTTTAGTTTAGAATCTGGTATTCTTTTATGTCATCTAAGCTGGGAGTATATGTCTTATTGGAGTAAAAATTTACCCCAATTGGAGTACCTTGAGGCAGGATTAAAATGCTTGAAAACTTTCAAAGAAGAAGATTTTGCATTAAAACATGGCCTGTGTTGTATGATTTGGAATGCACATTTGAAAATCCCCCTAGAAGCTACTAAAAAACTTATCCACAAAGTAGGTAAATTGCCCAAAGAGAAACTTTGCCAGCAAGAAATAGGGATGTCAATGCAAAATGTTACACATTTCTTAGACCTTTGTTTAGAGTTCTTAGAAAATTTTCAGAAGTCACTGTACCATGACAAACGTGAATTAAAATTTGAAGAAATTTTACAAGACGACCAAATTCCTTTAACGTTTTTAGCTTTACAAAAGAATCATGCCATTCTTGAAATATTATTGTTACATATCGAATTATGTAAAGTTTTACATTTAATTTCTTTCTTTTCACTGAAAGTTCAGAAACCTATGACTTTTTTATTTGATCCGATAGCAAATCAAACTTTCTTTGCTGAAATCAATCAAGAGCTCAATTATTCTCTTACCAAAGCCGATTTTGTGTTACAAAAACAAAGGGACGAATTTTTATGTCAAGCAGTTTCAGCCTCAATGGATTTAATTAGAGAAGACCTAGAGCGTTTGTATATTTTAGAACACGTCGAGTTCATGAAAAGGATAGAGGAATTAGCAGAAATGTGGGATCTTGATAAAAGTGTTATTAAAAAACATCAGGTAAACAAACATTCACGGATTTCGGCTAATTAATTTATATTGCTTTAAATGTAGGTTGTGGAAATTTATGCGCACGGTTGGGATGTTTATGCTGAAGAACTTTTGCAAGATATAGCAGATAAAGAATCAATTGGACCATTATTATTAGAAATAGCTGGTCGACGTTTGAATTTATTTGCATCAGATTCATCATCAATATTTTGTCAAGTAGCATCTATTGGACCACAGTTATTAAACTATCTAGATAATTTAGTAAGTGTTGGAAGAGTTTATTACTTTTATGATTAATAAACTTGATTATGTAATTAATGGGTAAATTATTTTGATTTATAAGAAGATGTTCTTATCATTTTGCTAATCTTTTTATTCATTTTTAAGAAAACAGATACGGCAGGCGTTCAGATTACACAAGAAACGCCAGAAGAAATAAAATTGAGTTCTCTTACTACATTAGCTGCTCGAACATTTGAATGTTTATCAACAAAAAAATCAAGATTTGTTCATACTGCTGCACAATTATACGATGCCTGTATATTACTGAACACTGTTTTGAGTTAATATGTATATTAATGTATTTTTGGTTTAAAAAATTTGGTGTTAAAATTTATATGTTAACAATATTTTTTTTTAATTCTATGATATGCACTTGTTAGAAAATTATTAATAAATATTTATACCTAATATCGCAAAATGCTTTAAATTTAATTAAAAATAGATTAAATCAATCAATTATGGTAAAATAACTTTACATTATCCTTATCGGTTATGTATTTGTTTTTATATTTTAAAAGCCTAATTTTAACATGGAATAGTTCTGCGATTTAAAACAAGTTCAAAATGGAAAATAGTTTTTACAATTTTATTACAGAATTAATTGGTAACTTTCTGAGATTCAACTTTTTTAGATAATGATATGTAGGCCTAAATTTACTGCTACAAAGTTAAACAAAAAAACTTTGGAGTACACATTTTAAATGAAAAAAATTCTGGTCTTGCTATAAATCTAAAAAATTTATCTTGAAGATAACTATTCCACTTGATCGATTAACTAATTGAGCTGGTAATTGCCAACACTATACACACACATTTAGCTTTTTTAAATTGTATATAAAAAATTATTTAATTAAGTAGCCTAAACTTATTTAATATAATTTTTTAAAGTTTCTTTTAAAAATTAAAGAAATTGGAACAACTTAAACAATTTTTTAAATTCATAGAAATTAAAAAATAGCATCTAAGCTATTTTCGCATGTAAATAGAAAGCACAACACAAGAAATTTTTTATTTTGATAATTATGTTTAAATTGGATTGTTCCGAATTGCAAAATGAGATTAGAATTCATGAGCGGTTTTCTTATGAACAAATTGAAAAAATTAAGAACCACATAAAAAACCAGCCAGAAAAAACTGTTTCTTATGGCCAGCTTTATGATTTATTTTGTGAAATGGGTTTTATATTAACTGAAGAAGAGTACACGGTTCTGTATCAGAAAATTATTCAGTCACGACAAAATTCGATAACATGGAATGAGTTTTGCGATTTTTTGATTTATTTATTTCAACAAGAAGATTCTTCCGTTCAGAGAGAAACAGTTTCTTTCTTCTCCGAGCCTACTATAAAAAATTCAGAACACAAGACTCCCGTTATTTGCATAAGGACGTTAGATCACATATCAGATGAGGTAGGTCCCACATAATATCTATAAGCGTGTACATAATATTTTATAATAATATAACAGAACTAGTAAAATAACAGAAATATGTACTTGTATTTTCACATAATAAGGGAAATGAGACGAAAGCGGGAGGAGCATGCGTTACGGCAAGTAAGGATGGTCAAATAAATTTTTGGTCTGCTGATTTAGAAGTAAATAAGACAGGTGTATCAAAGAGTCGTATGTAATTTTCTTCATTTTAAATTAAACATCATATTAAAATTTTTATTTAAATTTTTTAAATACGATATGAACTTATTTAGATTATCTCAAAAATACCCCAACATGGGTACTAGATGTTGTAGCTTTAGCTGATATTGACGTAATCTGCATTAGTTCAACAGAAAGAGAATTACGATTTTATGATATTATTGCTACTAATTTTAATTTATGTATGGTAATACGAAATATTCCGTGGGCGATTTGTACAATGTATTATGCATTTTTTCCTAATGGTGACCACTATTCACGTTTAATAATGGGCGACTTAGGCGGTAATGTCAATGTGCTTATTTTTTCTACCCGTTCAAGAGATCTATTTCAAACTAGAGCAGGAACAATAATAATAGAATTTACTTGGGCTGAAATTTTAAAAGTAGAATTTTTAATTAGTCGCAAATATTTATGATGTTTATGTATGTAAATAGCTATTCAAAAACAAGATGTTTTTCCTTTTTCCAGGGCAGATTTACTTTAATTAAAGTGAAAGAATACAAAAAAGTTTTTTTAGAAAATATTCAAAAAGTCTTTTACACGCAGAAGTTCGAAACTTATTATGTTGCAGCTGAAATTCATAAAACTGAAATGACTTCGTCAAGTGGGGGAGTTGTTGCTATTGATAATCGAGACTCGAAATTATTATTTAAAACTCCTCTGGTAAATTATTCGTTTTGTAGTTTTGAATGTACATAAATATATTGTAACCTTAAGTTCATAATAATTTATTTGAAGGGGGTTACATCATTTGCTTTAGATGAAAATAGTCGAATTTTAGCAACTGGAGGGCCAGATACCTTTTTACGTTTGTGGGATATTTTTCTTCCTGAAAAAGCCGCAGCTACTTTATCAGGTCACCATGCTGGAATATGTTTTATATTTATACAATCAAAAGAAAAAAAAATATATTCTATTGATGTTGAAAAAATTATAAAAGTTTGGCATTTAATAGATCAAAATTTATTGCATACTTTTGTGAATCTCATACATATAACTGGATCAGAGTCAACTCTGGCATATGCCTACAATAGCAGTGAACGTAAATTACTTATTGCCGGCAGAAAAATAATAACTTTAAAATGCTACCCTGAACTTAAATTCAATTTAACGACGGATGGCAGTAGTCACGCTGGATTTGTTTCTGTTGTGCTATATAATAAATTGTTTAAAAATATCGTTACATGTGGCTTTGATAGTAACATTATTGTTTGGAATTTATGGAAAGGAACACCTGATCTTATTTTAAAAAAATGCCATTCCATTAAACAATATGGTAATGTTATAGATATTCCTATAACAGCAGCTTGTTTTGGGTGTCCTTTGGAAAAATTCTTGTTAACTGGTGCAAAAAATGGTTCTTTAAAAATTTGGAATTATACAATTGGGGTTTGCATAAGGAATATGTGCATTGAAAACGGTTTTGATGTTATATCTGTAATTTGGATCCCCGACAGGTAATTCGATGTTTTTGTCTATGTATGTATTTCTATGTTAATATATATGTATTTACATATGTATGTACTTATTTAAGTATTTAGTATTACTTTAGACTTCACAAAATATATTTTTTTACTTTTTTTCTTACTCCCAAAAATATGAAATTTTTTCTATTTCTTGTTCCAAATAAGTTGTGAATAACCGTTTTAGGATTTTGGTAAGTGATCGAAATCATATCATAACTGAGTTTAGTGATGTTGAAGGGGAAGAATGTTTAGTAGAACCAAAATCATGGTCTCAATTACATAATGGAAGTGTATCAGCAGCAGCATATAAGCCTGGTGAAATTCTGGTAACTGGAGCGTGTTCTGGAGAGATAATATTATGGAGAATCCATAACAGACACCCATACCGTAAATATTTGTTGGGAAAACCAACCGAATTTGTCCAAGTAAGTAGGACAAATTTTTTCTAAATGAAAACTAAAATCATTGAAACCAATTGAAATTTAGATTACTTTCGACAAAAACATTAGAAAGAAAAAGAACGAAAAACATGAGAAACCAAAAATGGCTATTAAAGCAGCTCTTTTAAAAAAAAAATCTATTTCGTATAACACGCAAGTTTCATTAAATGGATCAGTAGATTTTATAGAAACAGGACGAAAAACCTATTCAGCTGATAATAATTATAATAATTTCACTAAAGCTTCAATATTTTTGAAAAAGAGATCTGAATACCAGAAAAAAGAAAAATTGAGTGAAGTTCTATCAAATCCAACAATGATATTAGACCAAAATATATTAAAAGATGATGAAACAATTCAACTTCAAATATCTGTTCAAAGTATCATAATTTTATGTACACGACCACAAAGAAAAGATTATGGTAGAGATTTATTAATTCATAAAAATCCTTCGAACTTTAATGTTACTTTAATGAACTTTAATGTTTTTTTAAAGGAAGTATTTTGGTTGCACTGAAAAATGGATACATTCAAGTATATTCAAGTCATCAATTAGGCGGATATATAAAAGAATATAATGCTATACATAAGACAAATGATTATGTGATGTGTATGAAAACAGATCGAAAAGAACAATTTTTGTTCACTGGAACAGCTTTTGGTTACATCAAAACCTGGCTAATTGAAAATTACTGGTGTGTAAATTTTATAGATAATCATTAAGTTTTTTAAAAATTTTTAATTAAATTCATTACAAATTCATTTAAATAGATAGCCTTAAAAAAACGGAGAGTGTATTATATGAAATTGATTAATATGCTTATGTACATCTTGCTTGTATCACTTATTTAGTTCAATAATTTTTCATATCTACTAAGCTGTATAGTATAGATATTTTTTCAGCACTATCCAGAATATGTAGTTAAAATTAAAATTAATATGTATACATGTAAATTCTAAATATATTGCAATTATATGCGTTATGTATAAAATTTTAATTAAAAAAGGACCTATAATATTTGCTATGGAAATTGTTCAAGGAATTATTCCTAGAATTTTTTGTAATTTTATGCAAACCACCCTGTTTTATTTTCCTTTTTTGAATCACTTTATTGTATTTCAAACTCAAATTTATTTTCTTTTAAAAATATCATTACTTCTTTTTATTTTATTCCATTTTGCAAAAATTTATTTTATGAGGCAAGTTAATTATGAGGGCATTCATTATACAAGTGATGACATATTAAGAAAAACTGATTTATTATACTGGCGTGTTGAAATTTTCACCACATGAATAATTATAATTAATTAAGAAATTAAGAACTTTGAACTGCCGATAAAAGTTTATTAATTTTTATTTTTGTATTTATGCCTCGGCTCTATTTTAATAGTGTTATTTAAAGTTTTATTATATATTTCATTGTTTTTGTTTCATATACTTCTTACATTTCACCTAGTTGTTAAGTATAAAAGGATGCATTGCAATATTATGAAATTTATTGACGTGTTTCTGGTATTAATAGCAACAATTATGAAAAAGAAAAAATTTTAAACTCCTGCGTTCGTTCAGTTTTAATAGGAAAATCCAGAAATAAAATAAGGTTCATGTTTTTATAAAATTCTGTAGACTTCAATTTATGTTTTATGAGTTTATAAAAAAAAATTACTAAAAATAATTTCAATAAAAAAAAAATCTATACGGAAATCTCTATTCTTTTCAAATAGCTATATATTTTAATGTTCATAAGTGCGTAAGAGCGTAAAATTAATTGATTAAACTTAAAAAAGCTCATTGAATCCTTTGTTCTGCGAATTTATGTACATATACATATATAGTTATATGTATATAAATAATTGCATATATATAATTACTGATATATGTATACATGTATAAATAATTAGGTTTATGTTATATTGACTTTGTAATGTAGTATACAATTATGTTAATAATACGTACATATATTATTTTTCATACAAATATATCTTATTATTTCTAAAATAAAAAATTTTCCATTATGTTCTCTTAATTCTTATATAATATAGCTTTATGAATAAAACAAAAAAAATTCAATCAGCATTAAAAAATTTTATTAACGTTTATAACAAACAGTAATAAATTTTAGTTTACATATATGCAATAGCTGAATTAATTGTATGTATATGTAATTAATATATCGTCGGTTAAAAAGCGAAAGCATTAAGCCAGGAAACTGTGTTTTGAGTAAAGTCAATTTGAAAAAATCGTAAAATTGTAAAACTAAATCAATTAGTGCAATGAGATTGCTCTCTTTAATTTCTGGATTTATAAACTATATTCTGGATTTGCATGATTTTTTGCCACAACAAAGATTATATTATTCTGATTTAATTCATCTATGAAATCCGAATTCTCAAAAAATGCGACGATATATAATTGAGACAGGTGTTACGAGTATGTCGATTAAAAATTAGCTTACATAAGAAAGAGGAAGTCTTCACATAATAGTGTTGTAATTTTTTTCGAATTTTATAATAAATTTTTTAACAATTAACAATATTTTTAATATTACTTCAGAAAAATGGAAGATTCAGCCTATAGCTTAAAGTTTTTTTGAGTTAATATAATATGTTCTTCTGGTTCTAGTATAATTTTATAATTTATTATAAGCGATAATTATTAAGCTATAAAATTGACATTTTTGCATAAAATTAAAAAGGTGAGAACCTGTCTCTGTATATTCATAAGTCCCATTTTTTTTACTTATGTCGCTATACAGCAAATGAGCGATATATATATAAAATTTAATGTATCCTATAATTAAATGGGATAAATTAATATACAATTTGTTTTTTTTTTCATTTAAACTTATTTTCTACAAAATATAACAAATGTTTTCCTTTATATTATTATAAAAAATTACAATGAAAATAATGTTAAAGTAAATTTATTTTGAGTAGCATGATAAAAATAAATTGTGTAACGGTATGCACAGTTAAAGGAAAAAAAAATTATGGGAAATAAGGGATTTAAGAGCAGATAATGTTTTCATTATTATTAAAACAGAAAAAAAAAATATTAAACAAAGTTATAAAATATTAAAGTCACGACAATTTATCGATTTTAATTTTTTTTTTTTTTTAATAACAAAAGACAGAAGAGACAAATTTGATTTTGTAATATCCCCGCAAATTATAATTTTTTACTTTTAAGTTTTTGTGGGACTTTTGGATATTTTGCTAGAAAAAAAAAAACATAAATAAATAAATTTTAGTTTTATCTTACAAATGGCAACAAGTAAACTCTGAGAAATGCAAACTTTTATTTTTAGTATATTGAGTAAAGGGTAATTTTACTCAAAATACTCAAAATAATGGTGCAGTAAAGGGTAAATTGCAGATTTTTGTGAAAAGAAATTTATAAGAGTAGATTATATGTGTAAAATTATGTTCCACACATATTTTCTACAATTAGTTTAGATAAATAGACCAATAAAATCGTCATTGCAAAATAATTCTTTAAGTAATTAACATGTTTTCAGTTAGTCATTCTAACATAAGAGAAACAATGATTACAGGTAAAGATGAGAAGGTTTTTCTTAAAATAATTTAAAAAAAATATTTGAGTTGAATATTTCTACATCCTTACATACGATAGAAAATTGTATTCCACTTTCTCTCCGCACATATAAGGGCGCCTTTAAAGTCGTGATAATGAAAGTTTATTTAAGAATTTGAATAACTTTCAAATTATATATTTATTACCGTTATGTCAGTACAGGTTAGAAGAACTTTTTTTAAATTCGTTATTTTAAAATTCCTCTTCATAAAAAAATATTCGTTATAGTATCATTTTGGCTATTTGGACTTAAACTATAAACTTCAGACTTAACTATAAGAGAAAACGCTTCCCACGCAATAGTTAGTAACTGGTTAATAAGTTAACTAGTTTGAATTAGATTCCACTTTAAATTCTGGTTGGTGCGAATAATTTCAAGAGAAAATCATGTATATTAAATTTTATAAGGAAAATATTAAACTTTAATTCGGAATTAGTTCCAATCTAAAAGATATTAAAAAATACTTATTATTTTCCTTTCCTAATAAAAATCATACCCCCTTGGTATTATTAAAGGACCCGTATCTCCATACTTAACATAATTTTTTTGTTTAATTTTTTGCAGTCGATACTTTTTGACTACGTTAATTCCTAACTTGTTTTACATTTCTATTTTTTGAAGAGAAAAATTTCAAAATTTTTTAATTTTATTTTATATTTTATAGTGTACCGAAAGCAGAGCATAAAAAAATATGTATGCCTCTCTTACGTTTACAATTTATTTTTATGCGTGAAGATCGAGTGCTTGGACGTGCTAAAAGAATTATACGAAATCAGCCGGAACCTATACTATTGAATTCTTATAAAGCACATACATGTTCAATTACATCAATTGAATACATTGAAAAAACTAAAATATTAGTTAGGTGAGTTTATTTAATTTTGAATTTGAAAAATATTTTTTAAATATGTTTTAACTTTTAAACAAAGTAGAAGAAATATTTGTATCTTTCCAAAACCTAATAAATTTTAAATATTTTTATACACGAATAAATCATTTTAGTGGAAGCCACGATTATTCGTGTCGCTTGTGGACGCTTGGTGGTCGATATTTAGGTACATTAGGCGGCTGGTTTAACTTAAACAAAATCCTATCTACACAGCCAATAATTAATGAAGAAGGTAATTTTCGAATACCACCAGATATAAAGAGGGTTGCTAGTTCTACAACTTTAAAAGTTTTATCGGGAAAATATGATGATCAATTAGAGAAATTAACGCAAAAAGATATAAAAATGGAAAATATTGCTGCAACGTCAACACAAAAATCTTTTCCATTTAACAAAAATTTTGGAAAGCCGCTAACTGAACCCTTATTGGGCAAGCATTTTAAACTTGATATAGATGGAAAAGTATTCCAAGCACCAATTCTTGATTCATCATTACCCCATATTCCAGTTTGGGAACATTTAGAAATAGCAGAAACTGTTGATATTGAAAGACCTCCAACACCAGAAATTTTGAAAAAAGCTAAAAATCTAGATTATATGGATTATTGTTGCACTGATCAAAAAAAGGAGTAATAATTTAGTGAAAAAAAAATTAAATAACATTAAAAAAAATATAAATATATAGATCTATATACATGAAAATTAAAATTGAAATTAGTTCTATTAGATTGTATTTATTTATAATTATTTTTGAAAAATTTAATTCCATTTATATATTAGGATTATAAAAATTGAATTGATACACCCATGTAATCAATAGTTGTAAATTATTTTTAATACGTCCATGTTTTTTGCATTGTTGAATTTAAAACTTCGTAATAAAAAATTAAACCTTAGCTGAATTTTTTGAATTAATTGAAGGAAAATGTCCTTTAGTTTCGTTTCACACACCACCATCAAAGATAAAACGAAAATCAGATTTTCTTGAGTATGTTCGTAATACACGGAATATTCATACATACTTAAATAATATATGAACGGATGTAAATTGGCATCTGCAAGGTGTTTTTATTTAGATATAAAATAAATTTTTCTTCAACATATTCAAAAGTTAGAATGCCATTTCGGAATAATAAATTCACAAAACGTGCTTTCGTGAATAATGATCTAAAATCAATTTTGAATTGCGACTCTGCTTAGAAAAATTGAATTTATGAAATAAGAGTGTTGAATGGTCTCGTATTTGTAGCACTGATATCATTATTAAGATGTGTATGCATGATGTACTTACCTACATATGAAATACCATGTTTTTATAAATAACATATATGTATAGATATCTGAAATTTTTAAAAACTGTTAAATAAAAGTAATAACTGATAAAAAATAGACAAACGGATCGAAAAGTTTGGCGAAGATTTTTTCATATTCAACATATGATTGGCGATCAGAACCCAAAAACATATTTTTGTCAGTTGCTGAAAGTATATTCCTCATGTTTTCAAAAAAATAATTCCCTCTTTTCTATAGTTTGTATTAAAAATCTGACAAAACTGCCTTAGCGCTAATGTTGATTCAAAAAGGATAAACTCAATAGACAATTATTATTATTTAAATGGTATTGTAAATATTTCTTTAAATATTAAATAAGCGGAAATGTATAAAGAGCAATAGTACCAAAAGATAAAGAATTTTAAAATAGCGAGCAATATATTGGATGCTAGGACAGGAAAATTCTTTGGGGAAAACTTTAATTGCAGTAGACTTCATATCAAAATTCAAATGGATTTAAAAAATCATATCGCTTTTTTAGCAATTTTATAACTAATTTAAACTAAAATTAAGTATACATAGATCACATTCATTATTATGATTGTACATTATAAATTTCGGAATTTACTTCTCTTAAATAGTGAGCTTTTGCAAACTATATATTTGTTATAATATTACATATTTTAGTTTATTTTAATAAATCAAACTTTTTTTAATTAAAAAACATATTAAGTTCGAAAATAACACATATGTAAAATTCCGGAGAAATGCTAAAAAAAAAACGAAAATACATTTTGGGATTAAACATATATGTATATTCACTTTCATTTTGTATACTATATTTTATACACAAATATTTATATATTAGAATAATTTTTAAGAACTAAATAAATAAATGAAATAAAACAATGTAATAAAAAATACAATTTTTTAATTACTTCTAAACGGATAAAGATACGAAACTGTTGTACTGTGTAATGTTGCGCTTTAAAATATCTGCACATGGACCAAGAACACGTTCGAATCTTGATCGGTCCAATTTGACACATTTTAGTGATCCCCTTGCAACAACTGTTGCTGCTCTCGGTCTATATAACAATAGTGCTATTTCACCAAAATAATCACCGGGACCAAGACGTCCAACTTCGTCTGCTGGTTCATTTTCATGGTCCCCTATCCTTTGTAAGACAACAGCACATCCTTCAACAATAATATAAAAATCGTCACCTGGTTCACCCTGTTTCACAATTGTTTCTCCATCCTCAAAACTGCAAGGCTCCAAAGCATCCGCTACAGTTAACCTTTCCCACCTGTCGAGACTTTCCAATATTGAAACTCGTGATAGAAATTCTTCATAAAGTTTGCGTTTTCTAATTGTTGATCCCATAAGAATACGTCGATATGAATCACGATCTATTCCCCATAATTTGACATCTGTTTTAGCTTTTACTGTTGCTGCTCTTGGTGTCCCATAAATAAGAGCTAATTCACCAAAGCTACCAGCTTCACCAATAGTTGTTACTAATTCTGAATTAACGAAGACTTCTACTTCACCTTGATCTATTACATAAAAATTATCCCCTTCATCACCTTGACGAATAATGAATTCCCCACTTAAACAGTTCACTGGAAACATTGCGTCGAATATATCTGAATGTTCACTTTCATCTAAATGAGAAAATAAAACATTTTTTGCTATTGCCTTTTGCAATGCAGCCATTGTTTTATAATCTTTTGGAACAACTTTTTTGACATAGCTAGTCGCATCTTCTTCTGTTACTGGCTCTGCTGATATTCCACCTCTCCGACGAACGGATGGTGCAGTTTGTTGAGGCATTGGACTTAAATCGTCATAATCATCTGGGCTAGTTATTTGTTTAGTTGAGTCAGATTTGACTTGCTCTTTTTCTAGCTTTTGATAATGCTGTCTCAAAAATGCAATTGGGTTTTCAGGACGACTTACACATAAAGCAACAATTGAATCTTTCAATATTCTTTGAATACTATGCGATGCAATATAAGATTCACATTCACGAAGACTTTCCTCCTCTTCATTTAACATTGACGCCATGTTAGTGGACATTTCAATAATTCTCTCCAACTTGAAAAATAATATTTTTAAATTTTACAAACGCAAAAAATTAAAAGAATTTTTAATGAACTTATTTTAACAAATGTTCACTTAACATTCAATAAAGTATAGAGTACACAATTGAATATTTTTTTTTACCTTGGTTTTGTTACGCAGAAGCACTGCAATATTAAATTTTCGTGCTAAATATCTGCCACAATATCAGCTGTCATTCTAATTAGAGTTGTCATAGAATTTCGAAAAGTGCAAAAATGATTATTTCATTCAGCGTTCACACATAAAAATTGTGCTCGTTTAGCATAGCTGTTAATAAATTTTGATTGTTAACTTCTTTCAACAATGGTTGTACTTATTTTCTGTTTGATGATATTTGTTTTAAAACTTTCTTGCTCTTCATTAAATTCTTCAAACTATTTTATATACATACCTATAAAATAATTAAATTTTTGATATAAATTGTTTTTGTCTATTTTTCTTCAACTGTATTTTCTTTAACCTAAATACACTGTTTTTTTGTTAAAGCGTAAATTTTTATTATTTGTACTAAAATTTTCGGCTACGGTTGCAAAAATTTGAACAGCAATTTTTGATGAAAAAAAAGAATTTTTGATGAAAAGGAAACTACTTTTTAATAACACAACTGAATTAAAATTCCATTCTTTCTCTTGAAATGGAGCTTTCAGATTTATTATATGGGAAAGAATACATACTTAATTAAGGACTTGACTGTCCCATAGGTATATGCGTTCACATTTCGCACAAAATAGTTATTTAAATAGTTTTTTAAATATTGTCGACTATATTTCTTTTTATCAAAACATGAAAATTATTTATTTATATATAAAATTACAAAAATTAAAAAAAACTATCGCAAAAATATAATTATTGTTGCTTATACATAAATAACAAGTTATAGTTTTTGAATTATTTTTCTAAGTTTTTAATACATTCTTTTATTTTATACACATCTCTGGCATAAGTGCGACAACATCCGCCAATTATTTTTGCGCCCAAATTTATCCAGGTTGGTACATATTTTTCTAACGTAACACAATTTTCTTTACCAGTCCAACCGTTTTTTACATCATAAATTTCTCCACTATTTGGATAAACTACTAAGGGTATTTTATGTTCATCATCAATATCGCCATTTAGTGATTCAAACAGTGGAGTCACAAACTAAAAGCAGTGTTTAGTAAGAATTAATTTAGTATTTATATTTTTTATTTTGAATTTCCTTACTTGTGGATTTAAACAGTTAACACCAAGTGCTAAGCAATTTTGCACAACTTGCCGTTTTTCCATTTTATCCCAAAGGGTTAAACAAACATCTTTAAAAACTTCTCCATGGGCTATTGTACTTCCATCCTTTCATAATTGCAATGAAAATTTGGTATTTCCGGTAGAAACAGGAGAAAATAGAAGAGTAGAAAAAAATGTAAGTTGTTTGAAAATCTTTTTTATCGAAAATATATAAAATATCAAAAATTAAACCAAATTAAATTTGGATATTTATATGTATAACGAAATAATATTGTTCAACTTATAGTTTCATGCCTTCATTCTTGATATCGTGCTCAAATGTCGTATGTATACAATTAATTTTCATTATCTATATACAATATAGACTTGCTGATTTTTTTAATATATAAAACAATAAATATTAATGCATAAACAAATTGCCAAAGACATTTTAGTAGTTTAACATGCATACATACTTATATGGCCATCAGATTCATTGATTTAAAAACTAACGACCTAAAATCATGTTGTGTAAATCTCCATGCTGTTAAAATTTCCTTAAATGAAACCTTTTCGCTGATTTAATGGATTCGGATTAAATGGATAAAAAAATGAAAATCCCTGCATATATTGTTTAGAAATACAATTCGTTTTGCTAAGATGTAGCCTTTGATTTCAATGTATATTGATAACAAATTATTGGTTATGTACTTCTAAATTATTATTTTTTTTACAGTTTAATCATTAGAATAATATTTGGGTTTATGAAGACGCATTGCCATAAATTTTTAAACCATTTTTTAAATTAACGGTCGACTAATTACTTTTTAAAGTTTAAGATAATTTATACTTAAAGATGAATTCTAATCTTATTTGTAAAATTAATTGCAATAACGGCATTTACTCTGCCATTAATGTTATATAAAAGAATAAAAAAAAAATTGGAGAATAGAATTAGAAAATACAAATATGAATTTGCTATGAAAAAATATTGACAAGAATGGTAAGATACCATATCACCTCTTCAATAACATCAACAAACCTCCATTGTGTTTATAAACTAATTTTGAATATTCTAAAATTGTTTCTAAAATGTTAAATATTTAAATATAATTAGAAAAATATTTTTGTAAATGACATAATTCATGGTTTGGTAAACATAAATTACAATACCAGCCAAATTAGTAAATTTTTTCATTTTCCATGCCAATGAAGCTATGAATGTTTTGGTTAAAACATAAAAATTTTTTATTATATCATACCACCTTGCACTGAAGACTGATCCAGAATTTTACATTTGGATACTCATCGCACAGCAAATCAATAATGGACTCAGCTTCTACCTTTATTAAAAAAAAAAAAGCAAATTAGCATCTACGTAAGTATTAGTAAGAATCTTAAGTCAATACTTGACAAGGAATAGTTTCAATTGCTAAAGCATCTACTCCAGCTGCCAAAACTGCATCGATTCGAATACGATGCCAATTGCGAAGATCTTCTGATGTTATAAAATCCGCATAGCTACCAGTGTATTCAGATCCATCATGCAAATGTGCACCATAAGGCCCTATAGATGCTACTATAAGTGGTGCTAAAAGCAAATAGTAATAAAGAATGATAAGATTTAAACCGGTTTTTACATGTTTTCTATAAAATATTATTTATAAGAATTAAAAAAATATGTAAGTCTTGATAATTTTACTGATTTTTCTTTTACCCTTAACTCTATTGTTATCACTGTTTTCTTTTAAGAATGTTTCTCTCGCTTTATGAGCAAGTTGGACAGTTTTTTTGATAAGATCGATACTTTGATCTCTGGTCACTCCTAAATATTTCATGTAACCTTCAACGCTAGCTTGATAAGTATTTGTTAAAATAATATCAGCTCCAGCTACATTAAATTTAAAATAATGTTTTAGATTTTAAAAATTATATTGTGTATAAAAATTATATTGTATTTGTAAATTCAATTAATTAACCTTTTAAAAAATCTAAATGAGTTTTTACAACAGCATCAGGATCGGTTGCATTGAAACGAGCGCTCCATAATGGATTACCATCAATTCTTTCCCCAACATGCACCGACAATTGTGTAGCAAACCCTCCATCTTTGCATAAAATTGTAGTTTTCGACATTTTTATAACAGTATTTTGTAGGTACCTTCTCCTTGTTATAATTATTTAAAATTTTAAATTTATGTACGTTTTCATTAAGAGAAAAATATTTAATATTCTTTTTTATTTTTTAAACTAAAAGTTTTTTTTTTTAATCTTTTGAAGGAGAACTCTAGTTAACAACTGAAACAATTTACAAAATTTCAAAAAAAATTAATGTTGAGAACACAACAATTAATTACTTGATACATAATACATACAAAAATACATTACAATCATACACATTCAAGTATTCCATTATTGGGAATGTATTTATATTTATATAAACACATATATTATGGAGTATCTAAGTGAATTAAATAAAATAATAAATTAATAAAAGATTTGTTGTGTCTGGCTTGTAGGGAAATCGCGAAACATTAAAATTTTTTACCAACATGAATAATCACTACGTTAGCAGACAATGTGAAAAATGTTACTGATAACGGTGCTTCATTACTTAGCGTTCATTATTATGTCTATTGATTTTTTTTAAAGAATGATCATTAAAATTAATCTCCCAAAAAAAAGTCTACAACGTTACATTAATTATGTACCAGCACTAAGTTATTTGACTCAACTAAAAAAAAGTTTATACGTATGTGTATAAATAGGTACACAGATAAAACAACCTTGTAAGAACTACGATAATAAATTAGTAGGTACCTACCATTCATAGTGCTTACAATTAATTTTTTTCTGAAATACGGTGTCAAAGATATTAATGGTTTTCGAAATACAAAGGTTTTTACAAAATTTCATTAATTTCGAACATGAGAATCGAATTTTGAGAAATTTACATGAAATATTTCCAAGATGAAGTTCTTATCTACCTATATTTTAAAATATAGGTGCATTTTTTCAATTATTTAGCTTCTACATCCTGACGTGACCCAGAATCTCGTTCGTTTCATACTGAATATGTGAATCTCATACCGAATAGTAAATAAAAGTTGAAAATTAAGGTAACACCTACCAACTTACAATATCCAACCTATATATCTACCCACATATTGACACAATAATTGCAATTCATTATCTAGGTATAGCTCAAAGTTTCGTCAATCTCATATCGAGAATAGTAATAGCTTTAAAAATAGCAATAAAAATAAATTGAAATGATTGATAGCAAAGAGAAAATGATTGAAAACGGGGAATTACATTTAATTTTTAATGCCTGTTAATTTCGAATTCAAGAAAGTTTGTCTCTCAATATAATTTTATAAATTAACACATATCTACATATGTACATATGTACATAATCTTACAGCTGGAAAATATTTACTACCAATTTCTAATTTTTCAAATTTTTATGAACTTAATTTTTAATATCACATGACCTTGGAATATATTAATCTAAAAGCAAATATGTGTATGTATACAATTAATAGATCATTGCTTGATAAGTGATAATAATGCGTATTGAAATTTATGATAACGATTAGAAGAATTATATATACCAAAACAGATTTAAATACACAGCAACTTCTAATAAATTCTACACTATCCGTATATTTTGTTATGTTATGAAAATAATTTAAATGTTTGAAATTATTTTAATTGTAAATACATATTCATATTTATATTATACAGATTAAAATTGATTGTTTACTCACTTTATTTATTTATTGTTTACTTTAGTTGTTTTCGTATGCAAACTGCTTGAACTAGAAATTAGAATTTAAAACAATAAACTAGAAAAAACGAATTTTGAGCGTCTTTGTAATGTTGAAAAATTACTACACGGTAAATTTACTATTACCATGCATTATTCTAAATACAACTTGCTTGCTTTTAAAGTAAATTCTCAAAGCAATTTTATTTTTATCTTGATTTTTTTACAGTCTAACTACACTCGTTTAGTACTCTAAAAAGAGTGGCGCTGCAATCTTTAAACATTATTTTTTTTCGTGTATGACAGTCAAATAGAAGTACAAATGAAAAAGTAAAAATGATTTCTATTGTCACTAATGTAAAACGAATTCCTTTAATATTATAATTATCATTCGAAAAAGAATGAAGTAAATATATTCATACTATATGATTCAACTTGCAAGATTGCCCTAATAAATTTCACCGAAATTCTTTAAGCTTAAAGAAATATGAAAAACGAAATCATAAAATTCTTTAAAAAATATATGTATATTTGTAGTAAAATTTGTATTTAAATCAATATGCCATTTAACATTTTTTACAAACACCTTGCCACGAAATCATTAACTAATTCTTTTCTATTTCCATATTCACCTCCTCGAGAAAAGCTGACGGTGACTTTTTTCTTGAAACCATCTCTAGGTGAACCCAACTAAAATTAAAAATTTATTTTAAATAATTTTGCAAACATTCCGTCTTTGGCTTCGTATATTTACCAGAAAAGGGCACAAAAAGCTATTGACAACATCAAATTTTTCCCCTACTGTAAATAATTCATGTATAATATCTTCTAAACATATAATACCATGCTTTCCTAAATTTTGTTCTATAACAATGTTAGATTGAATCGGAGATTTTTTATTGTCAATTATGGCAAACCCTTTTTTAAAAATCAATTCTCGAAGTGTAGAAATATTTGGATAGCCGAAAATTACAAATGGCTCAACTAGTTTAAGCAATACTTGGTTTTCTTGTGTATTCTTCAATAAAACTGTATGATGCCTCTTGGTTAATCTTAATGTTGCAAGTACTTTGTTTGTAGTTTCATCATGTATATATTTACCAGAATGTCTTACAACAAGCAATAGTTTTTCGTTTGTCTTTTCCTCCTTTAAAACATTTTTTCGTATTATCACTTGTTTCATTCTTTTAGAAGTTTTTTCAGCTTTAATTTGAGACATAATAAAAGACTCCGCACGACGAAAATTGCGTTTCTTTTTTTTAAAGGCACGAATCCTATTTAGACGCTTTTGGTTTATCGCTCCTTTTTCATGGAGGATTCTTTTTTTCCGATGTGCAAGAATTGAAACTTGTTTACCGGGCAGTTTATTTGGAACAGCATATCTAAAATATTTAATAATTTAGTACTTTTATTTTTTTTTTTTTAATATTAATCAAACTTACAAATCAGACATTTTTATGTGTTTTAAAACGACTTAAATATTTGATTTTCAATAGATATCCAATTTATAAATAAACATGTGCCTCCGAAAATATGGCAGATTCAAAAAGAAATGTCAATATTTTATTTTAACGTCAAAAATATATGTCAAATATTTATTTCCTCAAGTCGATTACAGCGACATCAATTTAAGAAATTATAATATAATAAGTTGCATAATATGTATACACTTGCTCATTTCATTTTTCAAAATACTGTATTCGTTTTTCACAGTTTTTCATGTACATATACAAAAGTAGTCTTTTAATAAATATTATTGGTCAATCGTATTTCCAATTGCATATTTATATGATTGCCCCCAGATATTGTGAAACTGTCGGCTATATTCCTATTGTAATCTGAGCTGGTTGCCTTCTCCTCTTGCTCTTATATGTATGTACTCTCTTTTATATTATTTAAATTTTATAAAGAGAGTACATTTTAGATAAATATCGTTTGCGGATGATCAACCAGTAGGTCAAAAAGATCGAAAGCCGCCAAGTCAAGTTTATCCTCCTTTTTTAAATTTTATAAATCTAACTTCATAATTTTTCCAAATTTTTGAAATTTGCTCTTTTGGAGTTGTATGGCAGATACCTATCAAATCATTCCACTAAATTAGGGGTATGTGACCTACATATAATTGGACACACAACTACCAAGTCTCATGAATCTTCCTTTTTCATTTTTCCAAATATTTAAAATTTGCTATTAGAGTTTTATGGCAGCTACCCGAGCCCGTTGTCCGAATTAATCCAATTATAGTAGGGTCCGTTAATGGAACGAAAGAAAAAACTCTTAAAAGTTTGGTGCCGACTGCATTATTCTTTTTTGAATTATTGTGAATCGAGCATATGGCAATATATACATGCACTGATACATATACATGCCCATACTGGAAACGACCCTTTCAAGTGGTTACAAACTCCATACCAAATTTAATACATATACTTTTCACGAAGGGGCACAGTATAGAGTACGATAATACGATGGTTTTGAATAAATTTAAAATAACTAAAAGAGTACTAGGAACTTATTGAAGGCAAAAAATGTTTTTGTATTTTTGTTGTTATCATGTTAATTAAATGAAACAATTTTTATTGGATATTCAATTTTTATTGAATTATAAGTTCACAAATACAGATCTGTCTCTAATAAAGTCGTTGTGGTGGACCCATTGTTGATTTAATATGCAATGAACGAACATTTTGCCAATGCTTTTTCAACAATGAAACTAAAAAGTTGATTGATAAATGAATATTTTGAACTAATTCGTCAGGTTTCATTGTAATATGACCAACAGCCACGGACAAGCACAAAACTTTTTTCATTTGGAATTTTATTGTTGCTTTAACTTCATCAATTTTAGCAACCATAGATTCTTGATGGGATAAAAGACCTGGAAACTTTCCAGCTTTATTTAATCCTGGCCCCAATAATCTTGGAATCTGTTTAATCAATGATTCAGAAGCTAAAAATGCATCATATGATTTAGCCAACTTTTTAACAAGTTTTTTGTTTTTATTCAATTTTTTCAAAGCTTCGGCATCCATGCAAGGAACATCATTCGCTTTAGCTTCATCGCAATGTTGTTGATCACCCAAAACACAAACTTTCATTTTTGGTCTAGGAATATGCTTTAGTCTGTAAATAAAAAACTTTACTAATAGGAAGAACCCAAAGAAAAATAAAAAAAGGCACTATTCTTCTAAAGTACTATCTTTTTCTTTTATGCTTAACTTACCCCCACACTTGTTTGTTTTTACAAGTGCGAGAACTTGCTTTAATTTCTTTATTGTAAAAATTCCTACCCTTACGGATACCTCGTTATTTAACGAAGTTTCCTACTCAATTTGATTTAAAGACCCTGAGTAAAGGTCCGCCAAAATATAAATTGGCTACCTAAATGCAAAATCTAAATCTCTTTTAATCGATTCAGATTACAAGTAGGTTTTAAGAAAAAATCATTTATACACTACGTACTTAACAGTTCCAGAAAAACGTTTATCCTTTTGTGGATCATAATTCTTTAATCCAATTTGTAGTTCAACTGTCTCCAAAAATCCACGTTTCTTTTTTGCTGAAAAATCTAAAACTGCGTTAACCGCTTCATATAAGGTGTCACGGGAAACCTTTGACCTGTAATTAATATTTAATTGTAATAAAATTACATGTTAAAATATTGAAATGTTATTTTTGGATTTTTATTTTTATTTGCAGATTGTAGATAAAAATCATGTATAAAGTTCCAAAGCTTATTTAATTTTGCAATTCATTCCATTCAAATATATGTATGGTGAAACTATTATATTGATGGTTTGGAATTGCTTTATTAATTTATTTTTAATAACGAATTTATATTAAAACCAAAAATTAAACTTACGACATTTTATATTAATTTTAATACGTCTTCACACGTTCAACACACGAGGAAAAAGAAAATTGTCAAATTTCAACAAAAAGGAAATCCTTATTTTTAGAATTGTCATTTTGTTACAGTATAACACAGATCTACAAAACTATTGTCAATCATATAATTCTTCAACGGCTTCATTAATCTGTAGTATTGCCAGTTATAGATCAAAGATGCTGCTGTCGAAATTGTATAAAACGTCAAAGTGTAAATGAAATTCTTTTTATTAATGAAAGTTTAAAATATAATAGAGAAAGTACACATTTTGACAATCACCATAAACTTGTTAAAAATAACATTCATTTGTTTGACGTTTGTCAAAAATTTTATATAAATTTATTCAAGCTCCAACAAATTTTATTTAATCGAAAAATTACTCAACGAACATATTTCGTAGATATTCCGCATTTTGGTAAAATATCCTATTACGACAAATGTAAAATAAACCAAAATGAAAAATTTTAAAATAATTTTAAAAATATTGAAAATAGTACGATATAACATAAGAAATTTATGTCAATTAATATTAACTATCAATTCATTTAAATATTAATACATGACACCAAAATAAAAAATAGTTTAAAGCAGTATGCACTTTAAATAGTTTAAAACAGCTTGGTATAGTAATGAACATCGTCATTGTAATGCACAAAATACACATAGGCTATACATTAACTTTACGAAATTAATGGAATTTGTCTTCGATCACTTAGATACATAAATTAATGTTAAAAAATATTATAATATTTTTAACAAAAATATTATTTGATATGTCAAAATCTGATATGTTTTTCATTTTTAAATACATTGAAAAAAATTAAATTAAAGAAATATAATAATTTTTCTTCGTTATTCAAAAAAAATTTCAAATTCCTCTAATTAAATTTTAGCTGTAAATTTTGAAAGAAAATCTGTCTTTCTTTATGTTTATATTCACCCTTATAGTTGATGAGATGAATTGATAAGATAACGTTCTTTGATATCTTATAAAATAAATAATACAGCAGAAATAGCAAATAATACTTTAATATACTATATTAATAATAAATTTAAAACCAAATTAATGCAGTTAATAAATAAATAAATTGAATTTAAAATACAAATAAATTCAAATTGGGGTTTCAAAACGTTTTTTCCAAATCAATGTTGCAAATAGACAATTTTGTAGCCATCTAAAATAAAAAGCAAGGAAATACCAAACAAAAACCTTTTATCGTCAAGATCAAAGAATATTTTTGGCATTTTGTCTAAAGTTGTCTTAAAAATGTCATATCGACATTTACTTTTACTTGCATTTACTAAATTGACATTTCAAATAGTACTTACGTTCTAGTTAACTCTTGTTCCTGTACAAGTTAAAAAATTTCTCTTCTGTAATAAAAAAAAAACATTAATTGTTTTAAAAATTTAAATGGTACAGAGTAATTAATATTAATTCTAAGACATTAAAATAAAGTAAAATGTAAATAAATTTTTTTTTAAAGTAATTGGTGTTTCCTTCTTGCAATATATTTTATACGTACATATTTATATGTACGTAAAAAAATTATATTGAAGTTGTTTTTGGTCAATTTTTTTTGCGAACACGTAAGTCGCAAAATATTTTATTGATAAAAAGTGATTTTCTTATAAACAATTGAAAAAATTAGATTTAATAGTTAAAAAAATTGCCATTTTGCTCTGTATTGTTTGATTGATTGGTTTAAAATATGAATTGATTTTTTTCAAAGGAAAGTAAAAATTTGCAAAAAAAAGCAAGTGCGAAATATAATTTTTTTTTTGAATTTAATAAACGCAAATTTAAAATTACAAATATGCAAGATGGATTTTTTTTTCAACCTTGAGGCACTTGTGATATTTAAATGTTTTCCTAATTAGAATTAATTGAAAACTTTTTGTTTTGTCATGGTTAAAATTTTTTTTTAAGCGTAATGTAAATTGCCAAACCAAATTTCAAAGACAGCTGACAAAATTATATTATGCTCTCAAATATTTATAGAATAGGTTGTGTTTATTTTTCGTATCGATTTTCCTAATTTCATTTGGAAAACTTCATTATTAGTTTTTATAAATTACGGTTAGATATTTCATATAAGTCCGAAATTGATTTTTTCGATTATTATTAATTACAATTTTTTAAACAAAATATAAATATACTCGTATACCCACTTATCTACTTATTATTTAGTTTTATTAAAATTAGAAAGGGTATTACGCTTAAAATTCAATATTATCTGCTTGTTTTCAACACTTTCACCAAACAATATTTATTTTCAAAAACTATAAATATTTAACTTTACTAAATCTATTTTTAGGTTCTCATACCATTCTAAATCCTTTTCAAGGATAAGTGGGTATGTATACTTGTATACCGATTAACAATTGATAAAACTTTAATCTTTACTGTTGTGAAAATTTAACCGTAAAATAAATAAATATGTAAATTTTTTTTTTAATTTAAAACTATTGTAGAATAGTAAAATAATAATTATTTTTTAGTAGGTAACCAAAATTGAAATAATTAATTTTTAATGAGAAACTACTAAGGCTTTAATAATATAATCTATGTTTTCATTTCGATTGAAAACAAGGTTCTTAAATCTGAAAGGAACACACATATTTACAAATTAATAATAATACATAATGAAGAAACTATTTTCGAAATTAGAGAAAAATGAAAAATTAGATAATAGTGGAATAAGCGGATCTACCAAAGAAACAAATAGTTATGTTGGAAAAGTATTCATTGTTGGACGTGTATCCGTCACAGTTGAAGATATTTTGGCTGAAGGTAAGTTATTCTTGATTTAATTATAAATCAAATATGAAATAATTAAGTTCATTTACATTTTTCTAAGCTTCAAATAATATATTTTATTATATACTTTCGTATTTATGTATGTAGGTAGATACATACTATTGAAATTGAAACTATTTGTGAAATTAAAAGTTACATAAACACCGGCAAATTTTCTCTATAAAGAACGCAATCTTTTTCAAAGTTGGAAATATTAAAATTTTAAAGTCAGTCATTCAACAGAAAATTTAATGATATTAGGCAGCAAATGTGTTGTTTTTAAAACAAATTTTTTGTAAGATTACTTAAATAAGTCTAGTATGAATAAAATTCAAATTCGGGGTAAGAACTAACTATTATATTATCTTGTGGGTAATGAAGTCTGTTATTTTGCTTTTTGGGAAATTAAAGGTTGAACTATGCCAATCATTTTAAGTCCCTACACATTTCTTTCCAGATAGTATCTAGCTACCTACCTAGTATAGTAGTCATGTTGATACTAAAATAAATGAATAAATTTTGTAAAAATTTAAATAGAGAGTCATAGAAAAGGTTTTTTAAAAGTAGCAAATATCTTAAAAGATGCTTATTTCTATTTTAACCTATTAATTTTTTTAACTTATTTTGTATAAAATTAATTTTTTATGCTTTCCATGTTATTTTTACTAAGTGCGTGAAAGCAAATTGCCAACAAAATTTTTTCTATTTGACTGTTAATATCGTTCGTCTTCTTTTTAATACGTATACCTATATAGTTCACAAAATTTAAAGTGCATTTAATTATCATTCATGAAAAGGAAATACAGAAATTTTGAACGGTTTAAAAATATGCATTTAATTTTTTGAGAATCCTGGTAAATACTCCGAAATTTAGTGGTGCTTTTACTATTTTGTATGAAGACAAAAATTGCATTTTTAAGTTTATTATTCGAAATGATTTTGTAAAATTTAATAAAAGATATTAAATTTTACAAAATCAAATCAAGAAAATGTGGAAAATCCAGTAAATTTCGAATAATTAAAACCTATTTTGCTTATTAATTCAATTAACTTTATTAATTGTATCAGTCGTAGTAGTTTAGCATATTTTAGATAAGGAGACAGGAAATTAATTTACTTATGCCAAGGAGTCTATAGATAAATTTTAATAAAACAATATAAGTTGATTAGAAGACAGAGTGCTTTCTTTAAAAAAAATACTCTCATATAGTAGTAAAATAAGTTTATGTACTTGCTCTCATAGTCAGTCCTTAATAATAGAATTGTTACACTTGAATAATAGAATTGTTTCATACTTATATTTCTTACAAGTATTCTCATATGACTGATAAGCGTAAAATTTTGTATGTTGTTACAAGCAAATTCAGTTTCAGATTTTTACTCCCGAAAGTGATTAATAAAATTAAGTGTAGTAAAATTTAATGGAACATAAATCCTTCTCTTCCTAAAGTACATTATTTTTTGCATTGACATTTTGAATATAATAGAACTTTTTGTATAATAGCGAAAATGGACTGAATTGGAGTAAAGTATTTTTAATTCAAGTTATTCATAGCAAAAAAAAACCACTTCGTTTTTCTTTTGTTAAATATGGGTATTATATTTATGCACGTACCTATTTTTATCAGTTTAATATTCACTGTACTCCAACTTTCCTTTCAAATTTTGTTTTTTGTTCTTTTCTTTTAATTAAGATTTTTTTGTGTTTTCTATGTTTACTCTAAAACTAAACGGTATAATGATTTCAATATTTCGTTTTTTATTTTGGTAGCATTGAAAATTAAAATAAGGCAATGGTAATTAAGCAATCTTATGTATTATTACAATATTGTATTTGAAATATACGTGTACTTATTAATATCTAATTCTTAACGTATTTTATGTTTTCCCGTATTTTAGTTTGGTCTATTTTAATAGTTTTCTAATATGTACTATAAAAATTGAAGAAATTATATTCATATCCTATAATAAGAGGTAAAAAATCAAAGTTTCCATTTTTTTTTTGTTTTTGATAGACTTTTGATATGAATGAAAGCTTTACTCTTCTTATTTTTCTTTTGTATATAGAAAAAGAAAAACACATTACTGAAGGTACATATGTACATACATAATATATATATACATATTAAGTATGTACTTATATAATATACATAATATGTATGTAAATGTTTGTATTTTACTCCTTTAAAAATTATATGTAGAAATTACCTCTACATTTGTGGTTATAACGGTTTGTAGTAAAAGCATATTTAATTGTTAATTTTTTATTTATAGTTATTCTCAATGACTTTGCAGTTTATATTTCCCTCAGCAATGCCTGTAATGTATAGGTATATCGATATGTTTGCATACATATAAACGTAAGTGTATGCCTACATAGAAGTTATAAATTGATAGAGTTGTTCTACTTAAAGTTTTTTCAATACTTTTAGATATTACAGTCTTTTTATTTTCTTATTTGTTTTCTTCATTATATTAAAAAAAAAACAAATTGTAAAGGTATATTTTTATTATATAGAAACTTTCATTTTTATAAACAAAATGGAGTTCTTTTTACAATTCTTTTTTTTTATACACCTGTATTTTTTCAACATAATATTTCTATAAAATATAGGAGAAGAAATAGGAGAATTTCTATAAAATAATACGAAAAGTTTTCAATATAAGTAAAAGTAATTGTACGTGTACTTACAGTAATATGGCATATACATTATGTAAAATAAAAATTATTTGATATTTTTATTAGACGGATACACAGCACTTCCCTAAAGTTTTCAATTAATATTGAAAAAATATTCAATTACATCTTAATTATGATGATTTTTATTTGATTAATGATTGATAAACTTATTAAATATTTGACAATGAAATGGATGTACATATTCATAGCTATATTTGGTGTGGGTTTAATGTTGGTATAATATACGAAATTGGTAATGAAATATGATTATCGTTTTTGTTTTTTTGAATTTTATAATTCGTTGGTAAATTTAAAATTTTTATTTGGTTAATAAATTGCTTAAAGAACACAAATACTGAATTAGCACAAATGATCAGATTTTTCGAAATCTAGACTAAAATTTAAGTATCTAACTGCAAATTTTTTAGACGAACAACTCTTAATAGAAGCAGTTGAAAATCAATCAAACTACTTTTTTTCCTATTTAAATAATCTAAGAAAATACAAATTTTGTATAATCAAAATTGAGGTATATTCTATTAAAATCAATTATATTCTTGTTGAATACCATGACGAGGAAACAAAATCATGTCAATTATTATTTAAATATTATCAAACTTATATTTGAAAAACTCAGATTTTTAGAAAAATTCTTTGTAATTTATTTACTAATTTAAAAAAAAAATTCTTTAATACCCACAATTAAGTTTGCTTTTCATTTTGACAATAACTCATAACTCATTTTGACAATAGTTAACTATTAAAGGTATGACGAATTATTTAAACAGTGATAAAAATAATCTTAATAACAATAGTGATAAATTAATTTTTTTGCTTAAAGTACTCATATGAAATCTTGATGTTTTTTTATCATTATGAATCATCAATATAAAATGATTATGGCATATTTTGCATCATATTTGCACGCATATTAATGAAGAATATAGATTTTATCAGATCAAATTTTGACTAAAATACTTAGTAATTATCCTACATAACTTAAGCAAATATGAATATGCGTACCTAATTATCTTGTGTATTACAAAATTTTTTTAAACAATTTACAAATTTTGACAAAAGCAAACATTTTTTGCAAAACCTTATTTTTTTTTCAAATCTTTTAATTTTTTTTACATTTTTTTCCATTTTCTTAAGATGCGCCAGTCTATACACAAGAAAATACCATTAAGTTTCAAATGCCTGCATAATATAATTTTAATTATTGATTTATTGACCTTTGGACTAAAAATCACAGGTGAATTTGATACACTTATGTAAAATTAAAAGTTCAACTGAGAATATTATACATATATATATATTAGATACATATAAAAATATATAAATATATTTTAAATGTAATATGTATATACAATTAAATGAACAAATAAGTTAAAAGGAAGTACTTTTTTATCTCTTATTTTTATGTTCTAATAATTTTCCGCAACTATGTATGTATGTTTTATTTTAGTACTCTACTTAAAAGTTCTTATTCATTATAAAGAGAAAAAAAAAATTGCAATTTGCCATGATGTGGGAAACACGCAAACTTTTTGCGTTCACAGAGAAAATTTTACTGCTAAATGTATCGAAAATATGATTTTTTGTTATTTCGAAATAACAAAAAATCTATATTTTCGATACATTTTTTAAAATCGATTACGAAACTAATTTTTAAAATCGAGTTTTCACTCACAACTCTGAATAGTCGATATATTTGAGAACTTATAACTTATAACACTTTACAATAAAATTAATTTATTTAATAAAATAAACACGAATAAGATGCAAATTTTTGGATAATAAGAGTACAAAATTATTTGCAAACTTCTTCATACACGCCTTTCTACACAAATGATATTTTAAGAGAAATTTGGTTTTGATAACTCATTTGTTTTATTTTTGAAAATAAGAAACAATCCTAAACTAAAGAACGGTCAAACTGAAGACCTGATGATAAATGTTTTCTTAGTACATAATTGTTAATAGTAATGAGTATTAGGTAAACATTTCTTTTTGTAGACATTTTATCCGGATTTATTAAAAAAAAAAATTATTTATGAATGTTTTATTTTGGAATTTTTTGAATTTGCAAGAAATGTGACATCTTCTTTTTACAACTTAATAAAAAGAAAATTTTTAATTTCAAACTTATTAAACGTGAAATATTAGCTATTATTAACAAAGTGAAATATACACGTGTAAGTTTCATAAAATTATACTATTACAATTCAATTTTTGTTGATGAATTTTTTTATAGGTTAAGTAGAATTAAAAATTGGAAGTCGTAATGAGTATTTTAGCACATGTACATACATTTTATACTATTATTTATAATATTGAGTACATACAATCAAAAAATTTTTTTTGTTAAATCTTTAAAATAGTTTATATTCGATATATTGTCGAAATGTCATCTCTGAAAAGTATTTGTAAATAATTGGGTCATGAAAATTTATAGTTTATTTTTAAAGTTTTATCGAGAAAATTTTCTGAATGAATTTAATAAAAATTTAGTCATTTTATAAAATTTTGTAAGGCATGGAATCATGTTACTTCCAAGAAATGAGGATCAAAGCTGCAATCGCAAATAAAGCTTAAGATTAGTTTTCTTTAGAAGGCCACCAAAGGACTTTTCATTAGAAAAAAAATTATTTAAGAAATGCATTTCCAAAATTGTATTGATAACATTCAAGGAACAAAAGTTTTATTTTCATAATAAATTAAGACTTTTAAATAACGATAACCTTATTTAAATTCCTCAAGATTGCAATATCGAAATATTAAAAGCTGGACTACTTCAAATATTTAAGTATATTAAAAGAAATACGGTTCATGCACGTACGTGTATGTACGCATGTATGTCTCATAATTTATTTATGTTGCTTGTGACTTGTATACAATGACAATTTAATAAAGATAAGAAATATATTTAATTGAAATTTAAACATTTCTACTGACGTAAATAAAATATTTTGTTTTTTTTTTTTCTTATAATTTATCGTTGTACGTTAAAACACTTCATTTAACACGTTATGTTGTCTATGTGTCGTTATCATTAAATATTTAAGGTGCAAGAAAAAAAAAATGTATGAAAATATGTGGCACATAAACGTTAAGGTCTCTTTATTTTATTATTTTCTTAATACATATAAGTACTTACATAAAAATATATTATCAAAAATACTTGAGATTTTATTTTCTATTAAGTTTTTTTCAAATATTTCACATACTTACATGATGTAATTCTGAAAAAGGTACAGATTAATATTACATTTATACCATTTCGTTAAGATTCGAACATTAGTAAAATAAAATGTCATTGTAACGTTTTGTTAAAAACGCAGGTTATAAAGGAAACTAAGAGAAAATTTTATTCTTTGCTTGTAGAAAATTAATTTTGCTTATAGAAATTTCTTTCTCACCGTAATTTCAATTAATTTTGATGGTCACTTTTGTTGAGAATCGAACCAGTAGTATTGAAACAGATGAATTTTGTTCAATTGCAATTTGCATTCAAATTATTCTTCATAGTTAATACACCCAAACTTTTGATTAGAATTTATAGGCCAACGAATGATAGCCAAAAAAATGATGTTGAAAAGAGGAAAAAATTTGAAATCAGAAATACTCTGGAGAGTTTTTTTTTCTTCTGTTCTCCGTAGAAGTAAGTGAAAAACAAAAAATTTTTTTGTTGCACTTGAATTGTATAAGAGTTTAAGAAATTCTATATTATTTTTGGTTGGATGTTGTTAAGTGTTCATATTATTACACACTATTTGCGCTTGACGCTATAAAGCCACTTTTTAATAATTTACATGTTGAGGAGACTATGCATTAACTGAAAAAAAAAATTATTTTAAAATTGAATTTTAAAAAAAGGTTTGCATTTTAAAATTCTTTAAATTTTAACTACTTTAATATATGCAATTTTCTTACTTATTTTCGATATGTGCTACTTTAATGCTAATATGCAGATAAAAATATTTATCTTAAAAAGCTTTAGAATAAAGCTTGTAAAGAACATTTTATACAATTTGCGTTAAATTAAAATATGTGCAGTATGGAAGTTTATAACATATTCTAAAATTTGTCTATAAATGGATCGATATTTACACGTAAAGTTATGAAATAATGCCATAAGAATAAATAAAAAAATTGTTAAAGTTTCTAAAAATTGCATTTAAATTATTTCTTTTTTCTTAAATTAAAATTTATTTCTACATATTTACGTGTAATTAATATTTGACTTTTCAGAAAATTTTAAAATTAATTTGATAAAAATATTTTTATGTACTTTCATTCAAGAAAATCAGATTTCATAGTAAAAATACAAAGATAATGCTTATGACCTAGTTATTTCTAAATTTTGCTTTTCAAATTTGAACTTACAAAATTAAGTTTTAATTAAAAAACTAGCTCATTGAACCCACTTTTATTATTAAAAAATTAATTTTTTTTAGAAAATTATTTTGCATTGTTTTCTCTTGATTTTATCTTATCGACTCAAATTCATTATTATTTGATATCAATATGATATTAGTAATGAAATGTAAAAGACATTGTTTAATTATGTGTTTAGCCACATAGAGCAAATGTGAGAAAATATTCATATTAATTAATCATTATATACTCACAGAGTATTAGAAACATACTATTAAATTTCAAGAGAGTAGAGTTACCTGTCTGTCAGCATTAAATTTTTTTTTTTTTAATTTTTATAATTGATTAGATATTTTTGATTTTAATTCAATTGGTATATTTTTCCTATATACATACTTCATATCAATATTTTCGGATGCATTTAAAAGTTTAAAAATGTTTAGAGAATTGACTGACTTCCAGTCTGCTTTTGTTTTAATATTATACCAATGCCAATATAATGATTTTAAATTATAAATGTTTATTATAAATGTATAACAAAATTGAAAATTTAGATAATAATTCAAAGGTTTGAAATAAATTTAATTAAAACAGATTAATTATTAATTAATAACACTATAATTATAAAATTCCTAATAAACATAAGTCAAATTTATGAACATGTTTTGCATAAGAGATAAATTAATTAGATTATTGAAAATTTAAAATTTACTTTAAATGAAAATAAATGACGGTTCATTAACGAAAGATACATGATAAAAGTATTGATTTTTTTAATTGTATTTATTTCATTGTTCATTTACATTATGTGAATGTTTTCACAAAATCACAAAGAAAAATTTTTCTTTATCAACTTACTAATTAAATTCAAAGTTATTTGATTGATTTTCCCTTTTTACTTTATATTTTGGACTGCCATGACCATCCAAAAAAAAATGTGTCTCCACTTTTAAAATCGATAAACTATATAGATTTTAAAAATAATTAAGGATATTCACCTTGAATATTTCAAAATAAAAAAAAAAGCAAATATTTAATGTTGTTTTTGTACATACACGCAATATATGACTAATTATACATGATACATGTACATATATATACATATGTATATAAAGGAAGTGGTGAAATTCAGTCGACTCGGACTATAGCTAGAATCGCTTCCTAAATCACTTGAGTTTTGAAATTTTTAATCTTATTTTAAATGTTTTTATTAAAATCATTAAAGTAATATAAAAGATTTGTTAGTTAAGCAGATATATTCTTCAGTTTCAAATTAAAATAAGACATTTTTACTATACGAAGGTTCAAGCTCCATATTGTATAACAAAAACTTTCTACAATGTCATTAGTATCAGATTGGAAAAATATATTTTTCGATACACAGTAAAAGTGAAAACACATTCCAGTTGAAAAATGTTTTCAGCTGGAAATGCGATTTTGCATAAACTTTTGACGTAAATAGATTTCGAATACAATTTGAAAGCGACATCAAAACTTTTATTAACGACATAGAACTCAAAATATATATCAAATTATAAAACACTAACATTCAAGTAGCGATATGATATTAGGTCTATGATTAACACTCTTCAAAGCGAACCGCTTATAAATTTTTTTGAATTTTACCACTGAATTTATATATTATGTACTTACTACGGTAAGGTATTTGAAATCTATTTTATTAACAATTCAATATTTAATTTGACATTGAAGTTGTACATATCTACATATTTACAAATTAACTTTGTTAAAATTTACTCACGTGGCTACAGAATGTATCGAAAAATTATATTGTGGTTTTATGCCAAATAATATGGAAAATGCTTTTTTAAAATACCAATAAAAAAAAGTATATAAATCATAAGATTTGTTAAACTATTAAAATATAAAATTCGATTTCGAATATCTTGAAAATAATAACACTCTAAATTGAAGAGCTTTTATTATTTTAATTTTTTTTTCTATTTTTGTTCAAAATTATGTTTTTCTTTCAGGTGGATTTGCTATGGTCTTTTTGGCGAAGGCAAATTCTGGAAATGTACGCTACGCTTTAAAACGCATGTACGTTAATAATGAACATGATTTGAATGTTGCCAAAAGAGAAATTCAAATAGCTGTAAGTAAACAAAAAAAAAAGGTTTTTGTTCTAATTGAATTTTTATAAAAAAAAAAGTTTGATCTTTCTCTCTAGAGTTTTAATGTTTCTTCAAGAAACTTGTAGAACTTATATAAAAATTTGAGAACTTATATAATAATTAGAAAATAATACATGGAATATTAACATAATTAATTTTGGCTAAAAAATGTGTTCGCACTTGTAAGAGTTAAGAGTTTAGACTCTTATAAATTCCTTAACTTTTACTGTTCTTAAAACTCTTTATTTAATTTTATAAATATTGAAAATTGATGAATCTAATTAATTATTTTTATTACTTTTATTTTTAGAGTAATTTAAGTGGTCACAAGAATATAATTGGCTATGTTGATTCAAGTATAACACATACTGGTAATGGCGTCTATGAAGTTCTACTATTAATGCCATATTGTAAAAATCACATGCTGGCCATGATGAATGCAAGGTAAATAATTTATTCTTGTGTTAATATTAAAAAAAAATTCTTATACTAATAGTTTGACAAATTAAATATTTTATAAATGCATTTTTTTATTATAAAAATATATTTTTATTGAACAATTTACAAAAAACTGAAATTATACTTTTATATTTATTTAGACTTTCAACGGGATTTACCGAACAAGAGGTTTTATCAATATTCTGTGATATCGCTGAGGCTGTTTCACGTCTGCATTATTGTCAAACGCCCATTATTCATCGTGATTTAAAAATAGAAAATATTTTACAAAATGATGCTGGTAATTTTGTGCTGTGTGATTTTGGTTCAGCTACTGGTAAAATATTGAATCCCAATACACATGGCGCAACGGCTGTTGAAGAAGAAATAAAAAAATATACAACATTGTCATATAGAGCTCCAGAAATGATAGATTTATATAGTGGTAAAAATATAACAATTAAAGGCGATATATGGGCATTAGGTTGTATGCTATATAAATTATGCTTTTTTACTTTACCATTTGGTGAAAGCACATTGGCAATACAGAATGGTACATTTTCAATACCAGACAATTCAAAATATTCAAAAGGAATGCATCAACTTATTAAGTATATGCTAGAACCTGATATGGATAAACGACCAAATATATTTCAAGTTTGTGAAATAGCATTCAAATTAAATGGAAAAGATAACCCTGTTCAAAATTTGCACGTATGTGTATTAATTTTTTTAAGATTTTAGAAAACTAATTATTTTTGGAATAAAATCAAAAAATTTATAACTTTTCTGCATCATTCTATATAAATTATTTCAAAAATATTTGTTCAACCCCTTTTGAAACTAAATAATTTATTTATGAAATAGTTTAAAATTTAATTAATTTGAAACTGGATTGATTTTTTAAATAAAAACAATACTTAATTCCAGAAATCACCATCACCAATATTAGAACAACTACCTGTACCGCCATTTGAATCCGAACTGAAACGATTAACAGCTTCCTCTACGAAGCCAAAACCCCAAAATACTCCTATATTAGAATCCGGTACGAGCGTAGCGCCACGGCAAAGACCTAAAGGTTCATCAGCAATTGTGGGTCAGCATCCACTTTCTTTAGGTCTTCCGCCATCGCCTTCACCACGGAACACTATAGCTTCTCCCCAGCCTCAACCAGTTGTTGAACAATTTCAAGCTACATTTCCCAATATAACTGCACCACATGCTATACAACAACCGCCATCGGGTGCACTCCCCACTACGCCTCAATCGCAGCCTGCAATAAATCAACAGCAGACAAATGTTTTATCTGGAAGCGGAAATATTACTTCTGCTCCCCAACAACAACAAACCCCTTCATCAAGATCGAATTTGGATAATTTATTTCAATCAACTTATCCCGATCCATTTAGGGAAGCTGCTAACAAACCAAGCGAGTCATCCGAACTATTACATCAAGATCATCAACCGCAATCACTTCCATTACAGCATGACGTAATAATGCCTTTAGGAGCAGGTTTAGCCGGCACCCCCACCAAAACCCTGTTAGGTGCACCAAAAGGTGGGCATAGAAGAAACGTTAGTGATACATCTGCATTTAATAAGTAAGTTAAAAATATTTTTGCACTTTTTAATTATTGTTATTATTTTAAAATCACTATTGCCATTATTTTAGGACATTTGCAAATGAAACATCGCAATTTTTGGCTCCATATGATCAATCTGTGAAGTCTCGCATGGGGAATACAGAATCGCCAACCAGTCCACCAGGTGGGAATAGTAACAGTGCTTCAAATAATTCAATTTTCACTCAAGAACAACAGCATCAAAATTCATTACTGCAAGCACAGTCAATGCCATCATCTGTATCAAACACAGAACTGTCCAGTTTTCAACCTAACATTAATGAAAACCCTTATACCGCTAGTCTAAGCCAAGCTGCATCTGGAGCTTTGATGTCAGGTATAAGTTCAGTGCAGAACAATGTTAATTCTGTCAACAATAATAATCGCTGTGGAGTTACCGATTCTGCTGGATCAGGATCATTAGAAGGGCGTGTCGATGCTTGGAATCCATTTGAAGAACAACCGTTTGATCAAATGACAGAGGATCATATTTTTGATGCCGAATTCGATAAAATACGTCAAAGGGGAAGTCAAGGAAGTAAATAAAATGACCTAACTTGATTATCTTTTTTATCTAAGTTCAATATTTAAATATATAACTATATTAGGTATTACCGCAAAATCAACTTCAACAACATCAACCTTAACTCCAACTGAGAATAATATAAGTGCAGGAACAAATATTTTATCACAAAATCAACAGCAATCACTTCACCAAGTGACAAATCAACAACATTCAACTTCTTCTGGAGCAGCGGCTGCATCTTCCGGAACCAATTCTCACTCGTCCAATCAACAACAACAACCTCAGATACCGGAGGATCCATTTGGCTCAGCCCCTTTTAGCTTACCGCCAGGCCTAAGGGAAAAAGCTGCTGCACTTAGAAAAACTGGAGGTAAAGCATAGATTTTATTGTTGTCATTTATTCTTACTAGTGATATAAATAATAAAGTATATAAAAAAATTCAACTAAAATTATACTAAAAAACCCATAAAATATACTATTATAATCAATATTATAAAATAAAAATATAAAAAAGTATGTAAGGTTATAAAATAGAAGAGATTTAAAATTAATAAATGAGTGCAATTTAGTTGCGATTTGAATATTTAAGGAACATTACGTAAAAGTACGATAATTAGAAAATATGTATAAAATTACACATTTTTTTTACTACGTTTTTGAAATTATTGACTTAGGTTTAAACACGCGTATGAATCTGTTTCTTGTTAATTCTTTTTTAAAACTGGTTTGGTTTTATTTTCTAATTTTATACAAATCTTAAAATATTCAGCAAAAAAGCTATTTTTTTATTTGTGCAACATCAAAATTATATATTTTGAATTATAAAAAATACTAATTTTAATAATTATATATTTCAAAATAATAAAATTGAATGGGACACGAATTAGTTTACTTTTCCAGCATTACCAACCTGTTTACATGTGTTGTATTCAATACATTTCTTTTCAATAAATGATTTTGGAATTAAAATTTATTAAACTACACATAATCTTTATACCGATTATCACGAAATTTTTTTATTTGAATTTATTATTAAATCATTTTTTTTTTTAAATTTATTGAATTTCTTTTATGATGCTTAAATGATTAATATTAATTTGAATATTATCTGAATTGCAAATAGTATAAAATACAAAATCAATATTAAAAATTAAAGCGAACTAAAATTATTTTTATATTTTATTCCATAAGGAATTACATCTAGAACTGCATAAGTTGTAATTTTTATTCAAAATTGGCAAAAGAGATTTCTATTCAAAAATTAGGATACTTCATTATAATATATAGTTTCAAATTTTTTTATTATATAAATTAATTAAAACAGTTAATAAAAAATATTGGTAATATAGCAGACTGCTTACACTGAACCTTTTAATAATATGCTATTTTTGCGCTGGGAATATTAAAAAAAAGTAATTTCATAAATTACTTTTTCAAGAAGCGCATATTTTTATCATTTAAATTAAATAAATTTCTTCTTAGATTAAAAATTCTCTTAATATTTAAAATTCCTTTCTCAATTTTTCTCATATATTATCTAAAATACATGTTAATTTACAAACAAGTTTTAATAATAGTATTGAAATTGTATAAGAAAAATAATTTTTTAAAACCAGACAGAAAAAATTTGAAAAGAAAATGATACCTAAGGAAATTTTTGTATGAATACTAAATTTAGATCAGTATGTAACGAGATAATTTGTTGTAATTACAAAAAAAATTTTGGTCTATATTATGAAAAATTAATTAAAGATTATGTTTAAAAATGATTAAAAATTTAAAAGCAAAACTCTTGTTATTCCCCTGCTTAATATTGAAATTTGTTATTAGAAAATGTTTCTGCAATACAATCTTTTAAAAACAAATAGGTACTACAGTGCTATGGTAAAATGTAAATTTGTAATACAATAAATAATGTACATATTAGTATGAGTTTGTAAAACTAAATTTATTTTATACATTTACTTATTATACGTATAACAATATGATTTATATATAAAAAATGTATATTAAATATATAGGTTGACTTTGACATCGAAAAACGATTTTACTTGGACATACCAAAGAGTTGATATGTTATATTGAAAATGTATAAAACAAGTATATTGTTCAAAGAAATTTTGAATATGTTGAACATACTACATGTATTCATAGATTTTATTATTTTGTTAAATGTTTAAGTTTAATACCTGAATATAAAAATCTATGTCTCTTACGTAACCACAATTTTAATCGAAATAATTATTTATATGGTTATGGTATATTGAAATTGAAGAATTCGAATTTAAATGAAAATTCGTTAAAAATTTTTCACATAACAGTTTCGCTTCTAATTTCATGCCAAAGTTGATAATAAATATACCATATTATATGATCTGCGTGCGTTCATAATTGAAATAGCATGTTCATGAAATTTTATTGGAGTGATTGATTTTTTTCAAATTAAGTACTAATACATTTTCAAAGTATTTGAATTTTCATTTTTAATTTATATTAATGAACATAATACTTCAGCTTTGAGCGCATGGCATATTTATATAATGTACATATATTTTTCTTAAGTACGTATTAAATATTTAAAATAATTGGTATAACAAATAGAGTAAAGTATGTTGATGCAAAAAGGCTTATTCAGCAATTTAAATTATACTGTAAAATCAATCAGATTGACGTTAGAGTTGTATTTTGGTAAATACCATTTCAATATTGCTTTTACGTGATTTGCAATTTGTTCCGGAATGAACGTTTTGACAAGCAATAATAAAAAGCAAGACCAATATTTTAATTAATTTCGAATTATGCAATCAAATTGACAATTTAATTTTTCAGCTTTTTATTGAAAAATTACTATGATAGGATATTTTTTTTTTTAAATTATTTCATAAAATATTTTTGAACTTTCCTGTGACGAAGAAGTAAACAGATAAAAAAGACTTTTTGATTTATGAATAAAAGAAATACGCAGCTATGTATGTATTAGTTACAAATAAAAGATAAATGCTAATTTGAACAAAATAAACAATAAGTTTAAAAATGTTAAATTGAAAGAATTTAATTAATATGAGTTATTCGAATTTTAATAAATTGAAAATTATATTCAAAATAATAAATTTTATTTGAAATCAGTTTTTTTTTTTCTGATAACTTGTTATTTTTTTAGTATATTTTTTTTTTAATTGAAGTTCTTTTCGCTGGGCTGATGATGTGAAAAAAAATTACATAAAAAGTTATATTATTGGTTTCTAAAGATTCTTTTTTTTTTACGTACTCATATATCTATTTACGAACAAATTTTACCCACATTATACATATGTATAAATAAGTAATAAATAGAAATTATTAATTTGAAATATTGTATACTTAATTAAAAGTTTGTATACTTAATTAAATTCAATAGTTTTTTAAAAATAATTATAATAATTTTAATTTGTAAATTTTTAGAAAACTAACGAATATTCTATTAATTGTTTCATTTTTTATACTTTCGTTATTATTATTTTATTTTGCTACTTTGTATACAATGATTTACTATTTTCTTTTTTAGTCAAAATATTGTTTAACAAATTGTAGAATTTATTTGTTAATTATAAAATTCTTTTTTTGTAAAATAAAAATAGTACATATTATGTATTTACATTCAATTAAATATATTTTCATTATGTAAAACTGTTTTTTAGTTTTCTTTATTTTTTTTATAAGTATGTATGTATTTAAAACGTTTATAGTTTTTTGCTTGTGTAAATATTTAAAATTATTTTTTGTAATTATACATATTTTATGTTTTTGTAATTGTAAATGTCTTGTTTATAATTTTTGTAGTTTTATAAAAAAAAATTTTCAAAATCATGTAACCCTACAATTTACTACATTATTTGGTATCATTTTTTTTTTCATTTGTTTTTGTCTGGTTTTATGTCGTATAAATTTTTCATAAAATTTAACAAAAATTTTTCATATTATTGGCATTTATTAGTTTAATTTATATTACTTTCTTTTTTAATTTTCTTTTTAGAGAATTTTACAAAAAATTTTAACTTGCTCATATATTTTTTAGGGGTGAAAGGACAATATATATAAAAATTATATAAATGACTATGTTACTAAAATAGAATATTTAAATAAAATAGGTTCGGCCGCAAAAAAAAAATTTGTAATTTTTTTTTTTTTTCGTAAAGAATTGTTATTAAAATTCATTTAAAAATTTAATTTTTTGATAAGTTCAAACGAATAGTGTTTTAATATTAAATATTATGCAATATAATGGTAAATATGGTATATCATAAAGTCATTTTCAAATTCCATTTTAAAATTAATTATATTTTTTATTAATATTCACCAATATACTTCTTATTATATATTTAGTATTTTGAAAAATCTAAGGTTAGTGAAAGTTTTACAATTATTATTGATTTTGTGTTAATTTAAAATAAATGAATTTCGGATTACTTAACCCCTAATTATTGCAATATAACGATAGAAATAGAAATTTAGCAATAGTATTCCATAATCTGTAATGAATAACTTTTTATAGGAAAATATATCAATAACTTATTATATACCATGTTAAAGTACTCTGATAAAATTTTAAATTTTTTATAATATTTTAATTATTTTTTTGCGAATTGAGAAAAGGAAATTGACTTCGTTGTTTCATTTATTTTTTCTTTTTAATTTAAAATTTTTTTTTTTTGGAAAATAAATTTAGACAATTTTAGATTATTTTATTCTTCGTTCATTTCATACTACTCGTATTTGCGATCACTTTCATTAGTTTGCGATTAATTTCATTAGTTTAAATTTTTAGTTTGAGATTTGACCGAAATATTGTTAAGAATACTTGTAAAAATATAGATAGTATAATGACAAAAAAATTATAAACTACAAATAAAATTTGTTTTTTTTTTCCTAAAAAATTATTATATAACGTATATATTATAGTTATAGAATAAAGAAAAAATAATTACGTATTTCAAATTGTTTTTTCTACTTTAAAAAAAAAACAAAATTATTTCTTGAAAAATTTGATGTGCTATAAAATACAGAAATAAAGCAGGGAAATAAGTGTACAAAATGTGTAAACCCAAAATCAAAAATAAAAATCATAGAAAAATAAAAGAACAAACTAAATTTATTAAAATAATAAAACATTTAACAATAATATAAAATTCAATAAACAAATTTCGATTATATGTAACTTATAGTAAAACATTAAGACATTCCCTTCACATTAAAAATATGTATTTTTTGGCATTACCCGAACAATGTTTTTCTTAAATTTTTTGCAAAGTAAATTATTACTTTAATTACTTTAAATTTAAAATATAAATTACAATTTATCGCACTAAATTCTTATCACAATAAAACTCTATTATTAATTTAATACAAAAGTGATATAAAATAAAAAAAAAAAAACGAAAAACAAGCAAGTAAATAAAATTAAAACTGAACAAAATACTAGTTCTATTGGTGAAAAAGAACAAACTAAATTAGATAAAATTAAAATATTAAACACTATACCATTAAAATAAAAGTAAATAAAAACAAAAAACAAAACTTGGAAAAGCTAGATTATTTAAAATCAAAAATTCATTAAAATATATTATAATATATTTCCAGTTGATAATAAAAAAAAATATTATTGAAAAAAATAAATATATATATACATATATTTTGAAAGAAATTGCAATAAATATTTTATGATTAAATTAAAAATTCATTTTCAATCTATTATTCATATTATTTAAAAAAAAATAAATAAAAAATGACAATATTTATTTAAACATTTTAAATTATTTCCTTAATTCATAAAATTTTTTAATCTAATTTAGTTACATAATGGGATGTTTTATTGCTTTAATTAATTTATTGATTTTTTTTTCTAATTTCAATGGTTGCTATTAGGTTATGGTATTAAATTGCCATTTAAAATTTTAGCCTAAAGAATAGCATTGATTGAAGATTTGGCTTTTTTTGTTTTTTTTTTTTTTTGTCTCGAAAAGTTGCAAATTTGAAAAGAAAAATATGATTTTCATTAGTTTAAAACAAACAAAATAATTTTTAAGCGTTATTAAATTTAATTTATTACATGCAGCATAAAAAAATATGCAAAAAATTATTAACGTTTATACTTGCTTGCCCGCTTAAAGTTTATTAAACTTTGATTTTCTTTAAAAAGTTTTGTTATTCCAATCAATGGTTTATCAAAGAATTTTAAAAATCACTACCAATTTAAAGTTTTATCTAATTTTTAAATAATTAGTTATGTTAAATTGCAATTGTACCTACAGATTCAATCAAGACCCAACAAGTTTTTTTTAAAAACTGAAAGCTTGTAGATTTTTACATTTTGCTTTTATCAAGTATAATGTTATAAAAAAATATTCATGTTTTTATTTGCAACTGAAATTACCGTATTCACACATCATTATACAACAAATAAAAATCTAATTATAGTTTATAATAATTGTAATTATAATAATTTAATATTTTAAGTATTTAATATAAAAATATACAAAAATTATGTAGCGGTCGCGGTTATTCATTCTTTTCATAATAGATTATTTTCTTTTTAATTAAATTACCAAAACTTACCTTAATAAAACGATGAAGTCAATATGTTTTCAAAATAAATGTCATTTTTGCAATTTGTCTCAAACTGTATTGACCTTTTCTGTAATTTTTCATTATATTGGTCATAAATACCAAATATAAGCCGAGAAATTTGCAGTCTTCTAGTTACCATTCTATTGAAATTATTATATACAAACAAATAGCTTAAATTATTTTTGTTTACGTTTTTCGAAATATTTATCGAATTATTGTAAAAAATTATCTGATATAAATGCGCGTTCCTTTTTTTCTTTTTGCATCTTACAGTTTTATGTAGCAATCATGTATGTAATTCATTTTATGAATGACTTTGTACAAGTCCAAAACAAAAATAATAAAACAACAAAAACATTATTTTGATAGATATAAAATAATCGTAGTTATTAGTTAATTAAAAACTTAAAAAAAAAAAAACAAACATTACTATATACTGCATAAAAGCCCTACGTCTTATTTCAGCTCATACCATCTATCATCACCCACCACACGCCCACCATCACAACTCACGATCATCAGTCTCAGGCCCTTCTTCAACAGTTGTTAACGTGCTGACTGTCAATAATTCTTTAATATCATCATTTAATGGAACACAATTGATATCCTCTACATCAGCCGCGTTACCTTTAACAACAACAACTGCCATTGCAACTTCTTCAATAAATGCAAATAAATGGATTTTATCACCTACTTTGGAAACAATTATTACTAGCGAAAATACTGAAGATAAGACATCATTGATCATTAACCTAAAGTCCGACCAAGATACAGAAAGTAACAGTACAATGGTTGGTACAACAGCTGGTGGCAATTTTGTTAAGATCCCAATTGAAGATCGAAATAAATATGAAAAATTACGTAGTAATGATAATCCAACTTCAGATGATTCAGACTCTGAATTTTTTAATGAAGATTATAACAGTAAAACAGCGTATTTAAAACATATAGTAACAAGTAACATTCCAGAAAAAATCCATAAAATTCAACAAGCTGCTTATCACAAAGTTGATAAAACTCATATTAAAGTACCTATTGTTAAAAAACTTAAGTCGACCCGCAAGGAAATAAAACTAAGTAACGAAAGAAGAAAATCATCAAAGATATCAACATCTGAAGTGGCAAAAAATGATGAGAATGATATGCAAGTAAATGCATCCACTAAGAAAAAATCAGGTGGAGAAAAACAGACAAGTGGTGATGGAGACGGTGATGATGACTCTATTGGTTCTGCAAGTGATTTACGTGCTGAAGATGATGATTTTTTTGATGAAAATAATATGAATTCAGCAAATCGTTTTCCAAAGCAAACTGTAGCGGATGATTGTATAAGTGAAAGTGTCAAAACTTGTAATTCATCGGCATACCATGCGGAATGTGAAAGTGTAACAACGCATGAGGATGATGTCAGTCGAGTAGTTGTTAAAGTTCGTATGAAAAAACGTGATCGAATGAATGAACTTACTAAAAATGAACTTTTAGAGGAAAATCAACTGAGCCCGTCTTCAAATGACTTTTTGCACAAATTCGGCGATAAACCATTGCTGTTGGATGACGAGTTGGACTACAGCTCTGCAGATAGTGATTTTAAAGAGAATAAGTCTGAGGATAGTCCGGCTTCAGAGTCAATATTACAAGAGCTTCAAGATAAAAATAATGCAAAATCGGAAGAAATAGATGTTTTTGCAATGGCGCCATTTAAAATGCCTATTGGTCAGCCAAAAAAACGATCAAAAAAAGTTTTGAATATTAACGAAAAGCAAGAAGATCCTATATGGACATCAACACCAAAAAAATGCGACGAAGAAATTAAAGAAGCGCATAATACGTTTTCAACATATTTGCTATCAAAACCACATCAACAAGCTCAAAAGCCGGAAGAAAATGTTAATACGTCGGGAAGTACTATTTTAGATGAATTTAATGAACCTATCTTTAATCCATTCGAGTCTCATATTGAAATCTCTGGAAAAACAAATTCGAGATATGTATCTCAACCTTTTATTGAAGGAATAACGCCCATCAAAAAAGAGAATCTTCAAAAACCGCAACAACAAACCCCGGTACAAAATGTTCCAAAACAAATTCAAAGTCATTCAGATTTTGGAGTTGTAACAGTAACTTCAAATTTCAATCAGTCTCTAAATCAAAATTTGACGTCTTTGTCAAAATCTGCTAATATAACTGAACGTAAAAATTCTGTGAATAAATTTCCCAAATTCCCCATAATAGACAATTTAACACCATCTTCTTCATTAGTGTCCACAATACCAAATACAAACATTGAACAATCGGCTAGTGCCGAATGTGATTTATTCGGATCAGAACCATTCCCGCAAGTACTGGCAGCAGCAGCAGCAAAAGCTGCAAATTCATTACCAACACCGGTACAATATTCAAACAATTCGCGGCAAACAGAAAATCTTAGTAACAACAGTCTTCACAAAAAAAATTTGCGGCATGGAAGTACATCTATAGAATCACAATTGGTGGAACCTATTCAATTAGTTACAGTTAATCACTCGATAATAATTAACAAAACTCCAGATCCTCCACCACCATTACAAGCTACTTTATCAACAATTCAAATGCCGCCACCACCAATTCTGCCATTAAAGCAACAACAGTTCGTGTCGTCACATTCCTCAATGCCTGTCTCCAACAATTTACCTTCTTCTTTTTCAACCACTAATAAAAAATTTAATGCACCAAAACAACCTGCGTTAACAAACACTACATTAGCACAATCTTCAGCGAGCACTTCTTATATCAATTACTCTAATATTGCATTGAAAAATCAATTAGAATTTTTACCTATACCAGATAATGAATATTTAACAATATCTCATGACACAATTTCAGATTTTAATACAAACGACGACGAAGAACCAGTTGTTATAAAATCTCCAACCCCATCGACACAATCTTCATCATCAACAATAATACACTCGTCATTAAATAAACATCATCATAAGAAGGATAAAGAAAAATCAAGTGTTAGAACACTTCCAGCTAAATTAACACAAAAAGTGAAATCGAATCATTACAAAAAAGTTGGTTCTGAGAAATCCAGTAGTTTAAGTAATAGCGGAATAAAATCGAAAAATAAGCATTCTTATTTGGTTGAAGACGATACAACGATTAGCGATGGTTATGATAAGAAAAACGGTGGAAATGTTGGCATAGGAGGATACTTTCAATCAAATACTATACAAAATTCAAAATCTGGATTTAGTAATATGAGTTTTGAAGATTTTCCATCAGATCAAGAGGAAATCGATCGAATGTCAAAAACTATACCATTTGAAGTTATAAGAAATGAGAAAATGTTAGTAGAAGCAGAACGTAAATTTGGTTCTTTAAAAAGGAGAACAAATCTATTTTCTTAGAAAATAAATAGATTGAGTAAAGTTATTCATGTAAGAGTATATAAAAATTTTAAGAGAGAAGAAAAGTATTAAATATTTTATTCTATTTTCCACATAATTTTTTAAATTTAAATTTTAATGATAAATTATTGATAATTGTTTTTAAAAACAATTTTGCTAAGATATGTACAAATACAAATTTAATAAATTAAACTGCATTTTATATAAAACTGGTATCGCTCATATTAAATTTTTAACTTTTTATATGTATATTTAAATTACATAAAGTATAAAATAGTAAAAAATTATTTATTTCTTTCCAATTTTTATAAAAAAAAAAAAAAACTGGCAAATAAGATTGTTGGTTGTGTTATCGCATTTGTACTTTTCTTTTAAAAGTTTTGTGTTAAGATTTAAAAGAAATTAGCTACACATAAAGTTATTTAGAAAACACTATAATTCTTGACAAAATAATTTATCATTGAAATATGACTTCAGAGACTATACGGTATAACACGCATAGTCTATAACTTATATGCTCAACAAATTTTTTTTTTATAAGAAAATTTTTTTATTAATATTGCTTTCTGAAAAGTATTTTTTGTATTAAAAGACGTCTTATACATTTATAATTCAATATGTATAAAGCAGAATTTTGTTCTAAGATTATAATTCGTGAAAAGAAATATTTTTATTCACAATAAATATTATGAATTACGATTCAATGTATGTAAAAAATGGAATTAAGTACCTAAAACAATGAAACAAATTTATTAATTGAATCAACTTATTTTGGAAATATAATAACTTTGTATGTACACATATTTTAAATATTTCTTTCAGATCGTAATTCATAATGATATTTTATTTTAATTTCTTTAAATAAAATTCAAAATGTATTAAACTTATATAATTATTTTTACTATTTCTTAAAGTATATACAACATATTTAAATTAATAATTATATTTGTATTTAAAATAATTTTTAATTTGCTTATACTTATGTATATTTAAAAATAACATGTGAAAACTAAATTATTACTTTTATTTCTAATTTTTATGGACTGAAATTGATTTATGAAATCATATTAAAAAAATAGGGAAAGGAGAATTTTATAGAAATATACAAAAATATGTAGTAAAAACTCATAAAAAAAAAACAAAAATAAAAAAACATATATTGGAATGTTGTTATTTATATAAATTAAATAAACCAAGTTAAACTAAAAAATGAAAATAATAAAATAATAAATACATAAAAAAAATATATATACATATATTTAAATATCAAACAAATTAGTATTATTAAGAAAAAACACAATAACTAACCTCATTCAGAAAACAATAAAAAGAAATTGAATTAAAAATTATTAATAATGTAAATAAGACTTATTGTTATAAAAAGAAGAAAATAATAATATATTATGAAAAAAAAACCTAGTTCCAAATTATCACGCAAATTATGTTTTAATTGATTTCATTAAATGTATATTAGTTTTCTTAAATATTAAAAAAAAAATCTTTAGATTATAATGTTGAAAAATGTAAGAAAAATATTTCTTGTAATTTCGATGATATTCTGATTAAGAATAATCATATTTTTTTTTTTTAAAACTTATTGACTTTTATCAATCCTTTTCAAAGTTCGTGGAGTTTTAAATCACACTTAATTTGCAAATTGCATTACAAATATAAGAAGACTTAATTACATACTCTAAACATATTTATTCGATTTGCTTTAAAAATCGTTCTCAAAATTTTAAATTGTTAAAGTTTTTCCATATTTTTCTAATTAATTTCTGTAGAATCGATAAATTTAACAGAATGTCATCGACATAACAAAGTGAATAACATAAAATTGTTTCTGAGTTGAAAATTATATTTTATTTTCTTGTATTGGCTTTATTATTTTGAGTTTTTTTTTTTTTGTTTAAATCATATCATTAAAAATTTACAAAAAATATTTTTTATACACTTACAATAATATCTAAACTTAATATATAAAACAAAAAATGTAATTCATGGTTTACAAATAAAAAAAAAAATAATGTAAGGAAAAATATGTATTTATATTTGTTAATATATTATAAAAATATTTTTATAGATCATAAATTAAATTTTCAAATGAGCAATGTATATATGAGAAATTTTAATATAATTTTGTTTTTATTGTACTTTTAAAATTCTAAAATACCTTAAAATGTATCATTATTTTTGTTTGCGAATGAGATTGAAATTGGAAAACTTTTTAGTTTTTTTATTCTTATTTTATTTCATTATCTTGATGAGTTTAATTTTTAGATTTAAAAAATATGAAACATTCATTATTATTTTGTTACATTACAAATATAATTTCAGTATAGCTTTCCTATAGATTGTGTTCGGTGTAGAAACTATCAAAAACTGGCTACCAAAATTATTGTTTAAATCAGGATTAATCAATTATTTTTCTTTTATATTAAGAGAATAAAAGATTATACAAAAATTTTACATTGAAAATCCATTACACATTCTTCATCTGTTCAAATAATTAAAATTGTACATACATTCAAACACAATTACAACTCATATTTTTATATGTTTTAAGAAAATCACAATACATAGATAACATGAAAATATTAAACACATAAAAAATTACAGCTTTTAGATAAAGTTACAAATTTTACTTTTGTTATATTAAAATAATTTTTTTTCTACAAAAAAAAATGTATTTACTAAATTTTGATTATTATGACTGCTTTCTTTTATTTTTATATTATGAAAAGTGTTTCATTAATGCGTTTTCGTTTTTTTTTTCTTCAATATTTTACTTTGGTTTAATTTTTTTCTTCTTTTATAATTATTAAAAGTTTTGAAATAAAAATTGTTGCTAAACTTAAATACTATTTCGTATATATTTTAATTAAAGTTATATTAAGCATTCCTAAAATCTTTTATAGAAAAAAAAAATGTATAACATATAATAGTACCACAAAATAATTATGTAACATAAAAAAATATCATACGTAAATATTATTGATTTGTAAAACATTTTGTATTGCAATACATAATATTTTTAGGACCCTATTGCACCAATCACTTTTTATTTTTCTCTAATGAATTTCTTAAAAAAGCACTTTATTTATTAGTAAACTACAATAGTGTTTTAATTCTCTTAGTGCAACAGAAACTCTACCAATTTACTCTTTTATAAGTTGATATAAAAAAAAATAAAAAGTCATTGGATTCAATATGGTCCTGGCATCGATTTTAATTATTAAATAGTTCATTATTTTATAAGCTTTTTCCGCCCAAAAAATTTTTTTTTCTAGGGTTGAGAATTTTTAAAGAAGACATTAACAAAATTTTGGTTTTTATGTTGTCAAATATTTTCTGGCACAAATTATATTACATTATATTATATTAGAAAAAACAAATAGATAATATAAATAAACGTGTTTTATTTTAAATGAAAACTTTCACTCATTTATTTTAGAGCTAAAAAAGGTTACTTTTTTTTTTGAAAATTTTTCTTTTAAGTTGTAAAAGTGAACTATTTTATTTTGGTTATTCTCCGTATTTTTGCTAGGATTAATTCGCTATATCTATTTTTTTTTTTAATACACATTTTATGTTGAATTGAGTAAATAAAATTTTAATTTTCATTCACAACTTAATTTTTTAAAAATTTTATTTTGAAAGGTTTTTTTATTTATTTAACTTGCATTTTTACTTACATTTTCATTTTTGACGCCGTTTTTTCAATCATTTCATAAATATAATTTTTATTTCAATATCTTGGAATAGTTTATGTAGTTAAAAAGGTATACATGTGTATTTCTTATACTATACACAAATCTTATTTTGTAATGTATACAGTTTTTTTTATTTGATTATAGAAAGCTTAATTAATTAATATTTTCGCAATAGTAAACTTAGAAATAGATTCTAAAAATAGGAAGAAAAGTGAAGGAAATATGTACAATGTTTTGTACATAAATTAATAGTCAACTGAAATTGCATTATTATTTAAAATTTTTAATTTTTCTGATTTTTAGTAATTTTAAAATATAAAATAATACTTTATATTTTTGCACTTATTATGTTTAAAATATCTGGAGAACAAAACATGGTGAATTTGAAAAATTAATTTTACAAATTATATTTCTAGTTTTTATCATTTATTATTATAAAATATTTTTCTTATTCTAACTATTAAATTATTGCTTTTAATCAATTTGTTACTTGTTCCATGTTTAGATTTTTTTAGCTTACATATTCGTAAAAACTTTTTCAAACTTGTAATAAAGTATAAAATAAAAACTTATAAATAAGTCGAAATTAACTATCTGTGAAACTGCTTTACTTTATATTTGGTTAATATTTTTCAATATAATTTAAATGTTAAATTTAATGATTTTTTATCTTGAGTTTCAAAATGTTTGGCTTTTTCCCATTCAATCATAAATTATAATTATAGAGGGGTGATCAATATACAATACAATGTATACTGAGAATAATTCACAATTTTTTGAAATGAAGGAGAAGGGAAATAAGGCTGAAAAATATGAAGGACTTTGATATACAATGTAAATTTTAACCAACAGCAACAAACAATATTATTTTAAAATGTATACATATATTAAAATAAGTTTTGGCAATACCCTATAATTTTCTAAAATCATATTTAGTAATATATTCCATCTGGCCCAGCAATTAAAAATTAAAACATATTTTAGGCATTTTTATGACGTCGAAAAATTAAGAAGAATAAAAAATTTCGACTAAAGCTGTTTGAATTGATTTCTTTAAACATTGCAGGAAATTTCAGTGGTGACCACAAGCAACTAATTAAGGTAAAAAAAAATAATAAATAAAATAACTTAAGTAATTTAATTACATTGTTGTTTATTATATCCGTATATTTTTCCGTAACATACAATTGTATCACACTCTCAATTAGAAATTAATACAAACATTCAATTTTAGAAGCATTTACACGAGAATAGACCTTTACAAATTGCACTTTTATTTTTTTAAAAATTTATTAATATCCTTGAACAATCTTCAAAATTAAAAAAAAAAACAATATATTTTTGTACAATTTATGTTATTCTTTACTTTTTTTGACGACCATTGTGTACAATATGTATAAACACCAATAACACACTGTTTTATTGTACTTAGATTCTATATTTGTCCTAATATATATACAAATGTAAGTTTTTTCTTAGTTCTTTGTTAGGCAATATGTTCAGACTAACTCGTGCATTTTGTAACATATCTATTATCTCCTAAATAACTTACTATCAAATGAAGGTTTTATTTAAACTAAATATAAATAATAAAAAAAAAAATAGTGCAACTAAAAATTTAATTTTCTTTTAATTGTAAATTCTAAATTAATTTTATTGATATTAATTATATTTCGCTATGAATTATGGCTTACTAGATAATCCCAATCAGGAGATATAATCATTTTTGAATTAATCAAACCTAAATTGATAATGTTACCACTACGTTCTTTTACATTTGTGCTTATTGATGTTAATTCTTGTAAAAAACCAGTCTCGAGTCCTATATTTACATTGTAATTAGTTTTACCTAATATTAATTTGCATTTACCAGACTTAAAACGAACTAGCTTTCCAATTTGACCTTCTTCTAAGCTATCCATTAAATTTCCACCTTTTGCTTCATTGTTTTTTGTTTCGTTTCCTTTATCAACACCTGTTGAAATGTTATTCTCGTCACATTCACAAGGTAAAACGTCTGGGAATTGGATTAAAACTATTTTTTTATCATTGGAATCAAAAAATTCTTTTTCAATTTGGCGTGCATGAATGTCATCTAAATTGACATCATCAAAATTCCTAGCTAAGATATCACTTTCTTTGTTAAATTTAACCGGTTTATATTTTATATCAATTTTATCAAAAGACTCTTCAGGACCGTCATTATCATCGGACTCGCCAAGAAGAGCTTTCAAATTAATAGATTCCGCTTTTGCGTCAACTTTTGAATGATTTTTTGAAATAGTAGGCTTGGTAAGTTGAACATCATCATTTCGTCGTGAATATGACTCCGAACTACGTTTATTTAAAGTGGATGCTATACCTTCAGAAAATATGCTTGAGGTTTGCATTAAATTTCCATCTCTGCGTGCCCCTCTGTTGGACTTTTGATTATCGTTACGTTTAAAATTATTACGTGTTGTATCTTTAGAGGTCTTGACATTAACATTTTTATTTCTGGTTACATTAAGATTTGGAGCATACACTTTTTTGCTTATGCCGCCCCTAGATCCTCGCAGACTAGGTAGACCACCTAAAATTAAAATAATTTTTCTAATAATTTTAACTTTAAAATATTCATCTTACCTAAAGTTAAGTCTCTCGGTACTCCGAAAGATGAAAGACGTCCATTCGTAGTATTCTGCGAAGAAATAGAGTTTTTATTAGTTGATACAGAAGCAGTATTACTATTGTTTGACATATTTTATTAAAATATGCTTTGGTAAGTCTTTTAATAACTAAATCTAAAATAAAATCAGATTTCTAAAATAATCCCATGTGCTGGTTGATGTTTTATGTATTTCTGTATTCTGTATTTCTTCTTGTTGATTTTTGGCATTTAAATTAAACAAAATTGTTGCCAGTATCATATTCAATTTTTTAAATCATTGCCACAGTTATAAAAACACAGAAATGCAGGAATGACGATTTAATACTTAACTGTGATTATGACGAATTTATTAATCTTTAATTTTTGTGAAATATTGCACAAAGATAATGAAATAAACATAATTTTTTTTTATGTTTTATTTTAATATTTAACAGTTTGTTAAAAGAAATACATAATATTTTAAATACAGTGTTCATATTATGTCATTACCAAATTTTATCTGTGATTAATATGTAAATAGTTTCGTTGCGAATCCACAAAAGTGAAATTCAATATTTAATTTTCGAATGATGTTATTGCAATAGAAATATTTATGTTTGTGAATAAAAATTTCGCATTTTTTGCTTGGCAATATTCAAATTTATTTGAAAATTGTATTTTTCAACATTTATTAATATTTTATATTTCTCAACATTTTTTAGGGTTACTTTATAGCAAACTTCTTATTTCTCCCTAAAGGTGGCTCAAATCTATTGCGTTAGTGCCTTCCAATCAAAAAGTAATATGTATTGAATTTTGTTTATTGACAAATGACAGACCGGTTTACTAATTTGAAAGACATCATCTTTGATCCAGCTGATACAAAAGTTGCATTTTTACAAGTAAAGCGGTCTTGGGAAATCCGATTTAAATACATTTTTTATTAATATAAAATAACTTTTGTTAGTTCTTATATATTTAAATATACTCAAAATGTTAATTAAAGTTAAAGTAAGTTTAAATATTTTTTAAAATGAATATGCAGAAAATTAAATATTTATTTTTAGACTTTAACTGGTAAAGAGATCGAAATTGACATTGAACCTACAGACAAAGTTGATAGAATTAAAGAAAGAGTTGAAGAAAAAGAAGGCATTCCACCACAACAGCAGCGTTTAATTTTCTCTGGAAAGCAGATGTGAGTCAACTTGAATATGATTCATTGTATTTAACCTTAGAACTCAAATTTCTGATATACATACAAACGTAATGTGTCCACTTGTTTGAACTATTTGGTGAATAACTTTGTTCTTGACGTGAAAAAACGTACATTTTAGTTAAATTGCATTTTGTATAACCTATTGACAACATTTTAACAAAAAGCCTAAAAAATAACCAATTTTTTTGTGTTTTCTTTTGAGGAAACCACCTTTAAAAGGCACCTTATTAGAAAATTTTTAATTTCATTATGTATACCTATAATACAGTTTTATTGTAACATTGATTGGTATGATTTTTAACAGTATTTATTTTACAACTTACATACTTATTTCATATTTGGAAATTCACATATTAATTTGAAAAAATTTGTGCTTTATGTTTATAAGATTGTATTGTACATTGTAAACCTGATTTTGTTCTGAAGTGAAATTAAATCTACACGTCTTCTTCATGCATTTTTAGAATTATTTACAAAAATAATGTATATCTATCTAAATAATTATAAAATTCATTATTTTAAAACAACTAGGTAATCCAAAAGACACAGAGTGTTAATATGAGATTAAGTCAGATTTCCATTTCTGTATTTTTAACTTTAATTAATTTTATATTTCAGGAATGATGATAAAACAGCGGCTGATTATAAAGTGCAAGGTGGTTCCGTTCTTCATTTAGTATTAGCTTTAAGAGGTGGTCACTTAAATTGAAATTTGAAATAAATGATATTGTGGATTTAAGATAATTTTTTTTAATTTATAACGGCTAATAATTTTTGAAATTGATATACAAAATTCATAATACATACAAATGTAAAACAAAAAATGCTTTTTTTTATTCAATTTAATTTAATACAAATATATAGTAATACAGCGAGGGATTAAAATTGAACACAAATTTCATTTCACTAAATTTTTTGATATAGTGTACAATTATAGTGTATTCATTTCTGTACTTATATTCTTACACTGAGCAGTTTTGTACTTACAAAAGTGAATACAGTAAGCACTCGCATAAAACCCTCTTGATATAAAAAAATTCGATAGGTAAAAGTTTCTAACATTTTTATTACCATTTCTCACTAGAAGTTTTTTAGGCTTCGCAAGTTACAAAACTGACTACTAAATTTTTATTCTGACTTAAATTTACAATATTGTGACTTTAGAAGATTCAGGCTTTTGCTCCTTTAAAAAAACATTAGTTTATTTTGTAAAATTGAAAAATATTTATGAAAAATTACAAAAAGTACATTAATTGATATTTTCTCTCTCCTTTTCGCCCAATTTATCTATCTGTTTTTACGTGTTCTTCCCCCTACAAAATTATCCAAAAATATAATACCATTATCTTTCACTACTTAGTATTCTGGTATTAGTATTAAATTTTTATTCTAGCAATTAAAGTACATAATATACATACATTTTTAAAATTATACTTTCAATTTCTCCTAAATTTATGCAAATTTATATCATAATTCAAGATTAGCGAAATAAGAACGCCTTCATTATTTGGACTTAAGTTTATTACATAATATATGAAATTATAAAATCAATTTCTAAACTTTTACTGGAATGAAATTTGTTAATTGACAAACTAATGGTTTGACTAGCTATATGCTATTATAAGCAAGTACGTATGTGTGTTCTTTAAATTAACATAATGATTCAAATCATTATAACGGAAATTGTTAACAGAAAATTTTATTAACCAAAAATTATGTTACACAAATACAGTAATACCATAAAAAATAAGTTTATTTCTTTAATTTCACGGGTATTTACTTTTGCTTTAAGAATTCTTCGCTCATAAAATGTTAATGTACTCTCATTTATCAGCTTTTATACCGTTTCACTTTAAACTTCACTTTTACTATAGGAATAGTGTCATTGCAAATTCGATAAGGAAAAACAAGTATGCATTTAGTACATTTAGTTTTTTGATAAGCAATGCAATTTTGTTAGATAACCTATTGCTTTTCTATTAGATGTACTTACATTAAAAGCAAAATAGAATTATGTGATTAAAATTACGTAAAAATGTGTTATTAATGTTATTTTTCTTTACTTTATTTAGTCAGTGATATTTACATTTTTTTACTATTATAAGAATTATAATCATAAAATTATATGTAAGTGCTTATTAACAATTAAATAATATTAAAATTTTTATTACCTACAATAAATAAGATTACACACCCCCTCAAATATGCATTACGGTCGTATTTAAAAAATGTGATATATACATAAGTATGTATATATACATATGATACTAAAATACTATATTTTTTACTATATTAGTAAAAAAAACATATTTTAGTTCTGTTTATTAAACTTTACAAAAAAAATTAAAAATATGAGAGTAAATATGTGTATGTACATAATATAATTATATACAAGCTTCTAACGTATGTCAATATAAGAGACAAAATAAAATTGTATGCATTCTTAAGATTTATATATGATGAGAATTGTTTTTATTTTCAAGAACCATGGTAAATTGGAATGCTTATTACGTTTGGGATCTAAAAAAAAGCTTTTTTCTTTTGTAAATTCTCAGTTCTCTTTAGAAACTCCACCAGTTAACCACACTAGTGCGCATGTTTTATAGCATTTTATTTAGAAAAATTGAATTTTATTAAATAATAAAAGGATTTTAATTTTTTTTATTTTTTTTACCATTGTTAAAATTATCATTTTCATATTATAATCAATTAAATAAAATTAATTAATTAAAATTTAATAAAGAAATAATTAAATTACACATAAAATAATTATGGCTTTAAGAGTAATAGCTTCTTCAAAAAATATAAAAAATATTGTTAAAACCATAGAAGGAAATTTTATGAGATGTTTAGCAACAGCCGCTGATAATAAAAATATTGGTTTTATTGGACTTGGTAATATGGGGGGTCACATGGCTACAAATTTAATGAAAAAGGTAAGTTGGTATATAAACGTGTATGTATATACCATAAACACTTGTATAATATTGTTATTTTATAGCTATAATAATGAAGAAATAGAAATAAAAAATTGTCACCATATTAAACATATTTGCATACGTACTTACATACATATATACATATGAATAATACAAAAGTTTAATTAAGTTTCAAATAAATATTTTTTAGTTAGGTTTGTTATACAAAAAAAAATCTTTGAGCAATGCATACAATTAAATCAGAAGTGTTTAACAATAAAATAAATAACTCGGTAAATATTTTATGTGCGCACATATCCATTAATATATGTAATTGTCTCCATGTTAAATATTTCTATATAATGTATACATACATATGTACATATTTTGATTTTACTTTTGAAAAGATACTAAATACATAAATGAACGCATATGTTTGTGAAAGTGAAGCCCTATATTATATTGATGCTATATAGAATATTTTTATGTTTTCAATATTTAATGAGAAATATTGAGTTCATAAAGTAAAAATTAAATTTAATTAAGCTAAATAATATTTAGGTTCTCTTCTCTTAGAGTATGTAAATACATACATACATATGATATATATGTACATATATATCTATTGTTACATAATTTATTTGTGCAGGTTTATTTCGCTTTAGCAACGTGTCTACTATTTATGTTTATGTACTATATGGATATTTCTATTTTATAAGGATAACTTTATATAGTATGAACTTAATTTATTCTACTTCAATTATAGATTTGATAGCATAATCAGACCATTCTTACGTTTTATTTTATTGTATAGGTAGGTATATATGCGGAATAATAAATTGCATTTTATTATCTATCATAATTGTGTTACTGAGCGAATAGTTCATTTTAATTAAATTGTTTTTACATTTTACCCACAAACATATCTACTTATGTGTATAATAGAGTAATATTATTTATATTTGAAAAATAAATTATGTATAAACGAGTGTAATCAGTTTCGGGATGATGCCGATGATTATAGACATCGTTATATACATTATAGGAGGTAAATTATAGGGGTTAAGCGATGATAAACTATAATAATATATAAATATGTGTAAACAGGTATACATACAATATTATTTTAAAAAAATTATGACGTCAAACTTTCTATTTCAATCGGCAAAGCTTATAAATGTGAAGAATTCATTTTCAATGTCAAATTAATATAAATTGTATATACCTATATAGATAAATTTTTTTCTTCAAGCGTATGTATTTATGTATGCATATATATATATATATAATATTTTTAGCCTACAGGTAGGTTTGATGTTTTTTTTTAAGAAAATGTACTATCACTTTCAATAATGATGTAAATTGTAGTTTTCCATATCTATGTAGATATTTGCAAAAATACGTAAAATTATAATGCATACTGCAATAAAATGTTAGTGTTCTTACCAAAGAATTTAATATTAGTAATTAGATGTAGGATATCGTAAAAATTATCTATGTACATATATTATGTAGTAGTATCGTAAATTATGCGTTAATATGTACATATTATGTAGATAATTATGTTATTTGGGTTTTTAGGTAAAAAATACGTATTAAAACATTTCCAGTGATTTGATAAATCTACTTATTAAATAAAATATTACAACCGTCTTTAAAAATCCTAAAATACAATATAAAACTATATAGAATGAACAATCAAAATCTCAAAAAATTTTTATCGTAATGTAGAGATCTCGTGCATAAAAAAATGAGTGATTTTACAAATTCTACGTAGTATAACGGAATAGAAATTTCACTGTACATAATTTACAAAAACTTACGATCACTTTTATATGTATATTAACACAATTTTTTCTATCAACTAGGGTCATAAATTGCATGTTTACGATGTTTCAAAACCAGCTTGCGAAGCAGTTAGAGCCAAGGGTGCAAAAATTGCAGATTTATCGGAAATTGCAAAAATGGATTATGTTATAACAATGTTACCAAACAATGATATCGTTTATAATACATTTGAAGAATTAATGAAAAAAGATATCAACAAGAATGCTTTATTTATTGATTCAAGCACAATAGATCCAAATGTTGTTAAATCTATTCAAAAAATTGTGAAAGCAAAAGGAGCACGTTTCGTTGATGCACCAGTTTCTGGTGGAGTTCCTGGTGCTGAACAAGCCACATTAACATTTATGGTTGGCGGTACAGTTGATGAATATAATGCAGTAAAACCAGTTTTAGAAGGTATGGGTAAACGCATTACACACTGTGGCAGTTATGGTATGGGTCAAGCTGCAAAACTAGCAAATAATATGATGTTAGCTATATCAATGATTGGTGTTTCAGAAGCAATGAATTTGGCAATACGATTAGGTTTAGATGCTCAAACATTTGCTGATATTATTAATTCATCAACTGGCCGTTGCTGGAGTTCTGAAATGTATAATCCAGTTCCTGGAATTGTAAAGACAGCACCAGCGAATTTCGGATATTCGGGTGGTTTTTCAACAGATTTGATAACAAAAGATTTAGGATTAGCATCAGGAGTTGCTACAGCCTCAAATACTCCGATTCCTATGGGTGCCCTAGCTCATCAAATTTATAGAACACTAAAATCTCAAGGATTAGGAAACAAAGACTTTTCAGTAGTATACGATTTTATGAAAAATGAATCTAATAATTAATATCTAAAATTTATTCATTTTTAAGCATTATAAGAAATGTAGGTTCACATATACCTACGAAAAAAGTTTGCATTTATTTTGATACTAGATACAATTAGTAAAGACACATACGTACATTAATATATATGTTTGTACATATGTGCATTCATATAAATGTAATTTATGTATATGCGTTAGGTAAACTAAAAATGCATTCATGCGTTTAAGATGCACTATTCGGAACATAATTAATATGAACTGAATTGTGCCTCATAGACGCATAGATGATTTTTTAATTTACCCGTTACTTTCATAATAGATTTGTTTTTACTCTATTTGAATGCATGAATGCAAGAATTTATAAAAAATAATTTTTAAGTAAACGGTATACGTGCGATCCTAACGTGTTAATCTTATATTTTTGTATGCATTTCTGAAATAAAATCATTTTTTTATGTACATAATTATGCTATATGTAAATATGTAATTTGTTCAAGCAAATTTTTGTGTTTGCAGGTTTTGTTATTTAGTCGTTTCTTTTTCCCACAAGATGTCGCTAGACGTTTGTCGAAAAATGGGCTTTGTAGTTTCATGCTAAACTTGAAAAATTTCATCCCAATAACAAAAGAAACAGGACATAATTGAATAGTCAAGAATAAAGAATATTGCTAAAAAAGATCTTATTGCTATGTTCGCAAGATATGAGAAAAGTCAGTTAAGTTTTATTTTTTGTTATTAAAGACCTGATCGTCTATCTTGCTGTTTTACTCGGCAAGTGTGAAGAAAGTGAGTAACTACAGTAAGTGATAAAGTAATTTTCAAATGAAAAGAATTATTCAGTATTGCATATCTCCTTTTTTTCTAAAATGTATTCAAAATTTATTCACTTCATTTTTGAAAGTGAGAGGTTCAGTCGATGATTTCAAAAAAAGTGCTACTCAATTAGGCTGTTAGTTTAATTTTCAGGTTTTAATTACAGAATATGTAAACAGTTTTGAATTTTGAAATACGTAATATGCTCAAATTGTGGTTGTTAGTATGTCACATTAGTTTTTATAAGTTTAGTTCATTCGAAGAATATAGTTTGCATATCTTTTATGTATTTATTTTTTGTTTTTACAGCTATATTTTGAACAGGCGCAAAATTATGTCTAAATGTCATTGTTTGAATATTGAAACGTCAAATACGGTGCTTTCGTAAATTTTTGTTTATAAATTTTATTTCATTTAGCATGTAGAACTAGCATAACAAAAAATTAGAAATCAACTTTTAGGTATTAATTTAATAATTATAAAAATAGTGAAATGGAGAACGTACAAAAATATTTTGCAATAATCGAAGACTTAAGTAAAAGTGAAGGGCTTAAACAAGGTTTGCATAAAATAATTTTTAAATATATAATCGTATATTGAACAATATTACCTTTCAGATGAGAATTGGTTAAAGTCCAATATAAATATTATTGAGAAGTATATTAAATTAAATAATACACTTTTGGAAACACGAGCTTTAAAAAGTATTAGTTATACCCTAGATGATTTTTGTTCAGAAGACCCAGCGTGGAGCTATTCAACACTACTTTTCCATATACTTTTGACTATTAATCTACAAATAGATTTAAATAGTTCTAATAAGGACGAACTAATATGTTTGTCGCAGCAAAACTTGTTTGCCGATTTGGTTATGAAAGCATCAAAATATGGAATATGTCCAAATATAATACCAGAAATGCAAGAACATCAATTATTTAAAATGGATTTAATGCAAACCAAGTTTCATTTGAATAGACTTTTGATTTGTTTAAGATTTTTAAAAGAAATTTACAAGGTTAATTTTTTACTTGGAGGAAGTAAACTTGATCAGGTAAAATTAGAGTCAATGGCAGCCGCTGTGTCAATTTTGAATTGTAACTCGTGCCAAAATGCAGATTATGCTAAAGATTTTTTAAAATATCTGTACGATCAATCTTGTAAAGTAAATTATTTCAAAAATTTATTAATATTAAAAAGTATTCCAAAGTTAACAGAAAATGTTCATAAAATTTTGCATGAGGATTTACTAGCCAAATTGCAAAGTCCAATGGGATTTAAAGTTCTCTTAGAAGCTATCATTCCAACGGCAAATATTAAAGCTCCAAATTGGAAATGTTTCGAGGTGATATCAAATATCGTCAGTCATAAAGGACATCCTGAAGAATTTTATTTTAATTTAATAGATCAAATATTTAATTTTTTGCAATCAGCTTCTGAAAATAAACTACAACATGTTTACTTACCTGCTGGAGTTTTAAGTTTGAGAAAATTATACTTACTTAATATTAAAACAAAGGTATGCTATTATAGAACAAAAATATGAGAAATAATTTTTTATATTTACTTAGGAAAACGTTCTGGCAAAAATTGATGCTGTTTTTAAGAAACTGTATGACCCAGAAGATATAATTGCTGGATTAATTATATTTGAAAATGGTGAATTTGAAAACTTATTGAAATTTTTAAATTTTTTGTTTTGTGGATCATCATTTCAATCAATGCCAACAGATATTCTTATACCATATTTACCATTACTAATACAGTGTTACGATCAAATTCCAAATAATTTTAAACAAGGAAAATTAATAAAAAATTTAGTCGTTCAATGTTTGATGAATCGTGAAAAAAATGAATTAAAAACTTTTCTAAAATCATTAGTTTTTGAGGAATTCGAAGATAATTATAAAAGACTCCACCAGAGGATTATAATAAATATAGTACCAAATTCAGAGCTAGTGAATCTTCAAATCTGTTCTTCTGATATGAATAACAGAAATCAAATTTTTATTAGTCTGTCCCAAATTTTAAAATTATCTAACAATAATATTTTAATCTACAATTCATTTATATCAGCTTTGCGTTTGTTTGATGAAGAACATATTTTTAAAGAAACAAATGATTCTTCCACTTTACTAGAAAATGAAGAAGAACTCAATATATTTGTTGAGAAAAAGTACAGAACTAAATTTGCTGTCGTATCTTTCTTGACTGACCTAGTAGAATTTAAACCGCTACATTCACAGTTTAATGAAAATCCTATAGAGATATTGGATTTTATAAAATCATCCTTGAGAAAATCTTTAGAAAGTAATTATTTTCCAGAAGAAAAATTGTCAATTTTGCTTGCAATATTACAAGAAGTAATTGAAAACATGGAAGATTTATCAAGGTTTCACCATTTTGTGCCCATCATTCAGAGATTACTAACACACTCTTCCGATAATTTAAAGTTTCAATTGGGACATATTTTAAGTATATTAGAAGGTACCTCAGCAAATAACAATGGAAAACCAAAATATTGTGGAAAATCTGATTATGAAATCGCAAGGAATTTAATGGAAGAAAATCAACCATACTTAAAAGTATACGGAATAACTTTGATGATTAAATTAATCAATCAAAAAGATTTGGAAACTGTAAATCATAAACATAATATTTTGGCAATGGCGATCAATGTCATAAAAGAAGAAGAGTCTTACGTATTTTTGAATTGCGTTAAACTCTTTGTAACGCTTATAAATGTTTTGGAAGCTGATGTTTTAAATGTTCTGTCAGATGAATATTTAAGTGATAATAACGAAAATGATTATAGGTTGAAAATTGGTGAAGCTATATTAAAAGTAACAGAAGATTTAGGTATTTCATCATGTTTCTTTTAAAAAAAAATATTCAGCTTTTTATTACTTTTTAGGCCCTCTTTCGTACAAATATAAAAATGTATTGATTAATTGCTTTTTGGATGGATCCAGACATCCAGTGGATGAGTTTCGAATGTCCAGTGTTTCAAATTTAGCAACAATATGCAAATTACTAACATATCAAGTTCACAACTTTTTCCAAGAGGTTAGAAAACAATTTTTTTTTAAGTAACAAAAAAGACAATGATCACTTAATATATGAAATATATATATTTTATTTATCGTTGCAGCTTTTACAGTTAATTGAATCGATTCTTCAAACAGACAAATATCTGCCTGTAAGAAGGGCTTCAATTTTAGTTTTGGTTCAGTTACTTTCTGGAATGGATAATTTATCAGATTTTCAGGAGTATTTGCTTCCAATATATAGAATATTAAAATTTATTGCGGCAAATGAATCAGATCCTCCTATGCAAATTCATGCTAATAATGGATTGAAGATTTTAGCTGAAAAATGTAAGAAATTATTTTTAGCTGAGCAAAGTCTTCAAAAAGAAATAAAAATTTTTGGTATTAAAGATGAAGCAAAAACTAAAAAAATTGATTTTATAAAAATAAATTAATTAAGAAGAGGGTATATGAGGGAAAAATTTGGAATATAAAGAAAACTTCATTATCAAATACACGTTGTTTTATATTTATTTTGTTTTCTTAGGTTTTATTGCTTAATTTACAATTAAACTTATAGCTAAACAACGTTTACTAATTTTATTTTCATTTTAATTGCAATATTTAAATAGAGATTTTGAATAAAATCAATATTTAGAATTTTTTACAATGAATTTAAAAAAAAAATAATAACTTCATAAAAGTTTTAATTTTAAAATATTCTAAAAAATATTTCAAAGGAAAATTTGCCATCATTTAAAAATTAATTTTCTAATAAATAAATAAAGAATATCTAATTATTGTCTAATTTTTAATATTTTATTCTAATTTACATATTTATTTATAATATTATGGATAAGCAAAAGTTAGACACAAAATTTCTTTTTCATTTTTCTCTTATTTTTGGAAATTTTATGTTTAGTTGCCTTAAATCGAAACTATTAAAGTTAAAAAAACAATGTTTCGAAAAGACAAGTAAACATAATGTTCTTAATTATTTTAAAGTTAGAATTGTAATATTATGTTAAAATAAATTTAAATCAATTTAAGGAAGAAGATATTATGCAATAAAAAATCGAATTCCAGTATATTCTTATTTATTTTTGAGATTACTGCTCTTTCACATTTTGTAGCAACTTCAAATTGTTTGGTTTTGTTAGTTTTTTTTTTTTATTGTTCTATGGATTTTTAATTATAATTGCTGGTTTTCTGGGTGTTGACCTTCGTTTACAAATTTGAGACTGTCTTTTTAGTTCTCGTTTAACAACAAACACAAAAACACCGATCATTATCACAGACAACGACACAGCAATTAATATTCCTGTTGTGTAATTAGTTGTACGGTTTCCTTTGTAATAAAATTAAAAAAGTATTAAAATTAAAATTTTTGCTATATTAAATCTCATTATTTTAAATCATAATACTTACTTGTATCATCAGCTATAGATTGAGGAGCATTTTCATGAATCAATCTAGCAAATTTAGCTTGCCGATTAATTGCATTATTTACTTGAAAAATATTTTCAATTTTTTCACTTTCAACTCCCAACATATCTTCTGAATTCATTTTTAATTCATCTTCATTTATATCTGGTACATAATTTATAAGTTCAGCAACAGAATTTTCAGCATCAGGGTCAATTATGTGGGTTGGATTTTCTTGAATTTCATTTTTACTTGAATTATTAATTGCCGAATTTTCTTTTAATATTAAATGACTTTTATCAACGTATCTAAATTTTCGATTACGTGCACTTCTTGTATCAGGTTCAAATGGATCATTTTCTTCAATGGATGATATAGCACCACCTTTTCCAGGTACTGTAAAACTAGCTCGAACAGTTTGCGTACCAGATTGAAATGTACATACTACAACAAATCTAAATAAAAACAAATAATATTTATTATGAAAATATTTTAAATAAAAAAAAAATTAATTAATTACCTTCTCGTGCTATGTGTAAAAATTCCCAAGTTTTCTTGTACTGTTATAAATGTTTCAACAGTATTAGTTTCTGGTTTTACAAGACTACCACACTTTTCATGATCAATTCTCATAATATATTTATCATTTGAAGATTTTGGATCACCTTTAATACCGCAATTACTGCCATCAACAACAATTTTTCCAGCAAAATGTGGTCCAGTTTCAACTTCAATTTCTGATGCATGTGGCAAACATTTTGTTGCTTCAGCAGAAACTTTAAATTTAAAAACATTTTATTTAATATTTATGACATGATTTTAACAAAACAAAAATTCTTACACCCTTTTGTTGGTACAACAATTGTTTGACCATTAAATATAGATTCAGGTTCAACTTCATTCTCCATATTACCCATTCTTCCAGTAATTTTTGCAATTTTTCTTTTAATTTGCGGTTTAATATGAAAACTATATTTGGTAGCCATTCTTAAATTATCTATTGTAGTGGAATAATATTTAATTGAACTAAAAAACAAAATTTGATACTCACGTTTGATTAATTTTTTTGAAAAAATTATTTTAAATATTTTTACCTATTAGATATACTTTTGTCATCTGTAATTTGATTGTATTCAAGAATTTTAGAACGACATCTATGTGGACCAAATGATTGAATCTCACAAAAATATATTTGAAATGTTTTTGGAAATAATGATTCATTTGTTTGTAGCTCATTACCAGTCATATTAAGATGAGGAATTTCAATTTCCCATGTTAAATTTACTGATCTATAGTTTGGTTCACCGGTTAATGTTCGAAAAACTAAAAGAAAAATTTAAATAATTTTATAATTTAGTAAAATATTTATGTAACTTGTGTAAAAATATTTAAAAAATTTAATTAATAATCATCATTAAGGTTTTATATATGATTGAGCTTTGGTTTTCTTTTTGTGATTTTATTAAAGGGCTTATTAAATTTCAAATATCTTCAATATTGTGTGCTGCAGAATGGAAAAAAAAAACTACGGGGAAAATTATTTTTCGAATTAAATTGTAATTTTTTCGAAAGAAAACTATTTTATTTCGAGAACCAGACTACGTCGAATAAAAGTATATCTCATATGAATTAGCCTTCATGTTTTAAATGGTTTCAGAAAAGCACAATTTTTGAAAATTATTTTCGTCCTTATTAAAGTTGTTACCATCAAAAATGCCAAATGAAAAATCTATTGTCGCATCAAAATTTCTCGCAAAATATGAATTGATTTCCGGGGCCGATTTTTTACCAACAATCCTTCGTTTGGTTTTCTAGATTTAGAATTCTTGTTCGTTACTTTTGTTCTGCTCCATTATATTGTATGTATATATAGCTATGTATGTATATGTTTAATGACAAGACAGCATTACATAAATCTCTTCAACTACATATTGCATATTTTTTTCTTGCGAATTTTATTTAGGAAGAACATAAGCGAGGTTTTCTATTTTGATCCTCAACGTTTGCTTATTTTAAAATTTTTTAAAGTAAATATTAAAATGTTAAGACCTACTCATGTCTAACTAAGTATGTACATATGTATATGTATGTAAATTTTCGATGAAAATTTTCAGCGAAAGAAAATACCAAATTAATATAAAAGCCACGATAATATTCTCTATAGCCTATACAGTCTATAAATTTGCATTCGAAAATACAATAATGTACGGCCATATATGTATGTAAGTATGACAACTTGTGTGTTTTGTTGTTTCTTCAAAATCATGGATAGGGTTATTGAGAAAGTAAAAGAAAAATTTTCTTCTTTTTTCTACATTTTTAGTAAATTTAACAAATACTAGTAAATTAAGTGAATCTTAAGTTCTGAGATTAAATTTTTTTTTTTTTGTTATTTTCAATTTTTTTACGGAAGAAAAACAAAAATAATAATAAAAAATTCTCGCGAATATTTAGAATATCAATTGTTTTTGTTTTTTTTTTTTTAAATCATTAATGTAATTGAATAATACCAAACATAACTAGTTAGTATGTATTCTAAGTAACAAAAACAACTAACAAAAAAAGAAAAAAAATAAAATTAAGTACTCGAATACAAGAGTTCATGTACCTGTTTTGTTTGTCATGTTGCAAGTGTAGTACTCGTATATTGTCAGTTTTATTTTTTTTTTTATTTCGAAAAATAAAAATTACTTATATTTAAACTTGATCGTTAACATTGGTTGTTGTAATGTAGACATAATGTAATTTTCATTGTCAAAATGTCAAATTTGATTGTGAAATAAAAAAAAATTTGCAAAATTTTTATTTTAAATAAAGCAAGTATGTCTATGTGTTGGATATGCTTTAGCAGATGTGAAATGGTGGTTATTCATTTATGGAAATGGAAAATATTTAAATCCAAGATCAAGGAACATTATGAATACTCTTGAATATATTTATTGAGCATCTCTAGAAAATAATCAATTTTTGTTATAAAAGAGAATTTAATGTGCATATAATTATAATATAACAGTAACAATAACTACGAAACGCAATATGTACTGAAAAAACCTAACATGACGAATAGGAAATATATTTTTAGCGCTTTTCTAACAAATTTTTGAAAAAAAGTGCTTATTAGTGTCACTCTGTCCGTCCGCCCGTCTGTCCGTCTGTCCGTGTGTCTGTTTACAAAACTTCTACACCCTTGAAGATAGAAAGCTGAAAGTTTATACGTACATAGGTCTTTACTAGAAACCCTTTTCCGTAGAACAAAATTTTCACCTATCTCCCCCCCTCTAAATGTTATATTCCCCTAAAACCCTTAAAACGGCATTTTTTAACTATTTATTGCAATGAAGCCATAAACATTTTTCAAATTTTGCAAAAGCAGAAAAATAGTAGCTGGCTTCTTCTATCGCGGCATATACCATTTCTGAACTTTAAAAATACAAAATGGCGGTTGAAATTTACCGTTATCTAAAATTCGTTTTTTCCAAATTTTTGATGCCGTTTTTCTTCTATATCGTACGTCACAGGACCCTGAACTTTTAGCAGCTCTTAGATATTTATGAATAGTTTATTTCGTTAGAAGAAAATTTTTTCCCATATTCATCCCCTCTCAAGTTATCTCCTCTCAAAATTTGTAAAATTTGAATATTTGGCACCTTATGTTTGGGAAACCGCAAGCTTTTTCAAATTTCTATAAACGCAAAAAGCTAACGATAAATTCCCTGTCATTAAAAAATATAATTATTTTTTTAAACTCACACAATTCACCCTTAAAATCGAGCATCATGTGAACATTTCTTTAAATTTATTTTTGCTTTACATCAGACTGCATAAATCGTTCATCCTTAATGTATGCAATCCTAGAAATAGTTTCGTACATGAATGAAAATAATTTTAATAGTGTCATAGATATACATAGACTATATTAATTAAAGGCAGTATTTTCATTTGTTAAAGGGAAAAGTGCTACAATACAAACCATTGGTTTGACCCAACTTTATTTACTATATATTATGAAAGTATGTTATTAGTAATTTCATTATATTGCGAAAAATTATACATATGTATGTAAATATTGCGTGGTTTACACTGTATATCGCGTAATATGCATACTGTGTTTATGAAAAGTACCTAAAATAATTTATTATTTAATTAGCAAATATAAATATGGTAAGTATTTTAAACTTAATTTAACGTTAAGGTCACTTAATATGACTTACAAAAATTTTTAATCAAATTCTTGTGTTATTTTGATTTTTCAGTCAGATATTTAATTTTATGTTATTGCACTGCCCTTAATAATAAATTTTAATAAATTATAATTATATATGTTCATACATACATATGTATATATTTGCAAGCTGTATAACAATTTATACCAGGTATGTCGAAATCATTTATCATCTCGGGCCATTTTAGAGTTTCCGCACATTACTTCGGATCGCTTCTCTAAAATTTTGCTTTAATACACAACCGCACAGCATTTCGATTTTAATTGTAAATTTGCATCAAGTATTTCAATATCAACAGAAAATTAAAAAGTAAGAAAGTTAAATTCACTTTGACATCTATTAAAAATCTAAAAATCTTCTTTGAAATTCGGTATTTAATAATTTATTCTATAATTAGAGTATTCGGAAAATTTTGAATTTACTTCACTGGTTTGCAAGTATAAGAAAATTAAACTAATTCAAATACATATATAAGTATTTAATTTATAGAACACTATAACTATAACGCTTTCCACTACTCCAGGGTAGCTAACGTGAAAATTCGGTTCCGGCTACATGCTACATGCAGTTGTGTATATAAGTTTACACTTTGTCACTGATCTAAATTTTTCGCAAGGTTCCAATGAATTTCATGGATAATATAAAAAATCAGCTTACCCCTGTTCGCTATATTCCAAATTTTCGCAAAAAGATAAATTGTTGCCATTTTACTATAAAAAAAACCGAATATCGTAAATCTGATGAGAATAGAGCAAATTCTTTTATTTTTCCGTCAGACAAAGTCAAACAGTTTTTACAAATCCATATGTGCGACTTTCATTAGACTGAGACTAATTCCTCGATTTTGTCGTATATTGTAAGTGTGCCTTACGACTTTATTAATTAATTGTTGAGATCACAATGTATACGTTACATACACAATGACTATGTGTATACAGATATGAATAATACATACATACTTATGTTTTACAACTTTTAATTTTTATTACTTCTTAATTGCTTTTGTTGCCTCGTATAACTAGTGGAAAACTTAAAAAAAAGAACCAAGATTAAAAATTCGAAGAATCTCACTTTGCATAGCATAATTAATTGATATTTCTATACATACATACATACATAAATACAACAAGATCGTTTAATTTATTATTCTGCCCATACATACATATAAAATTATTAATTACATTTTATATTGCACTACAATATAACCATGTACCCATATTTATAATATTATATAACACAATATATCATCACAGGTATATTAAATCTATGCTAACATAAAGATTTTCCTTTAATCATTGGGTATATTTGCTTATAACGTAGATTGTATTTTTATTCACTTTTTAATTTTCCTTTTTCCCCGTTTTATTGTAGCCATGTACATAATATTATATACATATACGTACATGTTATGTATTTTAAGATGCATCTAAAAAACTTCACTTCTTCATAGGTCATTTTAATAATCAATCTCGTCATAACCTGTGAGAAAATAACATTCAATCCGTAAATTAGATAGACTGGAAAGCAATATATGAACATACAGGCATACATATAGGCTTGCACGTTGTAATTTGAAGAATTATGGCAGTATGTTAAAAAAAATTGACGAACAGAATATGTATGTATGTATGTACGTATGTAAATAAACAGGCTTTAAGAGTTTGAATATTTTTATATTTTATATTCAAAGATTGCTATTAGGATTAAAGAAATTAAATTTTCTTGAATTGGTTTTTTTATAATATGCGCGGTGAAAAAAATATTTTTCTAAAGATATTCTTTGCGTGCATAAAAAAACGATAATAAAATTAAAATTGTTAGTAATTATTATTATTTGTAGACAATATTATAATTATTTTTTATTACTCTATAGATAAATATAGAAATAATATGTAAGTAATTCAAGTTTAAGGGATAAAGAATGTGAAAATTTGCTTAATTTTAATAAATACTCAATAATTTTTCTGAGTGCAAGTAAAAATGTGCACATGTATGTATAGATTATGTATATTATGTAGATAAATGTAGTTAGTTTCCCTGAAACAATTGTGTTTTTCAAATGTAGGTCTTTAAGGCATTAGAAATATTAATAAAACTATA